AGAATAAATAACGAGATTATAGAGAAATAGTTGCATATTTTGGGGATTCACCACGATTTGGTACGTTTATCAGACGTAGTATACGTGTTGGCAGATTGGTTCTATTGTTATTGGGAAAAATTTTCCATAGCGAGCGACTCGGAAAAGAAATAGAATAAGCATTCGGGTCATAAATTTATTGATCCACTATGTATAAACGAAATTATCATAGCTATTGATCCACATTTCGGCAAGGCTAAAACCTTCAGGGACGAATTAGTGGACTTGATAAGCACCGACTAAGTAAACATTTTTGAAAATATTTCATGTTTGTGAAACAAAACAGAAACAAAATGTTTATGATCAATGATGGCGCCTCGATAATTGAATATTGTTTTTCCCAACGAAAACGTCACTGAGATTTTATAGACCGACGCGACGCAACTTACTTGTTATTAATTTCATTAAAAAACTCCGCAGTCGTAAAAGTTACGATTCGGCGTTGGCTCTAGATGACACTTTTATGAAGCCATATTTACTTCACCTACATAATTATATCGACCTATCTAATTAATATTTTCCACGGCCTCTTTATCGATCAAATCGGCGTTAACGGGTATCGTACGCACGTCCAGTGACCGGTTACTCCAGGAGGCCAAAACGAAACGAGTACACTTTCAATTAGCGCCGAGCTAGCGGGCACGTGTTGGTGTACCCCAAGGTTCCGCCGGGGTCCCTATCTTGTTCGCAGGAAGTAAAAGTAAAATGAAGCGTTCATCATAAACAAGCGCGAATGCGATGTACGTGCATACTTGTCCTTTTACAATAGAATAATTATGTAATTGGTATTTAAAACGTGCGGCTGCAGCTACTGTTTTAATCTAGGCCAATGTTAATAGCAACGATTCCGAGCGATGGCGAATCATTACGCAAAATTAAAATCGAAGTACCAAGCGAGTTGTGACAAAAATTTCGTGCGCGTTGCGCGGGTTTACCCAACTAATTTATAATTCAGAAACAATGTATTTAGCGTCGTGTAGAATGGAACACTTTCGAAATTAGAATGCAAGTTTGTTTGCATTAATTACTTGCATTTAGTAAAATTATTATAACACATGTGCATTATGAAATTGTAGCTGCCTTGACTCTTAATTGTTGTTTTAGGAATAGCGCTACAATTGTTGCTTTTTCTTGATCGCTCCACTAATTTCCTCCACGTTTAATTGTCCGTCAAATTGTCTCATAACTGCATCTAACTGTTCACTTACAAAATTACAAATCGTTCGATGGGAACAATCGAAATAAAAACATTTGTTAATTATAGCCTGGTCAAAATTTCTGATAATGTATAATTAAGTAGGAAGTAATTACAAGTTGCTTTGGACACCAATTATGTCCCGTCGTGTGTATGGTGACGTTGAATATTTCGCCGCTTTTTGCTAACCGATAGATGGCGCTTCGGCGCCCGCTAATTTATGTAACCCGAATGAAATTCTACTAACCTAGCAGCGCAAAAAGTGGCATAAATAAACGCTTTAAAAATTTATTTAATTTGAAAATAGTCAATAACTTTCTCTTCCTTAAAGCTAGAGGAAAGCGAAATTTTAACCACAAAAAAATACCAGATATTTAATTTGTCACACATCAGTGACATTTAGCAAACAGATCGTTTCAAACAAGACTGTCAAACGGAGGAAATCAGGCAACGTCCTAATTAATAAAACATGCCAGTACTCAATATTATCGATTACTTCCATTTTTGTTCACTTTTATTTAGACATGGTTTTGGAAATTATGTCAGGGGCATTAGAATTCTTGATTTAAAAAATTAATCAATACCAAATCATTTTCTAGCCGATTTACTTATTTGATTTTAATCAAGGTACGCACTACTCATTCGAATCACAATTACGTTTTTGCGTTGCTACTGCCACCTACATCTAAATTACATAATACTTACACAATTGCATTCTTTTTATAGACACCAGTCTGCACAAACCAAATGAGAAAAACTTACGATTATTACACAGCAAATGTGTACATTATTATTCATAAGACTTAATGACATAATTAGTAGTTGTTATTATTATTATTATTACTGCATTATTACTGCACACAGAACTCTCGCAATAAACATAAAGACCTACAACAGCGAAAATTATTTTAATTAAATACAGCGATACGTCGTTTATAACCTGTCCATTATCTAACGTTATTTTTGCACAAACGAAATTTTTGACCCATCTGAAAAAGTATCTATTGGAATTATTGGAATCGTTAGTTTGTTTTTAAAACTAACCAAAATCATATAATTACGATTAAACACAAACGGTCCCAAAACGAATCTCTGTGGGACACTAATTCACACGATTTTATTTCCTTCACTTTAACGAAAAACGTTTTAGCAAAGAAATTCTTAGATCCATATTTTCCTGTTTGTGTGACAATCTGCCACGTCGCACTGGTATCAGAAAGTTTGAGAAACTCTTTTAATACCAATCTTTCCTCGAAATCACTGTGCTGTATAGAGTTAGAAGTGTAATTCCAAATTAGCTCATCTGTTAATAAAATTATTCCAAAATGCTTCTGAATCCTTAATAGTGTAAAATGTCTCCTAGTCCGTGTTAATTAAGGCATTTTATAAGTTAATACAACGCTGCGGTAAACTGTTTTTGTGCTAATTTGCTTGAAAGTTTGAAATTGAATCGGAGCGAATACTGCAGTTCGTACGAGTGAGAAATGGATCAGTTAAATGAAATCACGTTGCTGAACACGTAAAGTATATTTAGTAAGGAAAACTAAACCATCCAGACATTATCTCTTCATCTTCGTTGTATTGAAGATGATGAATTTGTTGCCAAAACTTGCCAATATTTTTTGTCAAGTTCAATATTTTTTTGAGATTCGCCACACAATTATTATCTAACTTAATATTTTTGTGAACAGTCGTCAAAAAACTACTTAATTCATGAAAAAAATCAAATACGATGTTAACCTCTTTTCTCGGACTTGTTTGTCAAATGTTTTTCAACCAAAATAAAAACGAAAGACATTTTTTGCGACATCAGTCTGATCTAATTAGTTCCGTTAGAATTCTAAATCTCTAGTAGCAATGTACTGCAAGAAATGTTTTTCTACGAAATGAAACTTTTATTCGTTCTGAGAAGGTTATGTGTCGGAGGCGAAAGACTCGGAATAACTATGCAAATCCAAATTATTTCTGGCAGAATATTAAACAGTTTGTAAGTCACACAAACTAGGTTTTTATTTGGTCGATACATGCCCCGCCTCTTTACCCACACTACGCGCCAGTTTGCGACCTATAGCCGAGAAGAGGCGGAGCTTTTCGAACAAGTAATAGAGCTGGATTTTGCGCTTCAAAGACTACTGCAACACAAACCCAAAACGACATGCCACAAATGAGAAACTGCCGAATAATGTGATTTCTGTTTACTAAAACATCCTAGAGTGGTGAAACGTCGCACAAATTTTGTCATAATCTATGGAAAATGTATAGCAGCACGACATAGATAATCAAGTGAACGACAGACCTCGAATGATAAGGAAATGAAATTGCGGGCGAAATACCACGATTCTATAGTAGCTTTTCGGGGTTTAAGTCCAATGCGAATCCAAGATTCACGAACGCGTATTCTGCTACGAGATGCGTTCATGTGGTCGTAAATGTGACTTAATTTGGTGTGCAGAATATGTATTTTGCCGGACGAATTATTCCCAACGTAATTTAATCCGTGAACGATAAAATTGTAACGCGACGCAATTTTTCCTCATCCGCCAAATTAATTGAAACCCGAAAAAATTCTCCGAAGTTACGATGTTTTTATGCAAATTATTTTATATTTAGACCTGGAGCAAAGTTCGTGTTCTCTTAATCTCGGTCCCCTTTCCCCGTTTTCCAGGTTTCGATGTTTTGATGAATTTTAAAATTGCATTAAGGGAAAAACAAACAAAGTTATCGATTACCGATTTTAAATCCGCAAAAGCTCGCTCTTTTAAATTTAACAAATTGCACAGAGGTAATTTTTTGCAATTTTGTACTGCCATTCATGGTCGACTGCTTTTTCAGAAGCATAGTAGCGTCGGCATTCGCTTGAACTGCAGTAGCCACTGATGGAAATATTGATTTATTGTACGGTACCTACACGGTATACTACCGTTTCGAACGAAAATAACTTTGTTATACAAGCACGACAAATTTCTAACATTGTTTAATTTTTGACGTTTATTTAATCTCCAGAGCGACTTATTAAAAACAAAAAGGAGAAAAATAATCGAATATTCACAAAAAAGACCCTTCGCACAAAAGAAGCTTAACGGTCTGAACACCTCAAAGTTTTACAAGCTTCTTTGATCTAAAAAACAGAGCGCTGGCTCCGGTACACTTCGTAAACGTAATATTAAAAAGTCTATATATATATATATATGGAGAGCAAAATACTTTAATTACTTCCAAACGAACGAAAAACATGTTGATTACAATTCTGTATTTAAATCAAGCTGACGACAAAAAACAATTTTAAGACTATGTTAATATAAGGACACTTGATCAAGCAGTATACTATAACCCATATGTGAATACTAATGACATAAGCGGATGTTTATATTTCGGAACACCTATGTAACTAGGGCATATTTGTCATAATCGATAAAACAAACAACTATTATGAAAGTAATTGTTTATAGAACTATAACTTTGATTTATATACCGATAGAGAATATAAAAACACGCCATTAAGCAGAAGTACAAATACTGAGAAATGCACCTTAAAACGATTTGCTTCCTTAGGCCAGTGTTGACTTTACTAGTGTCAACTTAACCTTGAATAATCCCGATAACTTTTAATGTAAATAATTAACTTCATTAAAAGTTAGAAAATAAATTTGTTTTATTGACCCAACCACTTAACTAGTCTGGAAGGAAGAGAAAATTTTAACCATTTTCCCCACTTAAGATTGCTTCACACGTCCGAACTTTTCACAATACAGATTTTTTTATTTACCTTTAATATCCGTTGAGTCTGCCGGTGGTCGCATTATGTCATTCAAGTAATGTTCTAGGCCTCTCATATTTTCTAAAGGACTACTTCCATTCGCGTTCACTACACCACACCGATCCTAGAATAAAAAAATATTTTTAATTCAAATCGAAAATTTATCAATAGACTCACAATAAATAAGCTTAAGCCATGCATTGCAACCACGTGACAATTACAAAAACTTTTAATGCCTTACCTGATTGTTTTAAAGGCCTCTAGTAGTCAGTCATGCGAGAATTTATGAAAGTTTCAAGAAATCGGATAATCGGTTTTCTGATTTCTTTCAAAAATAAACGTCTTTCGTTATCGTACATGTTTTTTGCATTGAAGAACGCTTTTAAGAGGATGTAAACAGCGTTTAAAATATAAATCGGCCTTAAATGTAATGCTCCAAAGCGAATTAGTCGCAGTGGCAATAAACGTACTACGCCTCTGTCATGTGGGTTGCCTATGCCAAGAACTGGGTCATTTTATTACATTCTCTCTAAAATCAATACGCAATAATCCCGTAGTGATCTAAAATATGCTTATTTTAATGCGACACAAAACCGAATTAATAACAATAAATAAGAATAAAAGAAACAATGGTCGTTTAATGGAAGCTAATTATTTAAGTTATTTGTTTTTGTATTGCGCACTTAAAAAATTACGGTCTTAGAAATAATTGCTACTTTCTTAATGAATTCCATTAAAAATAAGCTTCAATAATGCGGTGTGTATTAAATATTGCCCTTAATTTATTTGGGACGTATTTACAGAATGAAATAATTATATTAAGCAATCAACAGAACACTAAAGGAGATTACAGGGATTAACAACACTGGGAGCAAAAAATACAAAAAGATCCAACATCTAACAAACGTAGCGTGTGATGTTTAATGTGTTGCCTACCAATTTAAATTCCCACGTTTGATTAAATTTATTTTAATTATCTCTAACACCCAGTTTTTAAATAAACATTGTGTAACCCGTACACATCCAAGCAAAATTTTGACCCGGTCCAATTAACAGTAAATTTAAACAAAAGGTTCTACTGATAAGAGAGAGAATTCCCAGGACTCGACACAATTGTTCAAAAAATACAAACGCACTGGCAGATTTCAGATGTTTATATAGTTAACATTTCGAGTTTCCTATAGTGAGAATATAGAATACAGCATAGGTCTGCGCTTATTTATATATAGCTCATCCTCTATGAACTCATGGCCATTTCTATTTTCAGCTTATTGCTTACCTCACCTGAATGTCTAGCTACCCTAAACACGTCACTCTTCTGCTAAAAATTTTGGCGATCCAGATTATTTTTAGTGGGTGTCACTTTAGTGTGGATTGTTTAAATTTGTCGCTACTCGTATAGCTCGAGCTCGGAAAAGTACCGTTCGTCGTAAACGTTTTGTCTTCTTTAAATTGGCTTACGTTAAATTTGTTTATACGAAATAATAAAAAACAATACATAAGATATCGCCATTTTTGTTCTAAAATTACCAGTTGCTGGAAGCTATTTCGGTACATCCTAAATATACTGAGTGTGTCACTTCTCTTGAAATCGTAGGCTCGACTTATTTTTTTATTATCGTCCGGAAAAACTCAAATAAATTTGTATGATAAGTTAACCAGAGACGGTGGTATTAGATTCTGAACAATAGTATCACCTTATCTGGTGCCTGTCGTAATTTATTAGAGAAGCACAAGCTTATGTGCAAATCAGGTTTCGGTAGTATGTGTACCTCCTTACTTTAACACAACGAAAAACAAAAACATGCGACAGAGACAAATTAAACGGTTTAAAGTGTTTATTGTTATAGGTCAATTGTGGGTATAATTTTAAAGTATACATAAGTTACAGGATGAGTTTGAATTAAATAAAAAAAAAACAATACAAAATATTCGTGTGTACACATGTTTTGAAATGCATGCTCCATTATCGAGTGTTTGATTGAGAACAAAATTACGCCATATAGGTACATATATATTAAATCTATAAACATTGCGGTTTGAACGTGTTAAATTGTTGGACCATGCAATGCAAGTACAATGTCCTTATAACAACAAATACAAGAAACAAAAAAAAAACAAAAATAAATAAATAAAAACAAACATGAACTAATGATTAATGGTTTATTATTGAGATCATATTATCACAGACAAAGGTGACTAGACTAGATATTTTGGTAGTGGATGACACAGCAAGCAGCAGCAGACGAGAGCACAAAACAGCTAGCGTGTGGCGACTGGCAAAGTGGCAATCACAAGAGTCACAGTGCAGTGCTCAAAAGTGCCACACATTACCTGATACGGGAGTAGATCTCTCGCTTCATCCATGTTGGTGATTTCGAACGTGGGTGGCTGTGGAAAAGGCCCTTTGCCCGGATAGGACGTGCTGCGTCTGAACTTAACGGGGGATATGACTTGTTGATGATTGAACGTGGGACTGGGTTTCCGACCGGCGACTCCCATTTGCTGCAGCGGCGTGAGGTTGGGCACGCTGCGGCCCCGATTCCAGGCAGAAGAGCCCCCGGACCAGCTCTGCCCCGGGCTGGCCCACGACCCGTAGCCCTTGTACAGCGCGTGGCCGGATTGCTGCCGGCCCATGTTATGGGGGAAGTTGTGGCTGGCCGTGATGGCCCGCCGGCCCTGGCTCTGGTTGTTGCCGAACAGCTGCTGCTGGTTCGGGGACGGGAAGTTCTGGAACCCGAGGCCGTTCACGCTCATGCCGGGCGCGTACGAGTCCTCGATGGCCGCGGACCACAGCGCCCCCGGGGTGCCCTCGGCGGGGTGGAAGAGCGGCAGCGACGGCGCGGCCTTCGTCGACACCTGTTCCAGCTTGTCGCCGAGCTCGGGCCCGCTGTCGCCCTCCTTGGCCGCCTTCTCCGTGCCGGGCTCGTCCGCCGCGGGCCCGCTGCCGGCCTTATCGGCGAGCTCATCTTGCATGGGCCGCCCCTGAGCCTGGAGGATGGAGTCTGTGCTGCTCGTCGACGTAGGTGTGGTGTAGAATATCGTACTGTTCTTCGACGTGTTCACGGGTATCTCCACAGCACTCAAACCGATGTTCGCGTTGCCACTCAAACTAAACTCCCCCATTAGTGCACGTCACTGAGTCTAGGGCCGGTTATCGTCGTTATGTCATACACGTACACCCGCAGAACACTCCACCAGTGAACCACCAGCCCACTTTTCTGTCAGTGTCACTAGTTTGCGCGGAAGGCCTGCCCGAATTCGCACGATTACTCATCGGCCGAAGCCGAAGTGACCGCCTGCCAAAGATTACATCGAACGGACCTGCGCATTGCCGCGGACCGCAAACTGTCGCTGACGTCGACTAGGGCTCCACCTGCGCGCGCATCTGATCGAACAGCTGATGACGACATATGAACCATAATGGCTTGCATTATGACGCGCATTAACACAACACAAACACTTCCTCGACTCTCCTCCTCTTCTTCATTTTCTCCGACGCACACGACACATCTCTGCTCTTCGACTACCACACATCCACTCAAATTAACGCACTTGCACCTCGCAGGTACCTAAACAAACATTCAGCGCCCACTTGGACGACCCTTCCGGCAGAGATTTTCGACCAACCGGCATGCTGCTTCGCGGCCAACTTCTCTAAACAAACAAAACTCATGATCCCTTTAAAACCAACAACAAAAAAAATCAGAAAGTAAAAATGCATCGCCTGAAGCAGTCAAACTTTTGATTTAATGAACTTATCCGCAAACACCAATAACGTTGTTAATAAAGTGTCAAATTTCTCCAAACATATGCACCAGCCAACTAATTATCTGCAACGTTAATTAAAACGAGCGAAGACAGACAACTAAAAACCAATTATGTTTTATTAAATCGCCGCTCACTTTCTTTTAAATTCCGAATTTGTGTCGCTTTCTTCTCTGAAAAAATGAACGCTACCAATTTTATATCGTGGACGTTTTTACCGCTACTCAGTAATCATTTTGAATACAACCAATTAAGCGGAAAATCTTCGACGGGCTATGTTTCCGCGCTACATTTTTAAAAATACCCAGCGTGTGACGTTTCTGCTGTGACTAAAGTACCGGCCTGATTCGGTTCGTAGACGTCGCCGCAACCACATTCAGTTGAGTTGGTGTTAAAAAAAACAGTGAAGAGTGAAGCAACGAAAAGAAGAAATTCGCTAACGTTTGCGAGTTTGTTTGCAGATTTAAGTGTAGAAAAGCTAGAGGATATGTAAAGTATTCGTTTATTTATGTGAACTGACAATAATAATGGCTTTAAATGTGGAAGGACGCACTTAACCTGCAATAAATATTTACGTTAACAGAGTTATAAATGAAGTTGAAACAATAATCGAAAAGCAGTGTGTTATTCTCATTATTTTCTTCGAAAGATAAAAATAATGTTGTTAGATGGAAATACTCAACAGTGTGTTAATTAATTGGTCCAGCAAGAAGTTATTCATGTGAAGACTTGTTCAAGATGAGTCACAACAACAGTGACCAAACCCCCCTTTCTCAACCTTTGAAAGTAGAAACTGACAATAATAGTGTCCATGCGGAGACCAGTAATTACTATGAAGAAGATAAAGATAACTTTAGTAGAACTAATGATAATGAGGACAATGATTCCTTGGGACCTCTTCCCCCGAAGTGGGAAAAAGCATACACTGAGAGTGGCGAAGTTTACTTCATTGAGTAAGTTACACCTCCCAGCCAGTGATCTCATGTAGTCCGTAGTTATTCTTAACACACCACTAAATGCCAAAAATAGGAGGCACCTAACACTTAGCAAAATAAACCTCTATAAATAGCAAAGAAATTGACACTAAATGGATAATTACTTTCCAACACGAATTCGAATTCATTGTAGATGAACATAATTGAGCGCTAACTTGCAAACCTCAATTAATTGAAGTGTTATTTCATTGTAATTTCTGATTCTTTACATAGTTTTGAAACATTTCTAGACCGTTCGTTGTGTTAATGTTAATCACTGTCATGTGACTTGCATGATCCTACTAAACGAGACCAACCCAAGCTTATGCATGCTGAAATATTGCTTAAAGCTTTTAAATTTTGCAGGATTGTATCAATATGGAATGAAATTTAAGTTTACTATAATTACAAAAATTGTGTAGTGCCTTTTTGTTATCAAGCTTGCTACAAGGTATCACATGCCATTCGTATTTTTCTCAGCCACTCTACCGGGACGTCGCACTGGCTGGATCCACGACTTTCGAAGTTCCAGAAGAAGTCCCTTGAAGACTGTCTAGACGACGAGTTGCCTTACGGTTGGGAAAAAATCAGCGATCCAAATTACGGCACCTATTTCATAGATCACGTGAACAGACGAACTCAGTACGAAAATCCTGTGATACAAGCAAAAAGAGCAGCATCCCAAGCTTCCGCGCGTGCGAGTCGCACGTCTTTCACTAAAGACCCCGCAGAACTGTGCGGCCAACGATTTCGCACTTCTCTTGTCAAGTCTTCTAGAGGTTTAGGTTTTACAATAGTAGGTGGTGATGACGGCGTTGACGAGTTCCTACAAATCAAATCCGTGGTTCCTAAAGGACCGGCTTGGTTGGACGGCCAACTTCAAACAGGCGATGTTATTGTTTACGTTAATGATACCTGCGTTTTGGGGTACACGCATATTCAGATTGTTAGATTGTTTCAGTCTATTAATGTTGGATCTACGGTGTCGCTGGAGGTATGTCGGGGGTATCCGCTACCGTTCGACCCGAACGATCCGAACACGGAGGTTGTTACAACAATCGCGGTGGATTCGCACCTTCAACAAGTACCCACCGACAAGCGACTTCTAGACACGAATTACAATTTTTTGGATGGGGATGATATATCCAGGGAGGAGGACAACACACTGGAACCGTCTGACGATATAGACGATTTGATTAAAGGAATAGGGAATTGTACGTTGGGGAAGGTTGAAGTGAGGGTACGCATCGTCAAGGGGAATTTGGGTTTTGGATTTACCATAGCAGATAGTGCGTGTGGGCAAAGGGTTAAACAAATACTTGACCGACAACGCTGCAAGAATCTCATGGAAGGTGATATTTTATTAGAAATAAACGACATTTCCTTAGTCAATATGTCTCATGATGAAGTTGTACAAGTATTAAAGAATTGTCCTTACAACAGTGAGGCTACAATTTGTGTTCAAAGAGGATGCACAAACAAAACACCAAATATTAGGAATAAGTTACGAAAATTAGATAATAGATTTGGTGGTAAAGACATCAACAACGTTTATCGCAGCAAAACACCAACGGCCGATATCTATAGTACCCAACCAAGAGAAGTGTTGCCCAGTCGTCCCAAAACACCTCTGGTTGATACAAGAAGCCTTTCTAAAACACCAGTTAAAGATTTAAACTCTAACTCAAACAACGAACTCTTCAAATGTGACTATAGTAACGACAACTTTAGTGCTGATCGTTCACGACTTCGCCTATCCCTCATCGACAACCCTGAAGAAGAAGACGACATAGACATATCAGAAAACGGACCCAGTAAGCCTTCCTACGACTACCCGCCTCCAGTTGTCGACCCTAAGTACTCCTGGGGGACCCTCATGATGCACCAATACGACTGCACTTGTTACAATTGTACCAACCCCCGAAACACCATGGTCGACAACTGCGACAGCTACGACCCCTCCATCAAAAAAGCCCCTGGGGGCGACTACTGGCAGTACGTGCCACGAAACGCAGAATACATGACCACCACAGTCATACTCCACCGCCAAGAAACCGGTTTCGGCTTCAGAATCGTAGGCGGCATTGAAGACAAGTCCCAGGTCGCAGTGGGACACATAGTGGCAGGTGGCGCTGCGGACTTGGACGGGCGAATCCGATCCGGGGACGAAATCGTGAGCGTGGACGGGTTTTCGGTTTTGAGGGCGTCACACCGCCAGGTCGTGCGGCTGATGAACTCCGCCGCTGCCAGGGGACAGGTGACTTTGGTGGTGCGGAGACGGCTGTACCCGCCGCCGATGATGGCGCCTTATCCTATGGGGGTGAATTGGCCGCACGAGAACCCGCCGCCGCCGCCTGCCTCGCACCTGCCGGTGTTGTCGCCCCCACACTCCGAGGGTAACTACGATGTGACGGTACAACGAAACGAGAACGAAGGGTTTGGGTTCGTCATCATATCGTCAGCTAACAAGCAAGGGTCGACGATCGGTGAGTCTTTATTCCTTGTGTGGGAAGTAATGGCTGATGGTCGTTTTGTAGGTCGTTTGATCGAGGATAGCCCAGCGGAGAAGTGCGGGAAGCTGCGAGTCGGTGATCACATAGTGGCAGTCAACCATATTGCAATAATGCACTTAAGTCATGGTGATATTGTTAACTTGATTAAAGAGTCGGGTTTGTCTGTTACTCTAACTATTGCACCTAATTTCGATCTTTGATTACGTAGTAAGAGTAAGTCGAATTTTTTCCGAAAATCAAAAAAGTTCTTAAGTAGAGTGTTTTTGATTAAGATGTTGTCAGATTAAGATATATATGAGCCTATGTTATAAATTTGAGAATTGTTGCCTAATACCAAATTGTATTTAAAGATTTGTGATAGTGTTTTCTCACTGCCTTGACGGATTTAGAAATGATGAAGTCACTTTATGTGCTTTAAAACAAAAAAAATCACTTTTTCGTTTGACGTTAAAATCGACTGAGTTTTGTTTTAGTTAAAAAAAGTCAAATTGTGAAAACCAAAGCTGATGACGGTTTATTGGCAGGATAATTTGGTCTTTATCTGAACTGGTACTGGCTATAACGTCAGCTGAAACGCTTTGCTCAAAACCAGTTTTATTGTTAACGTATTTTTAAACTTGAAAACGTGTTTAGCCGTAGGTTTTGTAATAAAATTCATTGAATCTCGTATTATACACAGCTATGACGACATTTTTGTTACCTACAACTTTGCATTTGCTTCTTATTTATTATATATTTTTATATTCTGTTTATTTTACTTTAATTTTATGTTACCTCTATGTTATGACATAGGTTAATTGTAACTGCAATATAATCTAACAAGAGTATAATAGGGGACATGTAATTTTAAGGCGCAGAGCGGATCTTACGTTCTAAATCAAAACCACACTAAACTTTTATATTTACATGTAAGACAAACTCTGCGCCGCAAAATTCAAATAAATATGTGATACACAATATGTAAAATTATTCATTAAACTGGGATGCTTCTCATAACAATATATAAGCGAATTTCTTCAAATTTTACGTATTGTGCCTTTAAGTATAACTTGCCGTTCATTTATTCGCATGTTCATTGTATTTCCATTTTCTGTTTGCGTAAAAATGTTCCTTCGTAGATCTGATACTAATAAATTCATTCCGGCCAGAGCATTTAAAATTTTTTACTAGACTGATTATATGTAAAATTTGTACATACATTGTTCAGATTGTACTCTCGAAATATATTCATTATTATTTCTGCGAGTATTTCTTTATAAACGTGGCCACCATATTACTCCATTTGGTTGTTCTAGCCAGTAGTCACACACATGAATGTAAGGACAACCGCAGTTCACTAAAACGGCAGAACTCAAAAAATAAGCAGTTAACTCAAATTTATGTAAAAAAAATATATGCAATACAAATAATTTACAAAAACATATATACAATAAGTTCATTAATATGATAAAAAGTTATTTCATTTCAAATATCCACCTCGTTAGTAGGAATCTGAAATAATGAACGAATGTCAAACACACGTCTAAAAACAACATGAATCTAAACACTAAACCTAATACTCTCTAAAATATGCATAATTGTTGTAATAGTAATCTTCATGGACATTAGTAAAGGAGCACTCATATGGAGGACTATAACTACAACTGGATAACTTGCCTGAAGATTCAGATTTAGCACTATTGTAAATCGCTTCAAGCTGGGGTTGTACATATCCCAGTAACGGTCTGTCCGCTGGTTCTGCAGACCAACACTGTTCCATAAGATTCCAACAAGCTTGATTAAACTGCGCCAAACATTCAGGTCTTATACCTACAACAACATACGTTAATGCGAGTCAAAATCGTCTACCCCTTCACCTTTCCGCACACTACTCCACAGTTGCTCCTTGTTTTGAAACTGATCAAAATGATTGGGCAACTTCACTTGTCCAGCACAAATATACCAGAACAAAATCCCAAAAGCGTAAACGTCCACGCTGGAATCGTAACGACCTGAAAGTAGCTCTGGTGCCATATGAACCGGAGTCCCCACAACGCTCCCTGACATCATAGCTTCAGGAATACAAAACCCGAAATCCGTCAGCTTCGCTCGATCATCACTATCGAGCTAAACGGACTACATTAACACCACAGTAACGTCAACGGCGGCACTTACTAGAACGTTCTTGAGTTTGATGTCCCTGTGGACCAACCCCTGAGAGTGTAAATACCGGATGCCTTCCACCACGTCGATCGCAATCCTCAACCTCTTCACCCACGATAACCCGTTACGGAGTCCACAGTGTAGGTCCCGGGTCATCCTCTCCATAATAAGAAGAACCGCTGGAGAACTACCACCTCCGTACGTGTAATCTATCACAGACCCTCTCAGTTTCACGATTCGTGGATGCTCGGAAATAGTTCTACAAAAAGCAAACAATACCCGGAAGTCGCACCAGAATATTTATACCTAGTGTAGTAGAACTCCATCGCAAGGTCATTCCAGTGTCTGTCGTCCGGAGGCACCACCGATTTGAACGCGCAAGGATCTATTTCCGCCCACGGCTCACAAGACGACACAACCCCATACTGTCCCCGCCCAATCTCGCGGATTTGTTTAGGCATCCCCCAGACAACCAAATCGCACAAAGACGTGCTTTCTAACGCCAAACGTGCGAACCTTGGGGCGTGCCTTTTACGAATCAAAATCCGCTGCTCTTCGGTTTGTTCCAACTGACCTGAGAGCTGGTTTTCGAGAGAGCGAATAGCGCTCTGGAACGCCTCGTGCGACAGCTTTACGTGTTCTTGAAACTGTTGGAGGATGGTGTTACATAAAATACATTTAATGAATAGATGGTAATCGAGTACCCTCTTCTGCACGCACACAGACTTACCTGAGTTGAAATGGTTTTTGCTAATTTTGACGCACTTAAAGAGTCGATTATGTTTGTTACAACCTGGAGTTGCCACTGTACGCCACACTGGACTTGAGATGATGACCATGGCAGTATGAAGTTGGCTAATATGGTTCTTAGACGATCCATAAAGGTATGAACTATGGAAAATGATGTTGATGAGTTTAGGTCGATACTGTAGGCGGCACTCAGAATTTGTTTGACGGCGTCGGAGGCCGACAAGTTGCCTTCTAAATCGTGGCAGTTTTTTTCAAGACTTTCTAGACATCTTTGTAGGGTTCCGGTGAAACTTTCTTGCAGGCAACCAACTGATTGGACGATTTGAGTAGCGACGGAGTTACGCAGTCGTTTCAAAACTAACTGTTGGATTTCTAGAGTTGCCACTTTCGTCGATTGGTGGTCGTCGTCTAAGAAAATTGTAAAATTGTAACAATTTAGAGAAAAAACAAACAAGACGGAAATATACTTTTGTTATATCCCTGAAGAACCTCACTAACGTTTGATCTCATATCTTGTAAAGTCCGTTGGATGATTCCCGTGATTTCTTCTTGCTGTTCACTTGACATTTTCATTAGTTTTTTGTACAACTGAAGTTCTATGTCTTGGGCATAGCGAATACGTCTTGGGGTTATTTGAATTTCGCGTGCCATATCGAACGCCGACAAAATAAATCGTCGTAAGCACTGACTATGGATCTACAGTGTTACACTTAGATAATATTCTACATGAATAAAATTAAAAATACCTCGCTAAGTAAGGCAGCAAGTTTCAAAATACTCGACTTTAAAACCTCATGAATGAACACTACAAAATCTTCGTTCATCTGTTTATCACATATGAGGGTGTTATACAAAGAACAGTCCAAACAATACGATTTTCTTTTTATTAATTCATCAGTCTTTGTGTTATCTGCATCATTTAAATATCCTACAAAAATCGCAACGCTTCTATTTCAATTTTCAACAAAACATGTATGTCAATGAAATTTGGATGTTCATGTATTCAATATGATGGGTAGTCATTAACCAATGAGTTATGTATGAGACAAAATCTTACCTAATCTTATTAACTGATCACGTAAATTCTGCATTTGTTGTAAATAATGTTGACCACCATTGCGTTCAACCAAGTGTTGTTCAGACTCAGTTAAAGAATCAGTACTTTGTGAAGGTTCAATATTTGAAACAGTAACAAATAAAAAAGGCGAATTAAAAATCTCTTTCAATTTACGAATTTCTTGAATATTCTGAAACAAACGAGTTAGAGTTTGCAAAAAAATCATTGGTATTTACAGAATCACTGAGGATATCTTCGGACACAGCATATATTATCACAGGTAAGGTGTTGCTCATATACTTATTGAGAATTTCTGGTAAATGATCAATATGACAATCTGGAGGGACCATAATATTAGCGTTGTCTTTTAGAAGAGGGTGATCAATTTCTACTTCTAGTGAAGCACAAACATCATCACCCGTCCTTTGTAAATCTTCTTCTGGTATAGTAACCCATGGGTTCTCATGTGCTTTCAATTTTTCAACAATTTCATATTCATGACCCCACGTTAAACGGATATTCCTTGACTGTCTATATTTAAAAGTGATCTAATAAAACAAACAGTGAAGAATTGAAAGTAATTGATGAAGGAACTTACATAACGCCACTGGGTGCTAAACAACGGTAGAATAATCTCATTTAGTAAACTGTTGACGAATAAGGCTTTAGCATGACAGTTCTGGCCAAAAACCATCAGTGTTGGTGTTGTATCTAGCTTATTTTTAAATTTATCGATTACATCTTGATTCAACAAATCTTCTTTAATCTCTCCTAGAAAAAGACAGGATAACAAGTGATTACACTTTGTGGTTGTTACTTACTTCCTAACTGTAAATTGCTACTAATATCATCCAAAGCACAACGAGTATCCCGCAATATCCTTCCCAAACTTTGGCAATTTTTCGAATAATTTCTAAATTCCTTTGGTACGGCATTCAACATCGTTACACATTTAATTGTTTACATTTGAAATAATAAAATACTGATACTTTAATAATTTGTCATGCCTAATATTAAAATACAATTTATAATTTTACATTAACCATACATAAACTTGTCAAAACATCAAACATAAAAAATACACTGGGTTTGCGGTACATTGGTAGTGTCGTCGAAACAGCGCCACTAGCGAACCGACGACCCGCGATGTATTGTTGGTCACATAATCACTGAAATTTTAACCAGCAAACACCAACTGATTCGACATCGATAAACCCAGCTGCCAAATTTTACAACAAATTGTTGTATTTAATTACATCATTTACAACGTGTGAAGTTTATGGAAAGTCACAGTCGGGTAGACAATTTTTTAGGCTACATAATTAAAATTGAGCACATTTCGTTGCACATTTACTATTTAAACTAGAACACTGTCGACGTGTTTCAACAGCTACGCTGTAATTTTGCCGGATTTTTCAATTCCTAAGCTCTTTTGATGGTTTTAGTAAGGAAGTAACAAAGTTTTCCGTTTAAGCTCCATCACTCCAGTAATCAATCCACTTGCATGAATGATAATCCAGCTGCCGAATCTTAATTCTAAGTGGCATCTCTACATAAAGCAATCCTGGAATTTTAGCACTCTAGAGACCCGGTGTTAGTTGTCGTTGTTAATTATGAACTTTCTGATTGAAAGTATGAGGGATTTGTATTCTCAGATGGTCATCAATCATCATAATGAAAGTCCCCTGGGCGAAGTCTCTAGCCCTTAAGTTCTGTAGAGGGCAGTAGAACAACAATACATTATCGGATGTAGATAAAACCGGGTTCAAACTTGAGGTCGAAGATTTTAAATGGACTTCCGAAGTGTGGGACGGCAAACAAAGGTTTGCGTTTCTAACAAGATAGTGTCGGGGAATTCAAAGGAATTATAACAGCAAACGGGGGATGATGATCTGGAGTGTCCATTGTGATCTTGTGAGGGTTGGGTTTGTTTTGAGTGTGGACCTAACTTAAATTTCAGACATGTACTTAGCAAGAATAGGATAAACTCACTATATTCCAATTTTTTTGTTCAGATTTAAACGTTTTTGCATTTATCTTCCCTTTTTGAGTTAAAAATTTAACAAAGTGTGATAAGTAGTTAACGAGTTAATGAAGTGACCCTGACCCGACACTTTTAACGAGGTCTAATTCCACAACAATTAAACAGTTATACAGAAGCTGTAGTGAAAACGCTTGCAAATCTCATCTGGTAATGTCAGAGAGCTTTCAATTTAATGGGTCGAGGTGTAGCCGGAACTGAACGATTTTTCCTAATTTATGTGAAGTCAACGTTTAACCCGATTTGCACATCCAAGTGCATTTGCTATGCTTCAAACTACAAGAAAAGGTGTGTTCCTCCGGGGTGAGTGAGCAAACTCTGCAAGACCATTCCCCTTATGTAAATCCATTCGAACCAAAAAGGAAGTTGCGTTAATTTATAAGTTCCTTTAACGTCACTGTAACATTTTTGACCCATAAAGCTAAAATTCCTGAATTGATCGCTGTAAACTTGGGGGAAAGCGTCATCACGCAATATATCGCGCTGAGTTAAATCAGAGCTCGGCAGGATTGTGCAGTCTCACCCCTTGCTTCCTCCAAGACGCAAGTGTTAAGTGAAGGTGGTGAAAAATGTCGCGGGTCCATCTCGGGTGTATATTGTTGGTCTACACGTGCTTGGCGGCGAGAGAACCCCCTATGGTGACCATCCCGGGTCAAGGGACCATCCAAGGAAAAGAAATCTCCAGATACAGGTCCCAAAAAATCATCGGCTTTTTTGGCATACCGTACGCTGTACCCCCTTTGAACAATCTGCGGTTCGCACCTCCAGACACCGACAATTTGGAACAATGGGAAGGGGTGCAGAATGCAACCGAGTACAAACCTGCATGTCTACAAACAGAAAAAGACATCCGGGAGGAGGCCAAACCGTTCCTAGACCTTATTTTCCCGTCGTTTAGTGAAATGGAAATGAACGAGGATTGCCTCTACCTCAATGTTTTTGTACCTTTCGGTAAGAAAAATCTATATTTGAATACAATTTCGTCATTGTCATGGAAAACGCGTGTTTCACTTAAATATTATTTATCGTTTACACACTTATTCTGCCACTTCATGCTTTTTAGCAACTCGTGAAATATTCATGACTGAATAATTTAATCTGGACATTCGTGATACAATTAAAGAAGAACAAATTTGCTTTTAAGTGTCTCAATTTATCAGAACGCGGCTATTTTAAAAGGTGCTGTCGCAGCAGATCTAGTCAAGGGGCGCTATAAATATATATATAATATGATTTTCATATATGTATATGTGCCATTTTCACTCCTCCGGAAAACAAGCGCCCTTATTCGCAACCCTTAATATCACGCTTTGACATTATAATCCCCAACTACAGTCCCAAAATGCTACTCTCCCGTATTGAGTTTCTTCGACACGTGTAGTTACCCCGTATGTATACTTCTTTGTACTTATAAAAACAATGTCTCAAAACAGTAAAAATCACTCGTTAACATTTCATGTCACAAAGACGTAAATATATCGTTGTTAGTATATTTTATTCCGAATCAATAACTAATTTCCATTCAGGGAGGCCCGCAGTGACTCGAAACATAACGTTCACATTATTTTGTTAAAATAAAATTTTAGTCATAACAATAACACTATAATTACTGAGAACCGTCAAAGAATTACTTCCTGCCCACTAATAGTGCTACCATTTAACTGCAAAAAATCATTCATGTATGTCCGTTGAAGAAGAGGGTACTCGCTACTTTCACAGATGCAACGAGTACCCTCTTCTCAATACCTCGGACTTGTTATTTACTTAAACCTAGAAAAAAATCCACAACAGCACGACATTAGATGGGACCAAAATGTGTTTGTTCAACCAAACACACTTTTTTATGCGCAGTCTAGTTTTTTGTGAACGTTTGCCCGCTGACTTTTGTCCTTTTCGGTTCCACGCACCCACATGTAATTTTAAACCTTTGCGACTGAAGAATGTTTGCAAAACACGAAAGTTTTTTGTGGTGTAGACCACGACCTACCTGAACATGATCAATATGGCAATGTGTATGCAAAATTCTCTCTTTTCTTAAAAACAGTGCATATGTGCATAAACTACGCAGTGTGCTAGACGATTTAGTCCGGTCCCACTTTGGCCAGGTTCCCCTACCGCATCGATTGCATGAGTCATATCTAAGGAGTAATCGTATATTTTAATTTCTTACATGGAAATACATTTCTCCGACCTTGAACTGGTGTGACGTGCCATTTTGGCTTAGTCGCATAATTTGATTTAGATTGGGTAGATTTAGGAGTTTATTGAGTCCGGGCCTGCATGGTTAGCCGTAAACAATTAGTTTTGGAGCGTCACATTCTCACATTGATTTTTCAATAACGCCTTGTTATTTTTGCGAAAATGGTGTTGTCGCCTTTTCCTCCCCATTTCCTTTTATGACCATTGTCCGTCGCATGCATATAAAGCAAACACAGGCGAACAGGACCGGACGTAGGTAATGCTAAATGCCGGTTTATAGCGTGTCTTTCCCTCATTATAGACCTTGGCACGCATCAAGAAAATAAAATTTGCAGTTCAGTTCCCTAAAGCACAAATCGCGTGCTCGAATTTGTCTCGATTTCAAAGTTGACCATCTACACGTCAGAGATTGCTTAATTGGGCTTTTGATCTTGAAAGAAAAAGTTGATATAAAAGATGGCGTCTTTATTTTGATTTTCGTGGAATCAATGAACTCGAAGGGAGAAATTTAAAGTCAGACATAGCGTGACTAGTTTTAATGCGTGGAGGACTAATGATGAATTAGAGTAGCAAGCTAAGATACGCAACACGGTGAGGAAGAGGGTACTCGCTGCAATCTATCGATCGTGGCGAGTACCCTCTTCTCCCCAGACACGGATTTGATAAACATGTGTTGCAGGCAATTCCCCGAGCAGTGGATTCGCGACCATAGTATGGTTCCATCCCGGGAATTTTACGACAGGGTCTCCAGCTATGTGGAATCCTCATACCCTGGTCTACAGGTATCGAATTATCCTGGTCACTTTCGCCTGGCGTTTGAACATAATGGGTTTCTTTTCCACGTTGGATGGCGAAGCTCCGGGTAACTTCGGTATGATGGATCAACAAGCTGCTATGATGTGGGTGAAAAAAAACATTAAATTGTTTGGAGGAAACGAAGACAACATTACTTTAATGGGTTATGGAACGGGTGGTACAAGTATAGGCTTACACATGCTCAATCAAAAATCTAAAGAATATTTTAATAAAGCTATAGTGATGAGTGCAAACTTTCTAAGTCCTTCGATAGTTAAAGATCCGAAAGAAGATCGTAGCATAGATCTAGTTGATAAATCTACCCCTTGCAACAGAAGACCAACTTCTCATTTCATAGATTGTTTGAGAGAGCTTGATGGTAAACCTTTGGTAGATTTAACATCCACAATTGACTGGAAACCCCTACTGGATCCTAATCTAAGTAACAGCACTAACGCGTTTATTCCAGATATTCCAAAGAATTTTTTCGAAAGAGGTGACTTTCACAAAATTCCTGTTTTGACAGGTTATACAAATATGGACGCGATTTTATCATATACGACTCTAATCGATCAATTTGCAACGGAGAACATAACCACCGAAAACCTTCAACAAATTCTTTCCGAAATCATCAATTCTGACTTTTCTGCTTACAACAACTCTGATTGTTCTAACAACTACGAGCAACTAACAGACGCTGCTATGTTTTTCTATGGTCCAGATCCCGTAAAAGGTGTTAAAGACCTAGATTCCATAAGGAAAATAGTGGCAGACTTTACAACCGAAAAAAATTTTGCTGCCTCTACATATCTCCACGCAAGTTACATCAGCAAAGAACAACCAACTTTTGTTTATCGTTTTGATTTGAAACCTAGCACAAAATGGGTAGCCGATAGTCTACCAGAGTGGGTATCAGTTCCTCACCTTTACGACCTTATATACGTCTGGGGGATACCATATTGGCAAGAATTCGATGGAGTAAACAGCTGGGAAGTGAGAGATAAACGAATTTCAGAAATTATGATGTCTTTTTGGACCAACTTTGCCAAATCATCTAACCCAACTAATGGGACTTTGTATGCGATTCGGTGGGAACAATTTACACCAGACAATCCACAGATGATGGTCATGGATGGCTCTTTCAATATGAGCAACAGCGCAAAAATTAACTACAAATCGTTCGAATTTTGGAATAATTATTACCCAAAAGTTCTACAAACGGCAACCCAATGTTGCGGGACGCAAAACGACATGGCGTCTGGTCTTCAAATACCATATAGTGTACTTATTTTTACCACCTGTCTCTATGTTATGCAACTATTTTGAGTTAAAATGATTAAGTTGCATGAAATTTATCAACATAACCTTACTTTTGCTATTTTCAAATATTATTCACATTTTACTTTGACAACTAACTGAATTGTATGCAAAAGTGAGGTTATAAACTTTGAAACACTTCAGTATAATAAATTTTATGAAACGCTAATTTATTGTAAGTTCAGTTCTAGTCTAAATTTAAATATTTTGGCACAAAACAATGTCTAGGATTGTGTGTTCTATTCTATCAAAATGCTTAATTTTTTCGTTAATCGAAGTCAATCATTAGAACTTAGAAGTAATGGAGGAACTTTTGCGCAGGATGGTTTAAATTTCGAACTAGGAAAATAATATCCAGGATAACTGTTAGAGCGAAAACTGGTTTTTAGATTGGCCGCCTTGTCAAAATAATGATCATAATCAAAGCACCGAAAGATGATATTAACATCGAAATCAAAAATTTTAAATTTCCATTTATAACTTCGTACACTGTCACTTTTGGACACTTATACTTTATCATGTTTATAAAAGTTTCCCAATTTAGCTAGACTGTAACAGAAAATAATTAGTAGACGTATCTTCTAAATTAATTTATTTTCAACATTTTTCCAGTAGTGGTATTATTAACCAACTTTTACGAAAATGTAGTATTTAATTTAAAACTGTATATATTATATATAAATTAAATAAGTCTTCCTTAGATCATTTTCGTTTGTAATTTTTAATTCCTCATTTTTATCAAGTAACTTAGGTAACGATTTGGCCAATGTAGAGGCGAAAATACCTTGCACATTTATTTTGTACATAGATCATACTATTTTTTGTATTAAACGATATTAAAGAGTAAGTTTTTGCATTATTTTTTTTGTACATTTTTTTTTGGTTTTTCAACATTTTTAAAAATTGTGATATTTCAATGAGCTATTCTGGAAAAACCGTTGGAGTTATCGAAGACATGAGGCCGGAAGTTAGGGTATTCCACTGCCACTTTGTACCGCTAGAGGAGCCACGTCTGTAAGGACAAAATCACCAAAATGTGTCAAATATAGTGACTTTCATGTGGTAAAGTTGTCCCTCTGTATGCGGCGAATGTATTACTAGATATATTAACAGTAAATTTTTATTCAAATCAAACAAAATGAACAAGGACTGATTAACCAAAGCAGCTGACAAATACACAAAACACAAATGCCATTTTGGGTGTTGCCAACCTTTGGTTACAAACTGGTGCCCCTTCGGTGGTGGCGACATCTACTTTAGCTTCGCGTGGAATGTGTTTAGTTAAATTTCGAAAATCGTCGAAAATGGGTCGAAATTTGCATTTCCATTTTTGAAAAGTCGTCCAAAATTTTCAAAAAATTCAGGGTTATGGATCTCGACATGCTGATTCAAAAAATTAAACGTGTTTGTGGTCACGAAGTAATATTTTTTTCGAATGTATCTATTATCTATTTCTGCTTAAGAAAACTTCATTTTTGTTTAATAAAATTAAGGTTTATTTCTTGAAGTTTTTAGTAATGTATGAAGTCATTGTTGAATTCCCTTTCAGATTTTTGGGAAATTCGCTGATTTGAACAAATCGTTAATCCGAACACACCTTTTGCCCAATTAGGTTTGGGTTATCGAGCTTATACTGTATTGAAAATTTTAAAATAATAAAATAATCGCTGTAACTCAACACCACGTGTAAATTTGACGAATACAGATTTTTTAATCACGCTATCACATTTTTAAGATAAGATAATTATTCTCTAAAATTTGAAAAAGCAAGCCCGGGAAACGAAAAATTTCCATCTAGAATTCTGTATTTTCTTATTTATCGAGATATGACACAGATGGCACTACAATTAATGTCACTAATTTTAACTAATTCTAACATCATTTACACCTGCTGCCATTACTTTTGGTATTAACTGTACTATACAGCGAAATTAATTATTTTCGGTAAATTACACGTTAAAATTAGATAATTTTCGTTCGATGACGTCCGCAATGACAATAAAATAAGTTATGTTGCTTATGCGCGCGCATTCTAGCAAAAATTTTGACTAAACTATTTCCCAGTTGGTTGCTCGTCGAGTCGATTTCACACAGCATAATGTTAGAAATCTGGAATTATCTGAAGGAATGGTTTAAAATGAAACTTTTTTATACGATGTTGTGGTAATTTGCGTAATGCTATCTACTAGCTCAAAAATACCATCCGCTTAAGGAAAGTTTTGATATTACTCATTCGGATGTAAACAAACTGACTAAGGAAAATCGAAGTTTCTTAACAGCTCGGAATGTCCGCTTCCCAATGACTGTCACCCTTATGTGCTAGTTCGTAAGGCCATATCAGAAATTCGGAACAGTTTGGCGTAGTCGCCTTTTCTGTTTTTATTTTTTCTATGCAAGTTTCTGTTATTGAACGTCACAGTTGGTCAAGGTCACTCCGACCGGTGTTGTTTATCTGTCATTATCTCTACACATAAAGGCTTATGTAATTTTATGCATACTTTTTTACAGCTTGTGTAGTATTATTTAAAAATTAGTTTAAATAAGTAAATTATCAAACCCACTTGTCAAAATTGGTATTACTGATTACAGCGTCAAGTAGCTTCAAATCTGATAAATTAACAACTGATAACGGAAAGTAAGAAATTAATTTAATAAGCACATTCGAATGTAATTTGATTTCACACATTCCTAATAGCCATATTTACCCAAGTGAGTCAGAAACGTCAAATGTTGGTTGTCGGTACATTTGACCTTGAATCTTTTTCTCACTAAACCTTACTATAAATATATGAAATTAAAAAAAATATACTTTAGGGAGAGAATAAGCACGACTTGACTGTTGTTAAAATAAAGACGTGTGAAAAAGAGGACTTAAACATCTCCCCGACTATGACTCATTATTGATCATTGCATAGATAAGATTTATAATTAATATACTGATAATGACAGTTAAGTGCACATCTTCAGACTGACGAATTTATCATTTAATTTAAACAATGACAACGCGTTTTATTTTAATATTATATAGGTCGCATGGGCAAATAAGACCATATTGCTAAAATAATTGTAACTAGTTATGATTAATTTTCTTGTCTTTATGTTATTTGGGCGTTTTTTACTAGGTCAGTTATTGATTGTGGGTGCGTTTGCTCATGTCCTAATAAGAAACAACAATAAGATTGATGACAACATAATAGAAAAATGGTTTATTTATAAGACAGGAGAAATAATAAACCACCTGACTGATGATTCAGTTGTTAGAATAATAATTTGAAATTGCAGTGTGCGCCACCTTTTTAAATAAGTGTCGTGTCATCGAACAGATGGCAGCACTAACCAAATAACTAAAATCGCTAAAATGTAGGGAATTTAGACATTACTCACATAATATTTAAACAAGTTGCGAATATGTGATTACTTGTAGATTGTGAAGGAATTAGCAAGTCATAAATATTCGAGTAATAATTTAAGCATAATGTAACGATATTCCAAATCGGGAGTGCAACATTGTGTGTGATTACGAAATCCGTTTCGTTTTTGGTTATTTTTTTGTTGTCAAAGTGGTGGATGTGGGATTTTTTTGAAGTTCTGTTACTGAATATTGGTCATTCCACCCTGACAAAGAAACGATCGTTGCTCTGTTTTTTCAATACTGTTAATTTCTATCATTTCAGTTTGTCGACGAATATTGTACGATTTGGTTTTAAGAATGTTGACATTTAATTTTTTTTGTCAAAGATTCAGTGGTGGGGGTAACTGTGGTCTTTGAGCACGATGAATTGCATAAATAAAAAAAAAGGGTAAAAATTTCAGTGGTTCAGTTGGTGTGGAATGAGTCACTAGGTGATCGTGGCGTTGACGGTTTAAATTTGGCGCGCTTCGAAACTTCATTGATAACCTTCAAAGAAAGTGAAATATCCCTAAAAGGTCTAAATTAGAAGTGTCGGCTGCAAAGCGTGATTATCGTACGAATGAGTGAAAGAAACAAAAGTTTTGTATTCAGTTAGTTGTAGTTAGTTAAAATTCGATGATAAACATTAACTGCGTGTTATATAACGTGCTTTGAACAATAGTTGTAAATGTTGTCGTGTGACGGTACATATTATCAAGTTGTGGTTGCCATGCTTTCATAAACCAACATGGTTACACTCCATATTGTTCGTTTGAACGTAAAATATTATTAAACCACGATAGCTGCATTTACCCCGCGAGGATTAACTCGAAGATGGAAGCCCATTGTGTAGCAACACCAAATCCTGTCCCCAAGGACACTGACAATAAAGCTACGTCTTCAGATAACCCTGGTGCTTCATATGCACATGCTGTTTTGAACTTCAAGCAAAGTAACACCAGCAACAAGGAAAACATCGCAGACACGAAAAACGAGCACAGTGCCACGACCAAACAGGAGAAGGCAACCACTCCAGAGCCTCAAGACCCGAAAGACGATAGTGATACCTTTACCCCAGTCCCAGCCCACAGCCGAAAGGACCGAAAGCATGATCAGTTAAAAAAAGACAAACATAAACACTTAGTGAACGGTACCGTCGAAAAAAAGGACACTCACGACAAATTCAAGAAACAACCGAAGCACGCGAAGAAGCTCGAGAGCCAGCCGTCGAAGGAGTCGCAGAAGGACGAGCAAACCGAGACTAAAAAAGTGTTTGTTGCAGCGCCTATACCAAAAGTGAACGCGTGGCAAATCAAAAACGCAGCTCCGCAAGCAGCTAAAGACACCCTCAGTGATAAACGGGTGCTCCAACCGCAGAAGCAGGAGACCGTACAAAAGAATCAAGCGGCGGCCGTGGTCAAAGCCCCCAAAGACAGGCGCAAATTCAACAAAAAGGTCAGTGCTATAACAACAAAACTTCTGCACGACTGCCTTCCACTTATCCGATTCCAGCATTTTAGATTTTAATTGGACTTTTACACCAAAAGGGCGCTTTTGATAAGTTTTGTTGTCACGCAAATTGGCCACTCTGTGCTAAACACGCTGTACGGAATCGTCGTTGTTGCATCACCTAACGCATTTTTTTTTTTAATTTTTGTTTTTTTTTCCTGTGTTATTTTATTTTTTGCGTATTTTAAGTTTGGTTCATGTTCACGAGCTTGACGATAAATCATTCAATTACACTGCAAAAAGTGCGGCGAAACCGGAAGTGGAAATTCCGTTCGCCCATTCAACAAAGTTTTTGTGTAATGGGAAAAATTACAAATAATCGTATTGAGCGTTCAACTTGTCCATTGTCGCTTGTCAAATGTCAGATGTCAGAAATTGGGTCACGTAACGAAGTATCAAACGAGATTACGACAGACACAAAATAATAATTTCACTTTTATTCTGATGCAAGTTTCGAAATACCATACTCGATTTTTTCCTAAAGTTCGTTCGGTTTTTTTTTTAAATTCCACCTGTTAAATAATTCCTGAACAGGTTTTGAACCACAATTCAAAATCAGACAATATCGCGACGTTTTTTCTACGGCACCACGCGTTTTGAAAATGTGGTCGTAATTGGACGTTTTTACGACGTCTCGTTGTAAATTTTATACGCGCCGATAAGTGGCTAATTAGGTGGTGTTTATGAAAATGGTAAAATATTGGTCAATTAAACGAAGAAGTGAGGAAGAGGATGCGAGATGTAAGCGCAGCCACCAAAGCGTGACGTTCAGGTCGGCGCTTCCCGCGTCAAAATCCAATATTGATAAAAAATCGCCATTATATAATTAAAGAGTGAAATTGAAATCAAGAAGGCGTATTTTTATTGGCACAAATTCAAGAGATTTGGGTCGCAAGTTGCTAGATTTGAACCGGAAGTCTTTTTAAATGACATTATTAACAGTAGACAGGCGTTGTTACCCGGTACAAGATCAAGTTAACCTTGACTGTAAAAGGTATTCACGTAATTGAGAAAATTAACTGTTTTCGTTTTAATTGGTCGAGTGAAAAAACGCAAGCTTATTCAAATTTTTGTTAGCAGCGCCATCTGTTATTATCATTATTGTCATTTTTCACATATTTAATAGGCAATCGTAAAGTTTCATGTAACACGATTATTATTTTTTTCTACACATTGATAAATTTTAATGGGTTGGTCATGTGGACTGCATACGTCAAATTTTGTGAATTTCTGCAATACCAGTATTGTAGGTAGAAGATAAAAACGGCCACGTGAAAACGTTGCTATTGTTTTTAGTTAAGGTGTTGTATTGTTCGTAAGTTGTAACGTTTTGATTCCTCACATTTTTTATACAAATATTTTAAATGAATACCTATCGAAAGTTGGTACGTATTTTTATAAATCTACTTAAATTCGCGTTCATTAAAAATGGCATTGAACGACTAAATTTGACGCGCTTCGATACATACACACCGCTTAACTCGGTTATCATTATCAGTTTTATGAAAAATGTAAAAATAGGTTGTTTGATGTCACTCTAACAGTAATTAAATGTCATATGTTTGTATTTTCATCCGCCACGACCTTGAAAATTCGTTCAATATGTCAATCTGATAAGTAGATTTTTCCATTACGAACGATGAAATGTCTTCGATATAAGGGTTAACGTAAGTCGGACATGCGCGACAAACAATCGACTTCTCGCTATCTACACCGCTGTTATCAATACACAAAAGGATCACTTTATATAATCGAACGAATTCGTCTGTTTTAAGGAAAATAAAAATCAGTCTATTTATAACTTTTTTCTACGCATTGAACAGTTAGAGCAATTTACATATATAACCATTGAGAATTCGCGAAACTTGACCTTCCTAGCGCGATCGCGGTAAACAGGACATTTTTCGTGTTTTAAAGTTAAAAAGTTTTAAAAAAGTCAAACAAAGAAGTGTCGATGCACGCTGGTTGTGCGCCAAACTCCACATTTCATAACCGCCCCCCGCCGTGCAAAACGCAAGGGTTTAAATAACTTCTTAGAAGGCAAAACTGATAGCGATACGATCTAGTAGGTTGCGGTCGTAGGAGTCGGTTTATACTTGATTAAAAAATAATGCACCCGAGCGGTCTAATTTTACATATGGGTCAGTAAAATTATGACATTACTCTGCAGTGTTGGCAGCAAGTGCCGCCGCATTCTTTTGTTCGAATTTTGTCGTCAAGCTTGTTCTGTTGTATTAATTAAATGTATTATCTAGGAATATTAATAATGGAATATGCATTTATGTGAAAATTATAGGCCAGCAACTTCACGGATATTTGCGACTGGCCAACGCTGAGTGATAACGTCCCTCCAGAGGTGAGTTATTTATAGCGTTGGCAAAGAGTAGTAGTTTTCAAATAAAAACATAAATATTGCAGTCGAAAAAAGCGTCAAACAATCCCACACCAGGCCAATCGTCGGCGCCGCCACCACCCAAAGAGAAGGTGCAACCGCAGCAGCAGCAGCAGCAACAGCACGAGGATCACGAGGATAAAAAAAAATCGTCGAAACACAAGTGGGTACCGTTAGAGATCGATTTAAGTAAGGCTCATAAAAAAGATCAGTCGCCGAGAAGACGACCCGATCGCGATGCACAATCGACTGTTAGTGACGGTGATAGAGACTGGAGGGCCGAACTGCGGGACGGCCCTCAAGTCAATGGGAGATTTCCCAGACCGGCTTCCGTAGCCGCTAGAGGTAGAGGACGTAATAGGGGAGGCAGACGTACCACTTTTAATAGACCAACCAATAGAATGCCGAGCGATCCAGATTATATAGATTTTCCCGCGGAATATGCCCAGGTATTTCCCTACACCACTACTCCCCATCAAAATCATTTTGGTAATTTTTTTTTCTTCAAGTTTGCCACGCAAAACTATGTTGTACCATACATGGGCACTTTTTACTTCAATAGCAACAATTACGGCAATTTAGATAAACCAACGCTGAAGGAATACATCCGGCACCAAATGTAAGATTCCATCACTACGGACCTCCATCGCTCTACATCCTCTTCGTTTTGTTCACAGAGAGTACTACTTCAGCGAGGAGAACCTTTCTAGAGACTTTTTCTTGAGGCGGAAAATGGACCCTCAAGGCTACCTCCCTATTACTTTGATCGCGTCTTTTCACCGCGTTCAATCTTTGACTGATAACTTACACTTGATTATTGACGCCGTTAGTAGTTCGGATAAAATAGAGTTCGCTTCGGGATTTAAGGTTCGTCCAAAACACGAACCTACTAAATGGCCTCTTTTAGACGGTAATAATGATATTAAAAAAGTCGCATCTCAATTAGTTCCTCCTCCGCCTTTGCCGCGGACTTTACGAATAGAAAATTTGAATCCGGAAGTGCCTGAGTTTGTCCCCGAACACAACAATAATAAGACTAATGTCAACATGAACAGTACCGACGACAACGACAACAATAAGGAAAATAATAAAGAAAACAACATTGGAAATAATAGAGAACGTGCTAGTGAAAATCATAACGCGAACAATATCGATAGTAAGGAAAACAACGGTTCCACAACTGACGAAGACAGTTGGCGAGAAGTTAAGCGAAAGAATAAGGAAAACAAAGGCAAGAAGGAAACCAAAATGAAACCCTACGAGAGAGAAGAACTGGAATTTTATTTCGACGAAGAAATCGATGAATGCTTACTGAGCGGACGACAAAATACTTTTTCGAACGAGGGGTACTTCTTTCATTAAAAAAATCCTATCGCTTCCACTTTTAACCAATATTTTGAAAACGCGTAACGTCTCTATTTTTATTAGTCGAGAAAAATTGACGGTTTGGAGTGGAACTCGGGATCAAGCGTCATGTACCAATATACTAACAATTTTTTTTAGTACCGAAGAGGATTCAGACGAACTGAGTGATAACGATATCAACAAATTGTTAATCGTAACGCAAACGACTTCTCGCGTCCCCAAGCACGACGGCTACGATCGGACCGGTGATAGAACAACTCGGGTAAAAATAACGCAGGAACTCGAACAAGCCATAAACGATGGACTTTACTACTACGAAGAAGACTTATGGCATAGCGTAAGAGAGGTTAAGTTTTTTATTAACGCATTTGTAAGTTTTGTCTACTAGGATCGCTCTTCGGTAGGCAGTTATAAGACAGTCAATGTGATCACACAGGAGGCGTTCAAGAAAATGGCGCCCCCTGCACCCAAGAAACAAAATCCTGAAGTACCTCCTCCACCTCCCCCAGTAGTAAGTTTTTTTTTCACAAATGATCGCTTTGAGTTAACGCAAGTAGGTGCCGTAAATTACCGGAGCGAATCCTACCGACTGCGCCTAATGCGAGGAAATTTACGGTATCGTACTTTCGTTAACTTTTACGCTAAAAACTGTGATGTTATGAAAGTCTTTACGAAAACGATTTAGTTAGACACCGATACTGCGTCAGTTGTGGATCAAAAACTTACTTCTATAGTAGTATAATTAGTAGGCGTGGTATAACAATCTGCGAGTACATGAGCAGGATGTCAGTATGTCTGTTGGCTTAGGTCGAGGTTAGCAAACCGTCGGGAAGCAAGAAGTCATCGGGACATAGAAATGTGCCAAGGTTCTACGCCGTTACGAAAGACGAAGTTCCTGATCCTCACACTCCTAGAAAACGGAAAACTAGGCATTCGAGTAACCCACCAGTGGAACAACATGTTGGTTGGATCATGGATGTTCGAGAACACCGTGTTCGTACTAATTCAGCCAGGTTGTTAATACAAATTTCGCTTTTTCTCGGTGTGCTTACGTTTTTTTCACGTTCGTAGTAGCAGCTTTGGAACTAGCCCCAGCGAGAGTCACTTAGGAACCAGTTACGGCAGCGTACCACAAGCCTTACCAGTGTTCCAGCATCCATCACACGCCTTGCTACAACAAAATAACTTCACGCAACAAGCCTACCACAAATTCCGGCACAAGTGCTTTAAAGGTTAGCGTCATTCGAGAAAAACCAAAACAGGAAAAGTTATAATCCGACTTCTTGTGTTTTTCCAGAACGTAAACGATACGGCGTTGGACAAAGCAATGAGATGAACACCCTTTTCCGATTCTGGTCATTTTTCTTACGCGAAAATTACAATCGAGCGATGTACGTTGAATTTAAGACGATGGCATTAGAAGATGCAAGCGAAGGATACCGTTACGGATTAGAATGTCTATTTCGATTTTATTCCTATGGTCTCGAAGTCAGGTTTCGACCGCACCTGTACCAAGACTTTCAGGAAGAAACTCTCAGAGACTACGAAAACGGACAATTGTATGGTTTAGAAAAATTTTGGGCTTTTATGAAATATTACAAGTTTAGCAAGAGCTTGTACGTGAATACTAAATTAAAACAGTATTTATCGAAGTTTAAAAGCATCGAGGATTTTAGAGTAGTCGAGGTAATCCGGAAAGGTGATAATTGAAAATTGGGGTTAATGTTGATGATTTTAGCCATTGGAAAGTCAAAATGGACGTGCTCAGTATCGACAAAATAAAAATCGCAATCGTAGTCTTTCAGAAACTCAATACGCTGAACCAGGAACATCACGTGACGATAGCTCTGTAGGCCGGCGCTCTTCAGGAAGTAACGTTGCTCATAGGTAAGCTCATGGTTGTTGAAACTATGTGGTATGGCAGCAATATTATTATGTAATAAAAATTGTACCAGTCTGGAAGATTGTGTAGATCATGGGATATACTCGTGTATTTAGACGGTGATCTACATAACCTTCAAAATATACACACAAAAGTCGTATGTATATATTAGGCTGATACATACTTGTTAATAATAATCATAATAATAATAGGGAAAGGTCTCGCCAAGGATTTGCGTGTAGCTAAATCCATTTCAATAAAAACGCTGCGGTATTTTAAGCATTTTAGGGCCATTGATATTAACATCTGAATTAAAGCTTGCAGCTGAGATCTGTGGAATTAACGAGTTTAGCTTATCAAGCAGGCCAAAGAATTAACAAAAGTTTGAAACATGAAAAGCGGCTTTTAATCATTTTTGTGTGTAATGATTGTTTGGTCTGCGGTCCGCCTCAAGTGACTATATTTGGCTTGATCTCGATTCAAAATGGCTGAAGATTTTTGTAATATAAGAGAGTTTCGTGACCGAAACCGAAAATGAGCTCTCTAACTGCATTTATATTAGTTTCACTGACTTAGATTTTTTTGTTATTAGGGGAAATAGGCAATTAGACATGGTGTTAGGTTATTATTGGTACACTATTGTAATCAGGCGGGAGGACATTGCTAATGTATGTTCCTATTTTTTCATCTGGTTTACGAATTTATAAGACACAATAATGTATGTAAGAATGTATTGAAGTTGTGTTTTTAATTAAAATTTCTTAAGCTTTAGTTTTTTTTTTATTTACGTAGCAGCCAAACGTGTACACCTATGGATAGAAAAAGCGATTTGTAGTCTAAACCTTGAACTTTCCCTGTTATTTGATATCGGCATGTGTGATTATTTTGTTTGTGTGAGATGAGATTTAATAAAAAAATCGTTGTGCAATGAAGATTACGCAGATCACGAAAAAGAATTATTGCAAGATCAACGTGGAAATCATGATTCTGCTTACATTTCGAATATATCGTTGAGGCTATTTTCGAAGCGTTGGCAGAAAAATCGGAAATGAGTTTTGATCGAGCATGAAGATGTGTGTACTTTTATTCTAGGAATGATTTTGCTCACGCTCAGCCTGGAACGAGTGCTCCGGCTGGAATAGGTTTTAAGTGTGCTGGAAGGGCTCGTACTCAGTCTTTTGGATCTGGCCGTACTAAAAGTAATCGAAATAGTACCGAATCTTGGCGACAGAAAGAATCAGACGGTATTTATGGCTAGGTTTTTTGATGTTTGGTTGATTTTCGGTTTGTTGCAGGCAAACTTGAAAATTCCACTAATGCTGCTTAAGTTCCAACAAGTGTTCTAGTTAAGTGATCAAGTTAAATTTTGATAATCTTACTTGGTCTTTTTTTGTAAAATTTTAAGTGTAGTCTATAATGTTTTAAATTATAGTTATAATTTAAAGTTAATTATTATAAACTATCAGCACTGATGTTTGTATAAATAAAATTGAAATAACTAATGTATAAAAGTGTAAGTAGGTTTGCGAGTGTTGTTAAGTGCCATTGCCTTAAAATAACTGATAGTTTCATATTTTTCTAGTAATTACAAAATGAATAGCTATGCAACGCAATATTTTATAAATGTCAGTGGAGACCGTATCGGTTAAATTAATATCGCGTATGATTTAGTCATTCAATTTTTGTGCGAGTTTGGTGGATTTATAACTACTTATATATCGTGACGATTGGTATATCGTGTAAATAATGATTAAAATTTATGGGCTCACTTCACAATACTTCCATACATAACATATAAAAAAATAGGCTGTTTCTTTTTCGCTTTAGTGTGTACCAATATATTATGCATTATATAGCTGGGCTACACATATAACTGCTTAGGTGAGATTTCTTAAGGTTATTCATTTAATAATTGCGCATCAGCAATGTACATTTTAGTTGAGCTAAGAATGTTTGCACTTTTCATTGAAAATGGCAATCATACAATGGTAAATTTTACTTATTTACTTAAGGTATGCATTTCCTCAAAAAAATATAGTTTGTAATATCGTGTAATGCCCATGTATTTTCTTTTGTTACGTTATTGTTTTATTTTTATTTTTCTTATTTAACGTTCGCCCCTAATCAAATGTAGCTTGAGAATATTTATAAGTTATAGTAAACTTTGATAAAAAGTAAGATTAGGGGAAGACTCGGAGAAGGTGTTGTTACTTGAAACTCTCATTTGTTTTTGTTAATATGACTAAATCCGATTTGTTTTATATTGTTAACACTTTTTAGGTGTCATTTACTCTTATATATTTTTTATAATTTAATTCCTACTGGTATGTTTATAAACTGTAAATTATAGGACAACGCAAGGAGTTTTTTTACTGTGTTTTGTAACGTGTGTTTAGAGAATTAATCATCCTTTATAATATAGTTTTATAAAAAAATGTTCTTTTGTCTAATTGGAAACCAACGTCGTGAATATTGCATTTGGTTGTTAGATTAGATGAAAAAACACAAATCTTGTGATAATTAATGTTTTTAATTTTGCTCAACTCCTTGCATTTATTGTATCGATTTAAGTTAGTTTGTAAAGCGTGTTGTGGAAGTGTGGTCAAAGATTTGTCTTCCTGTAACACTAAAAAAACTCTAAAAAAAAAACTACAAAACTGAACTGCCGTTTCTTTTGAAATTCCCTCCTTTTCATAACTCTCGTATCGATTCAAAGATGGCCACTCGAACAGCTGTCTGTCAGTTTGTAGCGTGTTGTCTAACTTGTTACACATATTTATTTCGACATGCTTAGCAACAAAGATAAAAATCCCCTTAAGAAAATAATAAACCAGATTATTAATTAAAAATACCACTCTGCAAGGTGTCAGCATGGATTTCGATAGCCCAGACGTAATGAAAGATTTCCCAGGCTTATACGCTTCGGAATTAAACAAACAGTGCAATAATGACAGCGATTGTAATAATAAATTAAGTGATTAATCCCTAATCATCAAATTCACCCATTTTTAGATAGTGACGAAAATGAAAAAGCCATGAAAAAAGATCTAATCGGCAAACGAAAAGAGAAGAAAGACAAAGATAAAGGTTATGCTGCGCTAGAAGGGGAAAGTTCAGCTGACGAAAATTTCAAATCAAGGTAATCAGAGTTCATTGGTATTTCAAAAACTGGTAACGGATTTTTAGAAGCCCGTCGAAAACGAAAAAAGCCAAGTCTTTCAAATTTTCCACTAAAACTAAAGAGAAACGGGACAAATCTAGGGAGAAGGAAAAAGATGGGGACAAGAAGAAGGACAGAGACAAGAAAAACGACAAGAAACTTGACAAGGAAAAGGGCAAAAATGAAAAAACTAAAAAACTCAAACAGTCCCTAGATGAAACTGCGGACATTGGCGGTAAAGTTCATTAATTAAGTTTGACTTAATGAGGAAACTAAAGCGCGGCTCACACGCCGTGAGGTACAGAGTTAAACACGAAATGCGCAGTACGTCAAATTTGAAACAAATTACATGCTTATATAATATTATAACAAAAAATTATCTTTGGGTGTGCTGTGAAACGTCACGCATCGCCTACTTAAGTTAAGTTGCCTTAATTGTACTTTTTTTCAGATATCTTGCCGATTTTTGGAGCTAGTATAGAGGTGGCTGTGGAAAGAAGCCGGTGCCATGACGGTGTTGACATTCCTCTACCTGTACGGGAATGTATAGACTATGTAGAAACCATAGGAATATCGTTTGAAAGCGTGTACAAAATCAGCGGGACAAAATCGAAGGTTTTACAAATACGTAAGATGTATAACCAGCGCGGCAATATTAATTTAAGTGATTATGATACTCCTACAATAACAAGTCTGTTAAAAACGTATTTAAGGTACACAATCCAACGTTCACGGCAACGTACTAACGTTATTTTTGTAGGGATTTGCCTGAACCGGTGTTTACTAACGACCTTCTTATTAGATTCGAGGAGGCGGGAGCCATCCTTAACTTAAACACAAGAGAAAAACATCTTAAAATTTTAGTCGATAACTTACCTCCTTATAATAAATTATTATTAGCTTGGCTTATTACCCACTTACATAATGTTTCATTAAATGTAAGTTTTAAACATACTTGAAAATATGCGGCGTCGTCTGACAATATCGCAAGTTTAGATCGCACAATTCTAACCTAAATTTGTATACTTTGATTGTCAGACAACGCTATATTCTCATTTTTTCTCGACGTTGTATCATAATCTGTGTTTTTTTTCTCCAGGAGAAATTTAACAAAATGAGCAAGCAGAACTTATCCACAGCTTTAAATCACACTTTCCATTGCTCCTCTCGTCTTCTACACGCATTACTCCACCACTGTCCAGCCTTATTTCCAAATACGAGGATAGAAAGGTATGTTCCGCCTCTCGAATCTGGGGCGAAATTACCCGAACACCCCGTCGAGATCGACAGAGAATTAAAAAAACAAGAATCTCTATTGACTCAAATACACAAAGAGATGAACGTCTGTTGCATATCAAAACAAAGAGAAGAACTGTTATGGGAAGTACAAAGAATAATCACTCAACTAAAGCGTAAACTGAAAAGTGCGAACAAAGATAAAGAAGTGGTTGAGAAAGTAGAAGTAGTTGAAGAAAAAGAAGAAGTAAAAGAAGAGAGCCAAGAACCTAGTGATACTCATCAGAAGAAGCAAAATTTATCAAGTGTACCTGAATGTCAGTGTGAAGATATTAGTCCTGTTGACATAGAAGAGTGTGATGTTAATACAGAGTCTGTTTTGGATAACACCTTGGCGTTGTTACAGTTGAAAAACGACGGTTTACACTCACTGAGGGATTCTCTACTTAAAGATATTCAAGAGGAGCGCAATCAGATTCTCATGCTAAAGAGCCAGTTGACGCCGGAAATGCCTCCAGTGATGATGATTCCCAACGAGAATTTAGACGAAGTCATGGACTTGTTTCTTAAAGAGAATCAGATTTTACAAATAAAGAAGATCAATTTGGTGAGACAGATTATAGAAGAGCAGGAGATGTGCATCGAGCTGAAAGCGCAAATTATTTCCAAGTCGTAACTGTGTTATCCAGTATTACTGTAATGTGTATATAATATATGTTTATGAGTTAATTGGTGTTTTAATTTGGTACGAGTATATTTAGAAAGTGGTTCTTGACATTGGCGTGGGATGCAAAGGTCGCGCTTATGCAACTAGTAAAACGTCATTGGTTGTTGCGAGGATTAGGCGTTAGGGGGCGCCGCTATACTACTTAAGTAGATTAGTATTTTTACGTTTTCTGCGTGTTGTTTTTATTTTTAGTGGGGAGTGAGTCGGTTAGGTTTGGTGTCCAATATTATCTTAGAATAGGAAGTTGTTAGAGGTGTATATATTCTTTTTTTAAACGTGTGGTTATTTTTGAATTTTTTTTTAATTAAGGATGTTGTGATGTTTGTTGTGTTGACGTTCAACAAAAGTAAATAAAAGAAGATAAGAGTTCGTTGTTGTTTAAGTGTTTGGTGTGCATACATTGTTCATTTTATTATATTGTTAAGCAATTTTCCCCGTATTTTAAATTGGAAGTTGCAAGTGACTCGTTGGTGGTGAGTTTTTCTTTTCTTTTTTGACCTCATGTTCCAGTTACTTATCTACACTTTGGTAACACTCCCACGTTGATTGTTTTATTTACTGTATTTCGTAGTCTAGTTTAACAAACTGCTGAAGCAAAAATTTTGATAATATTTACACAACAACTTCAATGATGCCATGATTCCGTTTACACGCACCGTTAACCACAATTTAACCCAGAAACATAACACTGATTGAATGCGGAATTTAATTTCGAATAAGTTACAAGAGGATTAACATAATCCAAGTCAAACCTGTTCTTATTTTACGCCCATATACTATTTGTCATCCGAAACATTAAACTTTTCCTTTTACATTCGTAATTTAATTGTTTTGTGATGTTTATTTACTCGGCTCTCCAGCTCAAGATGTTTTAATGTAAAAAAGATTAGATTATAATATTGTCATGTGTAACTAATACACTTTGTTTGCGCTCCCAAGGTTAAGTAAACCGCAAAATTTATAACAAGTAAATTTTGGCACGGCCGTTACAAAAGACCACAAGAAGACATCAAGCCAACCAGAGGTATTATTTATGGGTCTAAAAACACGATCACCTACTCTCTGGTGCATGAAATCGAAACAATTATTACATTTTCTAAAACCACGACATCTTATTGACTCCTCGCACAAGAACTACATTCGCCTGTCACAATTTTGCTCCATATTAAATAAAAATTATGTCACCCATCCACCATTAACTAATATTTTAATCGTTGCAACAAAACGGAGCTCTGGAAAGTGAAAAAATAACATTCATTCTAATTAATGCATTTTCTAAAATCACTTTCGTTTCAATGTAATGCTATTAAATTTTTATTTACAAACTATTTCAGATATGTTTGATTACTAAACCGAGATTAAATGGTGTTTGCACATCTATTAGTGATGGATTCTTAATATTGACTATATTACATCAAATCTGTAATTATAATCGATACCAGATTTATTTTATCAACATCATTTATCTCGTTGCTTTCAAATTTGAAGTATTTTTATTCCGATAACGCTTCAATGATTTGTGGTTAATCACAAATTGGGTTTTTATTATAACGTACCGCTACAAAAAAGAATAATGGAAAATAATCTGGGACAAATCTTGAGAAAATCAACCTTGTGATTCTAGTTTCCAATTCAACGAATTCGTGTTGTAATTTATCTCCGTATCAAGATGCTTCTATGTTAATAATTTAGTAATTAGCAAAATTTAATCCGGTTTATAACTTTTAAACCCGAAAGACATTTAAATTTGGCGCCTTTTGCTACACTATATTTAAATGTGAGTACGTGCTTGGAAATTTTTCCTCATCATCGATTAAATCACACGAAATCATGATAAATACATGTAATAAGCCGAGATAATAAATAAAAACCAACATCTATTATCGCACCATGATAACGTTCTGATTTTTGCAAATAGAGGAAGATCGTAGTCTTTACTAGTCAAGTCAGTGCAAGTTTTGTCTTCCGCATCATAGAAATAATGTGACGTAAGTTTCAATTTTTTTAAATTTAACTGCCATGGTAATTCTTGCCAGATTTTCACAATTTACCAAGAGTGACGAAGACCTGAGGGTTTAATAAACCCACTACTTTGCATAATAATGATTCACAACCCACTCTGCATCTAGATAATACTTGTCGCGGCTTATATGTACAATATACCTACCAGAAGAACATTTACATATACAGAAATACAAAAAACATTAATTGCGATACGGTAATCACAAAGACAGTACTGATTATTAATTCTTAGAACCGGATTCGGGAGGATGGCAATGATATTACACATTGTCTATAAATTGTTGTTCTATCAAGTCATCAGGAAACGCGATTTTTGTGTCATTGACAATTTCTGCAACGAATTAACATGATTGTGACGTAGCGCAATTATAACACTATATCGACAAGGCGGCAAACGCCAACTTGGGTTTTCGTATTACGGAGCTCCATCACCGAAACATTGAATTGTGCGTAAAAAGTAAGCGTTAAAATTTCGAAAGTAACAGTCAGCTTCAATCATATTCATGGTACGCTGATTCCTTTCAGTTTTCAAATCATTGCAAAAATGTTAAGTGGCTCCCGAAATTTAAAACATTCGCTTAATGGCTCATAATTATTGATGCTAATCTCAACCACGTTTTGAAGTAGTTTAGTTAATTAGTAGAAGGCAGAATTTGTCAAAGTGGGGTTCACAATACAACACGGTTTTTTGCGGATTCTGATTTGTCACACTTCCTATTTAATTTAAGTTATGTCAGTTTTGGTGTAATAAATTATCTACTTTCTAATTTTTTACTGTCGCAAAACAAAGAGCAACAGCTCCGGTGTGATATAGTAAAACTATCACCGCCACTTTGGTTATTCAAGGTTGGTCATACTTACACAATTTAATCTGCGCCGTGCCCTGTTGAATTTGCCAGTTTAAAGAAATGACGTCATCCTCGCCGTATTATAAAATTTACAAATGTAGAAAAGTCTATACAAAGACTGAGTAGGTTGAAAATTATAGCTTATACTTCAACTGATTTTATTATTTATGATAATATCAAACCCGGAGACGCGTGAAAGAAAGACGCTGCTCCAGTTTATGAAGAACGATGAAAATATAGAAAGGAGTTAAGTAGTTCGCGTTATTAGATAACTTTGCCGGCCTTCACCGTTCGTATTGAATGTTGAGTTTCACTGTTAATGTTCGTAAAATTGACCTAGCCCTAATATTTCTGGCCCAGCAGCGCAAGTGAAACTTAAACCTGACTTAAGTACGGTCGGCGCGTGAAACGCACATATCACAAAAATAATAGTCCTTTGTGCTGATCAAAAGAAATGACTCACGGACCTTTGTCGGCACTTAAAATTTACTAATTACTCTCATTTACTGTCAATGTCAAGAGATAAAAACCCATCAGAAATCGCCAGTCAGACGCAGTTGTTAAGAGTGCCGATTTGTGCTATTCCGATTTACATGACAAGAGATCACACAAGTGTGAAAAATGCGATGCGCGTTAATTATGTTGTAATTAAACGGACAATTTACACTTGCAACATAAATGCATCCGTTTTCTCCGTTTGAATAAGTCTGGCGTAACTCTATTGTTTGCTCATTATTTTATCAAGCGAGTAATTTCGTAGTACGGCCATATATCTAATCAACTTTTCGAGCGATTGACATCCTCCCGAGTCACGAAACATTTACGTGGACACAAAAATAGCCAGGTTAGTTTGTGTAAAGTGACAGTTGGCGTCTAAACGAAAAATCGCATGTGTACGTGTACCCTGACGGCGTCTTCTCGTGAATGAAATAAATATAGGCGGTAAATAATTAGGGCCTATTATGCGTCCTGTGGTATGTGGGTACATTTCTATGCGAAGCTCGAACGGCCGGGACATTTTTTAATATCGTAGAATTAGTATTGCAACTCACGATTCAAGAATAGAAACTCCATTCGCATTAATTGAATAGTCTGTAATGATGTGGACATTCTATTATAACACATGTCGCTATTGCTTCCAGATGTGCGAAGAAAGAATTATTACAAGAATGAAGACTATATAGTTGTTCTCGTTATGGAATCTGAAGAGGCCCTTAATTACTATATAAATGAAGTCAAAGACACTAACAATGAGATAGAAATCGAGGAGGAACATGTGCCTAATGGTATTGAGCCAAGTCGTAGTTACCGTTATTACTATTATTATTTTAGAAGCGGAACAGGCGACCGATTTTCTTCAAAAAGTTGGTTTATCTGACTTGACGAAATTATACAGTCAAGGTAAAGAGATCACTGAGAATGTGATAAATGACTCCGTGAGGCAGAAAAATTTGACTGAAAGACAAGCTGAAACGGTCAAATCACGGATTCGGACGCTTAATAGGACTTTACATAGTAGGCAACCCCGGCGAAAACAAAGACAAGACATACGCGACGTAACGTGGAATGTTGAAGTAAATCCTAATGAAAGTAGCGATTTGAGGTGATTTTTGCCTTTTTTAGACATCTAGTACCGGCACAAGGTCTAGAAGTGCGACACCTGATTCTTTAGACTCGGTCGGAATTTTAAATGACGATTTAACTTCGGATGATGATCAACAATTGTCGTCTTTACCTCCTTTGTAATGCAAAATTACGCACTGGGTTTTTTTTCTAACCGAATGCTTTCAGTCCACTTGAATCTAGTCATTCAGTATTCAAAGCGAAAGTTAAATGGACGTCCAGTGAACCTATACAAAATAAAAAATTTAATCGTAACGACAAAGGGGACGTAGCACACTTAGGATCTGAAAATGTTATTTTGAAAGGTTACCAACCATTAAATGAGTACTCGACTTTACCTAGACCCCAAAGAGAACGAAGCGGGAGCGACCCTACGACTGAAGTTCATCTGCAACCGCTGAAAAATCGCAATGGAGATAATTTTGAGTATGGTTCATAATCGCGTTCACACAAAAACTCATTTTTATTTCTAGATTGAAACCTCTTAAGTTAAGTAACGAGTTATCACGGAGCCAAAACAGTTTTGAAATTAGCAATAATGCGAACAATTGTAGCAGAGTTTATATCACTGGGGACGAAAACGAAATCCTCAGTTTCGAAGGCTTGATGAAACAAAACAAAGTCAGTCAGCTAACTTCTCAAAACCTCGATTCCTGTGATGAAGGTGTGGATATCGACGAATTCACCGACAGTGAATATCAGTATTTAAAACCGTTATTATACGTAGAATTGGTCGCCATATTTGATCAACACAAAGTAGTTTTCCTGAAACGGAAGGCCAGTACTAAGTACAAAGGCAAGTCAACTGATTGTAAACGTCCGCACGTAGTCCCTTTTGGTGACCTTGCTTAACAATGCGCATGCGTTTTTCGGCAAGCGCTACCATAAGGTAGCGAAGTAAGACCCTTCTAAATTGTATTTTCCAGGTGGTAACGTCTTCGGAGTCAACCTATCAACTTTAGTAATGCGGGACATGCAAAGACCCACCGACAATTTCATGGTCCCTAATATTTTCCAAAGCGTAGTGAGCCAACTCAATACTCGTTGTATTAGCGAAGACGGGATTCTACGACTGGCGGGCCAGAAACAGAAACTTGAATTTTTATGCAACGAAATCGAATCGAAATTTTTTACAAATCGACAGGACGTTGAAAGCTTACTCCAGCAAGCAACCGTTCACGAATTGACCGGCGTTTTGAAGAAGCTCCTGCGGGATTTGCCCGATCCGGTCTTCACGATGGAGCTGTTCGACATGTTTTACAAAACGAGCTGTAAGTACCCAATGTTTGTTGCGACGGTTTCTTAGCTTTGTTTCAGTGATCCCCAACAACGAAGACAAGTTGAAGGCCCTCAATCTTCTGGTTCTGCTCCTCCCGATCGAGCACCGCAACACTTACAAATTGCTGTTGCAATTTCTCTTGAACGTGATCAAGCATGAAAAAGAGAACAGGATGAACTTACACAACGTCGCCATGATTACGGCACCGTCGTTCTTCCCCGCTAGGTTGCTGTTACCGAAGTAAGACCGAGTGACAACTGCTTCATTTGTTTCAATTTCCGGTTTCAGAGACAACAGCGGCAAGTTGATCCAACTAACGAAAGAAGAATTGACTAAACGTATCAATGGGGCCGCTGTATGTTGTGTTATTATGGAAACCATGTTACGTGCGGGCCTAAAACTCTGGCTAATTCCGCCCTCTTTAGCGCGTCAGGCTAAAGAGGCACAAAAAAGAGCGCAAGACAAAAAGGATGGTAGTAGAGATAGAGACAAAAGAATTGTATGTTGTATTATAGACATCATTTTATGTGGGTTTGGTATGGGAAATAGAGGTGATGGTGTGTTACGTTTTTTTAAATATGTATTTGCTGTTAGGCTGCCATTTTTTAATTGCTATAGTTGCACTCTTACTCACTTTATCACCGACACTAAAAATAACACTAGCTTTGAGTTGTCAAGGTTACACAAGCGGATACGCACCATCTAAAATGTACCCTCAACTCGATCTTCCTTCTTTACCTTCCCTAGCAGCAGTTTGTCTTTAAGATTACCGCTGTTGAAGTTGCATTAACTCGCCAATTTTTATGCTTAACACAACACAAATTCTGTAAGGTGTAGTGTCCCAGAACAGACTTCTTGGTTGTCAGTTGGTGTGATCTGAATTCCGTTTGTACGCATTTCCTCCGCTTGTGTTGACTTTGACAGCACGATTTGAACCTTAATTATATAAAATCTTTGTTTATAGCCGTGCGGTAAGACCAAGTTGGTTCGAAGCAGTACGCAGTATGAGCCAGGCCCTATAAACTCCCCCAGGATCAAGAAGGAGTTTTATATTTAAATCAACGATCGAAATAATTACCTATTCCTTTAACGTACCTTATAAATCCGTTGTTTAGTAACATATTTAATACTTGGTAAACAATTCTCTGTGCCAAAATAAATTTTACTTTTTAAATTTTTTCTGCGTTTTTATTACCTAGATACTACGAAAAAGTGATCACAAGGATCTGTGGCCTCCTGGAGAATAGGCAACACAGAATAGTGTTGTTGAGGATATTTTTATCAGTCTTAAAATAAACAACACTCCTTCTGGCACAAGTGATGGTCCAGTATCGTCAAAACAAAAACAAAGCAAAATTGAGGAATTCACACTAAATTCATGTTGATTTTAATTGAGCTTCACGGTTCGAATAAGAGCATTTTCAAAGGTCGTTCGCAACTGGGGGCACTTATAAATCACCTCGACGTGGATAAAGCGTCTCCACGTGGCTACAAACCGAGAGCATAACCGCGTACTCTACAGGGTATATTTATACACGTTTGTGGGGTTTGTATGGGTTTAATTTTTTCACAAAATGATCAGCTGAAAAACGGCTCTGTAAGGTAATGTTTACAGTATGCACGACTGGTAAAACTCGCTGCACGTCCACAAAACAAAAAGAATTTTAATTTTTTTTTGGTTTTGAGGGTGTCTCAGATACCGAAAAAAGATCAGTGGGACCAAAAACAATACAGGTCCTGCTGTGGTCCGAATATCTACACTTACTAGAGATTCAAATGGACAAAAACGGTAGGTATGTGCGTAGATTTTTGTTACATGTGTGAATACTTTAGAACTGGGCTTTTTTTAAAAGTCTGCTGCGGTCTACGTGGGGTCATCTGATGTATGTGCTACCGGGGGAGTAACCGTCTAAACGTGTTCAGTTCGACACTGTCTATGGTTATTACGGACAGACTCATTAATCCACGCTTTAACACACGTTACACAAACATGAGCACGTGTGAGTTCTTAGAACATCTGTCGGAAGTGACTTAAGTCAGTTACGTCTGGTTTGTGGGCACTTATCTCTTTCTGTTTGAAAAAAAGTAAACGTTCTTCGACTAGACGTAATATAAATGGAAAAGTTCGAGAAAAACATGTTAAAAATTGTGTGCGGTCTGCCACGCTATTTTAGGTAGTCCAGTTGAGTACAGCTAATTCTAGTACAATTAGTGAGGGGTAACAGATACCATGTGCAACTAATTTTTAAACTCGAAAAGTGGTCCAAAACTATTAGGGACATGAAAAAGGGTTTAAGTTTGACGGCATATGGTGAAAATGCCAGTTTTTGAAAAATGTCGCCCCAGCTGAAGACTTCTTGTGTTGTGGTTCCCGGGGCCACTCACCTCTGGCTAAACCGTCTTTCTCGTTCAAATTTAGCTTTTTTCTAAAAACATAGAAAGGCAAAACGCTGCCAAAATTTTTAAAGTCCTGTACATACTTTATGAGTGGCTATATATCACATCTAAAATTAAGTCCGAATCTGGGGGTTCTATATAAAGTTGTTATGTAGGAAAATAAAGAGGAAAATTTATCGAAGTGGCCGAAAGCGTGTAGAAAGTGATTGTTTTGAAAGCGACTGGCGTCAAACATTGGATCGCATACGCTTTCAGGAATGAGTGTTGCTTATAAGATTTATAAATTGTTTGGCGAACATCCCGAAATTAGGTGAGCACGGAATCTGATTGCGACGCTGACCGTCTTCTCTCGTATAGCTTCAACGTGTGTATATGTTCTTATAAAAGTGCTAGATTTCCGATCTTATTCCACTAAATGGATTTTTGGTGAATATGGGAGTGTGGTGGAACCGCGGCGGTGCTTGTGTGTTGGTTACGTAAGTGCTGCACGCTGCCCCAGCCCCATGAAATCGGACATAGACTGAGCTGTGATTTATCGTTTTGGAGAAATAGTGCCATTTTTGTGAACAAATACACAGTAAGTAGCCATATTCGCTGTTCCTTCGTTTAAATCGAGTCAGGGTCTTGCAGCACGAAAGTGCTGATGCTATATATAGATGGAACTCACGACCTAAGATGTTGCAGTTGTAAATTGTGAAATCCTTTTTTCTCCGTGTTATGTGTTCGTTGCGGGATTTTCGTTTTCATTTATCTTTTTTCTCGTAGCGCTGAAAACTGCGACATGCATCACATGTATCCTCTTGCCAAAGGCGACCCCCTATGCCCTTTAGGTTTCCATCCACAAGTTAGATGGCCGACTAGGTGTAAAAGATGTTTTAGGTACATGAGACCTTTTGTACATTTACCACACTCATCGCCCTTCTTGTAGAGACTACAAAGAGCACGGGGGGAAACGGAGGGATGAAGATTCGTTGCGGAGAGATGACACGACAGCGTCGACACCCAGTCTATCTTGGAGTTCAAGGTACTTGGACACGTTTTGCCCATAACAGGCACACATTTTGAACCTCTTATTTTCTCTTGCTAACTTATCTCAGAGATCAAATATAGACCTCGGATGTTGGAAAAAACATTAACAGATTTTATGGCGCGTAATTTCTTCAAGGACGAACGCATATTTTTAAGACTGGAGAAGTCGAGTTCGATTTGTGCCAATCTATATTACTAACTTCTTTCTTATTATTCTTCGTTTTCGTTGCATGGTCATAACCCGTCTTCTTCTCTAGGGATTCTGATAGTGAGAAAAGACGTAGCTGGGTTTCTAGCAGCAACCTAGCGTTTGACCGTGACGACAACTCGGTAAAAAGTGAAAGTAATTACAGTAATCCGTCATCTTGGACGTCTACTCCAGATTTAGGGAAACTAGAAGATGATACACAAGCTATTACAACTGTTAGTTTTACATTGCCAAAAAGGAAACAGAAACCTATTGATACAGGACAACGAACAGGTAGCTTAAGCGCTGAGAAAAAAGGCAATACTCAATCGATTACAGTTTCTGATAGCTTCACCATCAAACCCGAAAAATCGACAGTATTCAGTAGAAACGACAGCTTAGCAACAAGAGCAAAGAAACTACAGGCCATAAAAGAATCAACAGAAGAAAAAAACAAACGAATACAAATAAAAGAAGTCAAAACTATTTCAGAGGAACCAAATAATCACGATGTACAATTTCTTATACAAGTAATTAAATGTTGTGGTGTGTTAACCCTTGCATTCCTATTCAGTATTTTAGAAGCTTAGTAGTTTTGGGGCTTGTTTGAACCCTAAGTTTTTTAAAATTTGTAAATTTGTTTTTCAAGAAAGGGGAAGACGAAATGAATAGGATTGGTAAGATGCATGTGCAAAATCATCTTTTAACGACGAAGGAAAACGAATATGTGACATCAAAGATCTCATGAGGTCATTGGACCACCATATCACACTGTGTATTAATATATTGAATTTTCGCACCATCCACGTGCTTTTGAACTAACCGAGTTGCTAACCTTGTTGTTGAACACTCTTCCCACTGAAGTACCACTTTTGAAACGACCATTCGTACCTTCACGTGGAAGCAGTGTAAAACTATCTACTTATGAACCCCCCGACACCTTTTGGTTCATAAGTAGATTCCACAACATCTCCTACAACCAAATTTCACTCTAGGTGAAACGAAAACCTTCCCCCATTCAACCGGTAGAAGATCATCAGACGTCCGAACCTGAAGATGACGCCGTCAGTATAGCAGGAACCGAAACTACCGACACCACGTTAGTAGACGCACACGACTATGAATTCAGAGATCAGCTAGAAAGTCTCAGAAAGGAGCTGGAAGTCACAAAATCAAAATGTGACAGATTAGAACGCGAAAAAAGTGATATTCTTCTACGACGATTAGCAGCCATGGAAACCACCACAAGTAAAACGACAGCATCTGAAGTTCTCAAACTACAACAGAAGTGTAACGAGTTGCAACAATCCGTGGAGGACTACCGCGATGAGAAAAAAAGTTTGTCGCTACGGGTTAAAGAACTGGAGGAAGAAATCGAACAAAGACCGACTGCTCAATCTGCTCAAAAAATCGCCGACGAGTTACGATCGAAACTGCTAGCAGCGGAAACTTTGTGCGAAGAGTTAATGGACGAAAACGAAGACATCAAGAAGGAGTTACGGGATATGGAAGAGCAGATGGATGAAATGCAAGACAATTTCAGGGAAGATCAAGCAGTAGAGTACACGTCGTTGAAGAAAGAGTTGGATCAAACGACGAAGAATTGTAGAATATTGTCATTTAAGTTGCGGAAGGCGGAGAGGAAGACGGAACAGCTGGAACGTGAAAAGGAAGACTCAGAGAAAAAACTAAAAGAGGTACTTAAAGGAGATTCCACCGGTTTTTATTGTCGGTTATAGATTTCAGGAGGTCAAGCTACTCTCGCTAATTTAGAAAAGATGAAACAGTTAGAACAGGATTTGAAACTAGCCAACGAAGTTTCGATAAGACTGCAGAAGGAATTGGATGACGCGAATCAAAAGCTTCAAGCCGAAGAAACAAAAACCACTAAAAAGAAAGCCCCGAAGCTTGGATCGATCGGTAAATTTCCTTCAGCTGATGGAGTAAGTTGGTTCAAGCGTTCCAACAGTTTCTTAATTTTGTTTTATAGAAAGTGTCTCGCGAATCCCTCACTAGAGGAGGTAGTCAGGACGATCCGGCTCAACTCTTAAGAGATCTCCAAGATTCAATGGAGCGTGAAGCTGATTTAAGGGAACAACTGAAATTTGCCGAAGAAGAGGTAACTATTTGTCCTGTGATTGTTTTTAATATAATTCTTTTTCATTGGGTCAGATCAGTAAAAGATCATCCCGATCTGGACATTTAAAATCCCCCGAATTGCCTATTTTTCAACGCAAAACCCCTTTAGTTTTGTTTGAGTGTGTAAAAACAGAAAAGGAAAATGAATCGAGTAAATTGATTCCAACTGAATCAAAACTTTTTTCAGTATCTACTCAAACTTTACTTTGTATAGACTCGTCTGAAGCCGGAACGCAAACTCCTTTAGATCTTTGTGTTGAATCAAGTCAAAACGATTTAGACAATCAACTGTGGCCGCAAAAGTTGATTTCGTCTATTCAATACAGCCATCTAACAATGTCTAAAATTTACCAACCAGCGAGATCATTTTCTCCAATGGCTACGTTCCTGATGGGTAATGCTTTTTTCGTAATTGCAGGCACAAAATTTACGCAAGAAAGTGTCAAGGATAGAGGATGATAATGAATCTTTGGTTTTGCAGCTGAAGAAAATGGCTACTCGAGCCAGAAGTACGTCCATCGACAAAATTATGCTGTGTATTGCATGAAAATTAACAAACATTGGTCATCCCATCCCTTACTAATCTTTCCTTTACCATTTTCTACAGTTGCAATTTTTACTTTTCTTGCTTAAGTTTTTCCTTTTGCTTCTTTGCTTTTTAACAAGTTTAATTTCTGTAATTATTAGGTCGTAAATTAAGCCCCACAAATAACGTAAGACTGACCCCAGAACCGCCTTCTGAAAAAGGTGACGTATCAGACGACGAAGACCCCGCTGAGATTAAGTTACAATTAGAGTTAAGCGAACAAGAAGCTTCAGTTCTTCGACGCAAAGTTGAAGATTTAGAAGCCGACATCCATAGAGTTAAAACTAAAAACAAAGATCTACAAGACAAACTCACTGCTAAAACAACGACAAAACGAACACCTCTAGGCGGCGAAAAGGGTAACACTCTCCAAAGTCAAAAGATCAAAGTTTTAGAAGACGAAACTAATGACCTTAGGAAAAAACTAATAGAAAAGGAAAGGGACTGTGAGAGGCTGCACGCAGAACTTAGTCTAAATCAAAAACGCACGAAGAGTGTTCAAAAGAGCAAGTAAGTTTCTTCGGGTTTCGGTACAAGTGTTTTTAAAAAATTTTACCTAGGTCTTTGGATTTGGACCAACAAACTTTGGATTTGAAGAGACAACTGCAGGTCATCGAACAGGAAGCAAATATCTTAAGGAACAAAATCCAGACTCTTGAGACCGAGAACGAGAAACTGATAAGCGAAAATAAGAAACTCCAGCTCCTTCGTGGTACCAAGAATCTTAAGTCTGACAAATCTATGGACAAATACATCGACCAGATTGCTTCGTTGGAAGTGGAAATCGGAGAAAAAAATACCAAGATAAAAGAACTTGAGGAAAAATTGGAAAAAGCGGCCAAAAATGAGGGGCTACCGAGTTTGAAAGTAAGACTAGTCTATTTTATTTTGGCAATTTTTTAACGAAATTTACTAGGATGGCAAATATAAACGGTTTGTCGACAGAACACCTAAAAAAATATCGCAATTAACCTCGAAAGACCAACTAAAAACGATGGTGAACGATTTAGAAAGTGAAATAGGTACAAATCGCAGTATATGTTTCGTTTAATACAAAATCAAAATTTCAGGAGAAATGATCGTAGCTATAAAAACTAGCGAGAACGAGAAAATTAAACTGGAGGAAGAAATGAAGAACTTACGCCGCCAGAGTGAAATTAACAACGCTGTGAAAGAACTGGATGAGATGAATAAGAAATTCCAAGAAATGAAGACTGAACTGACGGGAGAAAGAGAGAAGCTTAATCAGGAAAAGGTGAAATACGACGAACTAAGTAAATCCTACACGAAAACTAAAGAAACTTTAACAAAATCAACCCAAGAGAAGAAGAAACTCAAAGACCAAATTGAAAAATCGAAAGAAGAGCAAAAGAAGATTAAAGAAGAAAAAGATCAGTTAGATGAAGAAATCACCAAGTTGAAAACTCAACTAAGTAGATAAGTGTATGGCAAAATTTGACTTATTAATGTTCTATTTTTAGAAACTGCAACCTATAAACAGGACGAATTATCCTTGCAGAGTCAAAAAACAGAAGCATTAAAACTGGATCTAGAGAATAAAGAAAAAGAATTTAAAGCTTTGAAGAAAGAACTGGATAGTAAAACCAAGTTCATAGATGAGGTTCGTCTGGTTATAAGTAAAAAAGAAATAATTCACACTGAATTCTTTTAGTTAAGTGAGAAATCAAACAGAGTTGCTGCTTTAGAAAAGAAGATTAACGACACCGAAGAAAAGTTGAAGAAAGCAGAAAAACAAGGAAAGGATAAAATTAAAGAACTTGAAGCTAAAGTAACTACCAAAACATGTTTTTAACTTGTAACAAAACACAATATTTCAGATTGAAGAAGAAAAAAGTCGAAGCAAATCCAAAGAAGGAGAACAATCAACATTAACAACTAAGTGGAATGAAGAAAAGAAAAAATATAATACACAAATTGATGAACTTAACAACAAAATCCAAAGCATGGAGACTACAATCGAAAGCAAGAAGAAACTTATAGAGCGCTTGGTAATCTCAAATTTAAATTCATAACCTCATGTAAAAATATATTTTCAGGAAGAAAATTTGAAGCAAGAGAGAGAGTCTGTTTCTAAGGCTAATCTAAAAGTGGGAGAACTAGAAAGTAAAGAAATCAGTAAACTGAAGGACGAACTTAACAAAAGCAAAGCTAGTTTGGCGGACATTGAATCTAAACTAGAATCGTCACAGCAAAATCAGAAAAACCTGGAAGACAAATTAAAGAAAGCACAAACAGACAGTAAAACCGACAAACTAAATCTTGAGAAGAAAGCAGGGGAACTGGAAATTGAGCTACAGGTATTAATCCCTCTGGCACGTAAACTCTCTAAACGAAAAATTTCAGACCGAGAAGAAAAAAATTGATGTAATGAAATCCAACCACGAAAAAGAAAAGAAAAATAAAGAGCTAGAACTTTCTTCTTTGAAGACTAAGATCAAGACGTTGGAACTGAACGCTGGAGTTGGAACTAAGCGATTAGCTGAAATAAAGCAATTCCAAGAAACTATTGACAGTAAGTACAATATTTCACCATACTTTTACTAATTACAAAGTTTCTAGAGCTAGAACGTAACCTCAAAACGGAGAAACAAAAATATGAAGATTTAACCGGAAAATACGAAATACTGGAAGAAGAACACGTAGTTACGAAAGCTAAACTCGTCATGGAAAAAGAAACAATCGAAAAGTATTTAATGCAATAAAAAATAAATACAACACTATTAATAATTCCGTTTTAGCCAACTTTCGAACACAAAAACGGAATTGCAAAATTTAGAAGGTGAGTTGAAAACCCTGAGAGAAACTTACAACAAACAACACGACGAATGGATCAAAGAAAAACTCAACATCCAAGACAAACTTAAAGACATCGAAAAGAAGAGTGGAAACGGCAACGAACTAGAAAAAACTAGATTAAAAGCAAATCTGGAAGAAAAGCAGTCAGAATTAGACCAAATTAGAAAAGAAAACAGCGTGATCAACGACCAAATGGAATACATGAGGAAAGAATCAGACGACTTGAAGAAAAAACTCGACGATTATGAAAAAGTCAACAAGGTACAAAGGAACATCAGTGCGGACACTTCCGCTATGGAGAAGGAAATTCGACAGCTGAAAGCCAAGTTTGTATCCAGCGTTTTTTCTTAATTCTTCACCAACAGATTGTTTCAGGCTAAGTTCTATAGAAAAATCGAAGAAATTAGAGCTGGGAGAATACAAAATGAGATACGACAATCAAATAACAATCGTAAATGGAGAATTGCAGATGCTACAAGGTCAAGTGATGAGATTCAAACGGGAAAGGGATACCTACAAGCATATGCTAGAATCTGCACAGAAGACAATCGGCGATTTGAAAAATTCTCCACGAAGCACCAAAGATGGTGCGAATCCTCTCCACTACGACGAGGTAAGTAAAGCACTTTTTTCTTGACTCTTTAACAAAAAAAAAACAAAATCTTAGCTTGAAGAATCCAAAACCAAAATTGCTACTCTCGAACAACAAATCAGCTGCATGGAAGACGAACTTTCAGAAGCTCGTCTGGAATCTTCTCGTCTGAAGACCGAATTAGTTTCGGAAAGATCATCATGGGAGGTAAAACTATCCGAGTTACACTCTCGCGTGAATGAACTAGAAGAAGAAAAGATTCTTAGTAGCGGTCGCACGAAAATCGTCGGTTTGCGAACCCGAATGGAACTAGCTTGGCAAAAAGAAAGAGAAGAACAACAACGACTGCTTCAAGAAACCGCGACGTTAGCTAGAGATCTTAGACAAACGTTGTTTGAAGTGGAAAGAGAGCGGGATAAGGAACGGTTAGAAGCGAAACGCAAACAAGAGCAATTCAAAAAATCGTCGGAAGAAGACCAAGACGAAAACAAGAAGAAAATCACAGAGTTGCAGTGCGATCTGTTAGAACTACGCGACGCACATGCTAAGTTGCGAACTACGAATGAGAAACTGCGAAGGGAGAAGGAGCGATACGAGAAGGAAAGAGAAGAGCACAAATTGATCATGCAAGGAAAGAAAAAGATTAGTCAGGAAGACGACAGAAAAATAAACGTTCTGTTGGAACAGATAGATTATTTGAAGCAACTAGCACCGGAGTTATTCTTCTCGAGGGAGAAAGAGGCATCTTATACACCCACTCCACCACGTAGAATCCGAAGCAAGTCGAGGGAAAGTTCACCCGCGTTAGACCGAAGAGAATCTTCCTTATCTCCTGAAGACAAACAACAAGAAGTGCAATCGCTCATGTTAAAGTTAGCAACTACAGCTGAAGATCTTCGTCGCCTTCAGAGAGCATCCGAAGACGAGTATGAGCGCGAGAGGATAAAAAGGAGCATGGGTATGAGAAGAGCCACCTCCACGGAGCACGATAGTGGAGCTGAATCCAGATATAGCAAAGCTTACGTTAAAAGAAGGAGTACTGACGGAAATTTGCATCGGCGAAGTCTATCCCTTGAACACAACATTGCTCAAAACGAACCCAAAATATGGAAGAATGACAACGACAGTATGTCAAGTCTTCAGTCTCTAGACATGTCGTCGGACGTTGAAAGGTGGTCTACGAGAGACACGAGTTTGGACAGTCGTCTTTCTGGTGGTTCCACGCAGAGCGAGTTCGCAGGCGAAAAGAAGAAGAAGAAAGGTCTCATGGGTAAACTGAAGAAACTCACAAAATCGAGAAGCATAGATGACCAAGATCCCGGAACGTTCTCACCGAATCGATCTCTGTCATCTAAGGTTGTATCACACTTAAACGTAATTCCAGCTAAGTTTATGTTTTAGCAAAACTCAAGTTCCGAACTGATAGAAGAAAAGGGTAGTAAGAAAGATCTGCGGGAACGGATAACTGGTATTTTTAAGAAGAGCGGTTCCTCGTCGAGGAGCAACAGTGTGGAAAGACACCACGAAGTAAGACACGACACGAGTTCCACACACAGGCCCTTGATGAGGAACGGCAGTAACGGGAATCTATCGTCTAGAGCATCTCCAGCAGTAAGTTTTCGCGCTCGCAAAAAAACAAAACCTCACGTACTTGTAGTTTCAGGAACCAGAAAAGACAACGACAGCAAAAACTAGAAGAAACATGTGAACATTTTCCATTTTTTATCCCCTAAATTCGTGTTTTTGTTGTTTGCAAATTAGTATTTCATGTTAATAGAACTGTAAAATATATGTTTGTAAAGTGGTTCTTTAAGTAAAATCGGTATACAGAATGGTGGTTTTATTTAAAACAATCCGTCGGTGATTGCGCAAATATACACAGGCAACTTACATCTCCTGACGCAGCTTTTTTTAAATTTAGACTCTTGGCTAGCGTGATCAAATTATTTTTATTAGAATAAACGCAAGTAAACAACTGCCGAATGAGTTCGTGGTAAGAAGTTTTCGACGGCACCGGATCCAAATAGCGATTCACCTCTTCTCTACAAAACGGACTTGGCGTCCTCGGACAAAATCCGCTACAACATTATTTCCCACAATGATACTTAATAAGAGACACAGCAATTCGAGATTATTAACGTAATGCGTGTTTACTATAGCTATGCCATGTCATGCAACTACGTGGAACTAATTACAGCTTCTACCGTACTAAAAAAATATTCCAAAATCTTTAATGTCCATTATTCAGACAATGCAACAATGGCGTAACCTACTAAAGCCCGGTATCCATTACAACAATTAGAAGTACAACATTCAGAAAATCTGAAAAATAAAAAAATAATAAGTTTCATTGTATTAACTGATCCCTACCACAAAGTAACATAATGATGAATCTCTACTTTGCTAAACAAGTTCTAGTTGTTTAGAAACTGTGTACCTCAACACAACAATGAATTTGTAAGTATTTTTGAAAAACAATGGAACAACATAAGTACTTAAATTCCAAAGCGATTTTTAATAAACAAGATCCAAAGTTGTCTAGTCCTACCTGGAAAATATGATTCAATATCGATAACATGCCTTCCACAACTACTAATACTTATCTTCCTTTCAGAGAAGACAAGCTTGTGATTACTATAAACGGAGTCGACCATAAAGGTACGACTAAAATCAGACGTTCAAATTTTTATAAATTCCGTTTCAGTCGACATTTCCGAAATCAGTATAGACAAAACTCTGAACACATTCCTAAGAAGCAAATTGCATCTAACTGGTACTAAACGCATGTGTCTGGAAGGTGGTTGTGGTGCTTGTATTGTAGTAATAGAACGCAAGAACAGTTTGACGAAGAAACCAACTCTTCAGGCCGTCAATTCCGTAAGAACTCATTTCAAACGAAACCCTTATATCACTTTAGATTTTAGTGCTTAGTACCCCTGTTTTTGTGTAACGGGTGGAAAATCACCACAATAGAAGGGATCACTCCAGAACGAGACTATCACTATTTGCAAAAAGTTTTGACCCACTTTAATGGTAGCCAGTGTGGATTTTGTTCCCCTGGTATGATCATGAACATGTATAGCTTATCCGAAGACAAAAAAATCACGATGAAGGAGGTCGAAAACTCATTTGGTGGAAATATTTGTCGATGTACCGGTTATAGACCCATTTTGTCAGCTTTCAAAGCTGTCAGTGATGACGCATCACCTGATCTACGGAAGCAATGCGTTGATATTGAAGATCTAAAAGTATGTCGAAAGTCGTGTTCGACACCTTGCAACAACAACAAGAAATGTCAAAATCCAAGCTATTTCAACTTGGGGAAGACCACGTGGATTAGAGTTTCTTTAATGAATGATTTGCTGCAAGTTTTGAAAACTTTCTACAATTCGACTTACATGTTGGTCGCAGGAAACACTAGTGCCGGTAGATATACACTAAAATAATAACAGATAATACAAATGTGTCTATAGGTGTCTACAAACCAACAACTACGCAACAAGTATACATTGATATCACCGGTATCGAAGAACTTACAAGTTACAAAATCGAAAACGACACTCTCATACTGGGGGCTAATTTATCCCTAACCGACACCATGCTGATTTTTGATAAAATAGCAAAAGAACACGAAAAGTTTGCTTACTTGAAAAAACTAAGCCACCACATTGACTTGATTGCAAACGTTCCTGTAAGAAATGTAAGTAAAACTTGTACGCATGCCTAACACTTCTTACGGACTTAACTTCCAGTTAGGAACACTAGCTGGAAATTTAATGATCAAGTACCACCATCACGAGTTCCAGTCAGACATATTTGTAATGTTGGAAGCTGCAGGGGCATTGTTGACAATAGTAGATGCTGATGCAAACAAAACCAAAATCGACTTGAAGGATCTATTAAATTCAACTATGGAGGGAAAAATCATAGAGAAGATTACCCTTCCAGCGTTATCCACAAAATACAAGTTTGGAAGCTACAAGGTACCTTCATAAATAAAATCATCCTGTACTAAAACACATTTTTAGATAATGCCAAGGGCTCAAAACGCCCATGCGCTCGTAAACGCCGGATTTCTGGTTCAACTAAGCGAGAAAAACATCGTCCAGTCTGCAAGAATCGTCTACGGTTCCATTAACCCCTCTTTTATTCATGCTACTAAAGCCGAACAGTTCTTGGTCGGTCGGCAACTTTTTAGAAACGACACAGTACAGGAAGTTTTCGCAATCCTTGATAAAGAAATAGTTCCAGAGATTGCACCACCTGAACCATCACCACTTTTTCGAAAACAGCTAGCAATTTCTTTGTTCTATAAAGTGAGGTCCTACACGGGAACTTCTAATCGCTTCATTTGCTCTTTTTAGTACATTTTGTCGATTGCACCTAAATCTCTCGTCTCTCCCAAAAATAGAAGTGGTGCTTCTCTCCTCGAAAGACCTTTGACTACCGGTTTTCAAGATTTCGAAACGAAGGAGTCTATGTATCCTGTATCCAAACCCATGTCGAAGAATGAATCGTTGGCTCAAACTTCCGGACAAGCTGAATATATTATAGACATGCCGGATCTACCTGGACAACTATTTGGTGCTTTTGTCTTAGCCAAAATCAAGCCTATGTCGATAATCCGAAAAATCGACACAACTGAAGCTATGGTAAGTACTTATTCAGCTGACCCGTTTTTGGTAAACTTGTTTTTATAGAAACTAGAAGGAGTTGTTGCCTTCTTCGCCAAAGACGACATTCCTGGTCAAAACAATTTCACCCCACTAGAAGCCAATTCTCTGTTTTTATCAATGAAAGAAGAAATATTTTGCAGCGGAGAAGTACAGTACTTCAATCAGCCCGTCGGTCTGATAGTTGCTACCTCTCAAGAAGTAGCCGAAAAAGCTGCAAACTTAGTAGAGGTGTCGTACAATACGGGGACCAAACAACCCTTATTGACTATCCAAGACGTCATAAAGTTTGGTAATGGTCGCAGTATGACTCTTGAACAAGAAATCGAACGTAAGACTAAAGGTAGCAGTAGTGCGCACGTCGTCAAAGGCACGTTTGAGTTGTCTTGGCAGTACCACTACCATATGGAGACTCAGTGTTGTAATGTCGTACCAACAGAAGATGGTCTAACCATGTACCCTTCCAGTCAATGGCTCGATCTTTCCCAAACAGCAGCCGCTACTATGCTCAACATTCCAGCAAATAAGTAAGTACTTTAACGGTTTTAAATCAACAACTAATAGTTTCGTAGGATCAATGTTGTCATACGTCGTCTTGGTGGAGCTTTCGGTGGAAAGATTTCTCGCAACTCTTTGATTTCCTGTGCAGCGGCACTTGCAGCTCACAAACTACAGAAACCGGTGAAGATTTGGTTGCCTTTTGAGACCAATATGAATATTATAGGGAAAAGGTACCCCATCGTGTGTGACTACGAAGTAGGACTTGATAATTCGGGAACCATTCAGTACCTAAATAACACTCTCTATTCTGACTACGGAGCTGGGAAAAACGAACCAAACATTCCACTTCTTTTAGAGATCTTCATGGAGAGTTATAACTCTAGTACTTGGCATGTTAAAGCATTTTCCACTAACACCAACACCGTAGCGAACTGCTACATTCGAGCTCCTGGTAGTTGTGAAGGTCTTGCTATGATTGAAGCCATAATGGAACACGTGGCTGTGGCTCTTAACATAGATCCTACGGAGTTGCGACTCAAGAACATAAATAAAGAAAAACACGAACGCTTGACTAAGTTTATAAAAGAGTTAAACACGTGGGCTGACATAGACATCCGCAAACGAGAGATTAAAAAGTTCAATGAAGAGAATAGATGGAAGAAAAGAGGGCTTGCGGTGGTACCCATGGTGTTCCCGTTTATGTTGTTTGGCAGCTACGGTGTCATAGTTTCCATCTATAAGTCCGATGGTACCGTATCAATAGCACACGGAGGCGTTGAAATGGGTCAGGGGATCAACACAAAGGTACGACTTACGTTTTGTGTGTAAAACTACTAATTAAACCGTAGGCAGCCCAAGTCTGTGCGTACAAACTAGGAATCCCAGTGGAAAAAGTAACCGTCAAGCCTAGTAATAATTTAATAGCACCGAATGCCCACATGGTTGGCGGCAGCGTAACTTCAGAAACTGTTTGTCATGTACGTACAACAACAAAAGTGTGACAATTGTAACCATATTATTACAGGGCATAATCAAAGCGTGTGATATTCTTCTGAAACGCATGGAACCTATCAAAAAAGAGATGAAAAACGCAACTTGGGAGGAGCTTGTGTCCCAGTGTTATTACAAATACGTGAATTTATCAGCCACATCTGTGTATGTTCTACTACGCTGTTTCGTAGAATACACAGTCTTCTTGTTGTAGGGGAAGCCCCACTGAACTTCAAGCCTATTCCGTCTACGGTGTTTGTGCTTCTGAAATCGAGTTAGACGTACTAACCGGTCAATACATGGTTCAAAGAGTCGACTTAATGGAAGATGCTGGTACTAGCATGAATGCTAACATTGACATGGGTCAAGTTGAAGGTGCTTTTGTCATGGGTATGGGTTACTTCACCTCTGAGCTAATAGTACTCAACGACAATGGCGAACTTTTGACTAACCGTACATGGAATTACAAGCCACCGGGAGCTAAAGATATTCCAGTCGATTTTAGGATCAAGTTTCCCAAGAACACGCCCAATAATGTTGGAGTTTTAAATTCGAAAGGTAAAAATCGGAGAATTTAAGAAAACATCTGAATTGTGAAATTGTAGCTATTGGAGAACCGCCGTTGTGTTTAGCTGCTTCGATCCCTCTCGCTATAAGAAATGCAGTCGCGTCTGTCAGAATGGACGTAGACGAGGCAAACCAGAAGTGGTATCCTTTCTGTAAGTTTTCTTAAAAGTAGTCTTACAAAGTTTTAATAATGCACGATTTACAGGTGGACCCTCAACAGTCGAAAATGTATACATGAATTGTTTACATAATTTTAAGCTCTATAATCTCTAAGGTTCAATTAATCATATTCTCTAGATTAGCATTTGGTGAAATGTAGATTAGTAAATAAATCGTGTGGATACTATTTCCTGTTGTCATTGATTATCAATCTAACAAAAGCACAAGCGGAAAATCTTCAGCTAAATTTGATTTGAGGATTAATTACTGCGAATCGCTGCGAATCTTCCACCTCGAATGCTTTTATAATAATGATGTACGCATGCGTTGAAGATAATACCGCATTGAGCCTGCGCAAATAGACCTAATTACGCCACAATGTGCAATTTAATGCAATAAATATTACAAGATTTTTCAAATAGGATATACGCTATAGCAATTTTTAATTTTTTTATGAGACTGCCAAACTAGCTCCGAATTAAAGAAAAATTAAAGGATTGACTCACTTTGATGACTGGTATTTCCTTTTGCCACGTTGCTCATTCGTACTTATATAGTAAATAAACCATGTTACGAAACAGGACAACAATAACATAAACACTTAATTAAAATGAAGGTTAACTTGTATATAAAGTTACGTCACGTGGTGCAAATGGCGGGAAGTGACTGTCAAATTGACAACTTGACATTTTTTTTTCGAAACAGTCTTGACAAGAAAGAAATCTAAATTCTAAAGTCAATATAAAAACAGAACAGTTTTTCTACGGCCTTTTTCCCACGGAGACGGATGTATGTCAAATTTGAATATGGCGCGTGACGCAACAGATGGCGCCCTCCACACACATATAAAATGGATTCCGTTTATATGTCAAACGTATGTCAAAAGTTCGCTGCATGAAAGAGCGGACGGTTTTATGTTTAATAATACTGACAAAAAGTAAACATTGTGTTAATTGTGCTATTTTTTTCAACCAACAGTGTAATAGAGTGTGATTTATGTTTGCTTAAAAAAGCATAAATATGTATCCAAGCTACATGAACAAACCAACGTTCATGACAAATACAGCAAATACAGGCTTTGGAGGTAAGTCGCCTAGGAAATAAATGAATAGCCCGTAACCAACAACAATTTTGTTATAACAACCAACGATCTTTTTATTTTTCGACTGATAGCGTCCACATCCTCTTTTGGACAACCGTCTGCTAACACTTCTATGTTCTCATCTATGCAACCGTCGAATATATTCCAGACACCCAGTACATCCTCTTTTAACGCAGGACCATCCACTCAAAGTAGTTTTGGTAAGTATTTTTTTTTTAATTTTTTTTTTCAAATTTAACCTCACAATTTTTAAAATATTGCCCATTATTGTGCAACTGCACCCCCTTGCAACACAAAAATGTCCCCTTTCGTTTGCACCCACCCCTGTGTACCCATATATGTAACACGTAGAATAGATTCAGCCTGGGAAACAGTGATTCCATGGCGCTTTCAACACTTCCGAGACAGTTTTGTGGTCATTGTGCATACAATGTAAGATATGTGTGTTGTTTTAGACAGTGTTGTGTTATTTTATATTTTATCTAGAGTTCAATGAGAGTAGATAGTGATTTTTATCTCTCTTTTTGACTAAAGTTTGTTATTTCAGCTTTTATTTCCGTTTACACTCAAATTTGAAGTGACAATGGGTCGTAAGTTTAGCATTCATGTTTGTTTTTGTTTATTTAAGTGAGATTATTGTAGCTATCCCACGCAGTTCTCCTAAACGACCCGTCAAATACAAAGTCCCAGGTAAGTGTTCAATTTGTATTGGAAGTTATGCATGTTATTACTGTTTATAAATTGTCCGTAAATTCCTACAAATTGTGTATTATGAACTTCTGATTTTTTACAAATGAAGATTCAGTAGTTTTTTGTGTAGTTTTTTTTTTGGCGGTTTGTAGAACTGGAAGTGAAAGATTTTTTTTGCTAGGGTGAGGTCATCATATTTAAGTAATCCTTCAGTCTCACAAAACGCTTCAAAATATGCATATTGTGTGGTCATTAGTTTTCTGACTAGGTACCAACCACACGGTGGTTTAAATAGTGCTGGAATGGAGGAATTGCCGCAGTTCAAAGAAAATGATTTTATTTATCCTCCCTGGAAATTTGATGACATCATCCTAAAAAAGAGTATCAAATTCAAGTCCATAACAGAAAAAGCAAACTATTTTGACACTCAATTGCCAAGATTTATAATAACACAAAATCGTTTTTAGATGAGCCTCCAAGTCTCGACCCATCCTTGCTAAAATTTACTGGAGGTGGAAGTGCTAGTGGTAGTGGTAAGAAAATACGATATTTGCATTATTAATATTTTTTATTAATAAACGATACAAGAATTAATTTTGTTTTATTTTACAGCCTCTTTCGTTTCCAATTCCTGTTCATTCCCCAATCTAGGCCCCAGTTCTACCTCTGATCCCGGTCCTAGTTTCGTCTTTGACCCTGGTCCTCCTAGTTCTTCTACTGTACGTCCTTCGTCCCCCCGTCTTACCCTTAAAAGAGGTGGTGAGTCTGTTTTGAAAAAGTATTGCTTTTAGATGCCCTGGACATTCAGGTTTATAAGCGAGCGGTTCTAAACTTGTTTGTTTAATTTTTTAAGGTAAATTCGCGTCGAGTACTAGTCTTACAACAGTTGCAACAATTGAACCCCAACCTGGCCCCTCCAGTTGTAAGTATAGAGTGCGTCGCGAAATTTTGGTTGACTGGATTTTTTTTTTTGATAGTACAACCCCGATCCACCCTCATGCCGTTTACTAGCACTCGTAAGTCGATTTTTTTCATTATAAACAAAAAGGTCCAAAGTTTTGTATGCGTAAACTATTATCCTCCATATTGTAATAAAGGATATGGAGTAAACATAATCAAGTGATGCGACTTTGGTCCTTTTTGCGTCCTTTATTTGTCTCCCATATTTTACATTTTTTTATGTGTAAATTCCTCAGCATTCAATGCTGAACCGACAATTCACAAATTATTTAGGGATGGGTAATTAATAATTATAGTTGAAGGATTAACACATTTTTGTGTTTGTTGAATTTATTTAGTTCCATTCCGCCCCCGAGAAGCGGATACGGATATGGAATTTTCACCCGCTAGCGGTGGTGAGTATTTTGACTTTGTAGTAAACGAATAGCGCACGTACATTTTTGATTATTACTTCACTTCTTCGTATATAGTAAAAATGTGTACTTCCTCGGCTGAAATGATCGCAGCCCTTCCGTCGTACGAAGTTGGTAAGAAAAATTAGGCTCCGACGCTTTGTAACAATCAACACAAAATACAATTTTAGATCGTATGGAAGAACCGCCTGCTAAACGTACATTTCAACTATCAGTTCCAACGACCTTTTGTTTTTCTCGTGAGCAGGTTTAACCAGCGCGTTTTTATTTTTTTTACGTTTGAAATTTTTTTAGCTTCGACATCTTCATGCGGCGATTCTGGTAAGTATAGGTGGTAAGTTTGTAAGTATGTTGTGTATTCCTTCGGTCTGTTCCTTCTCCTGAGCACATTATGGGCAAAATACTAACCTCTAGTACTAGTGCTTTGAACTAGATCTTCTATAACGTAATTCTAGGCACAAATTTATTCGGTCAACAACCCCAACCCTCTACAAGCGGTTTATTCGGTACCAGCAATGCATTCGGCCAAAATAAAACAACATTCGGATTTGGTTCCACGCCAGCACAGACGGGGTTATTTGGACAACAACCCCAACAACAAGCTGGAACATCTCTTTTTCAGTCAAACAGTTCAAACTTATTCGGTAGTAGTACCTTCGGAAATCAAACCACCGGAACCGTCATCAAGTTCCAACCGGTCACAGGCACCGACACTATGCAGAAAAACGGTGTCACTACATCCATCAGCACCAAACATCACAGCATCACTTGCATGAAAGAATACGAAAGCAAATCTTTCGAAGAACTAAGATTTGAAGACTACTCTTGTAACAGAAAAGGACCCCAACAACAAACGGGTTTCGGTGCTGCTCCTTTCGGTGCCTCCACAAGCGGATCGTCGACGTCTCTTTTTGGACAAACAGACAATAAGCAAGGCTTCGGCCAGCCGCAAGCTTTCGGTCAAACCCCGGCCTTTGGACAGACAACTCCAGCGTTCGGAGTCACGAACCAGACCAATACTCCCAACCTTTTCGGGAAGCCGAACACTTTCGGTGCGACCACGAGCACGACACCTGCGTTTGGGTTCAACCAAACACAGTCGACTTCCAACCCTTTCAGCGCCACGCAAACACAGAAGCCTTTTTCGCAGCCGCTGTTCGGTACCACCACCACGCAGGCGCAACCGAGTTTTGGAACGGGGGTTTTCGGACAAACTAATACTCAGGTAAGCGGATCGAGTCGATTAGTAGCAATTGAAAAAGATTTTCCAGAACACTGGTACGAATTTGTTTCAAAAGCCGGTGCAGCCGACGACTGGATTCAATACGGGCCAACAAGGGTTCTCCTTCAATCAGGCCGGTACCACACAAGCTTCGAATTTGTTCCAAGTGTCCAAACCCAACACGGGATTTGGGATATTCGGGCAAACTAACACCACTCCAGCGTTCGGGCAGACGAGCCAACCCACCTTTGGGACGAACTTTGGAAAACTTACACAACCGACGTTCACTCAACCGACACAGCCGGCATTTGGCACAAACCTAACTGGTAGGGTAGTCCAAATTTGAAAAGATGGAAGTGTCAAAGTTTCGTTGTAGGTGGTCTTCAGCAACCCTCTTTGTTCGGCAGTACAGCTTCCAAACCTCCTAGTCTTTTCGGGAGCACAAACACAGGAGGTAGCCTTTTCAACAATAACGTATTCCAGCAAACACCAACATCGTTTTCTTTGAACATGAACCAACAACAACCGCTGTACGTATTTTTTCTTCTTTGAGGACTTTTTCTTAACTGTTTTGTAGTCAATTCCCGCCGGAACCGTCCGACGAATCCAAGAACATTTCGTTGATAGCCACGGATAGCTTTCCGGATGGTCCGCACGTGTACGGATTGGAGCCTGTGTTGACAGACTCCAGCAACAGTACCACGAACCCGAAGGACATCAAACTGTTGCTCGACTATTCTAAGAAGAGGGACGAAATGTTGGGGACCAAAGCGAAGATTAAGGTGCAGATGCCCAAGCCTAAACGCGTACGTATTACTAACCGACTAGTGCGAATTTCGCTGACTCAGCAATGTATAGGGAAACAACTACAATAAGGAGTTTTTCGAAACGAATCAAACTCTGAAAGGGTCTCACAAATGCCTAGTGATACGGAAATTCAACGACAATAATAATTCTATATACAATAAATACAAGAACGAATTGTTGGAAGAAGCCGAAGAATGTATGAAGGCGGCAAGTGAAGCCGATTCAAGTTCGATTATTAGCCCCAGAAGTAACATTTCCGATGCTGGTACTTACGGCGAAACGTTGAGTGAATACAAAGGGCGAATAATGAATTTGAGGCTCCAGTTCGACACGACAGCCACAGAGGATACCGATGACACTCGAACGGTCGATGATTCTGTATTCTCTCCTTCTGCGGTTTCCTCCAAATCTAATATTCTAAGTGAATCGAGGTCGTCGAAGTCACTACCTCCAAGCCAAGTCAGCAGTAATATGACCCTCATAGATGATGATCCAGCCGGTGCTGAAACCGACACCGAACCTCCATCAGTCACCACAACCAACGAACCCGAAATTATCGAGAACGCCGCTGGCGTAATACTATCTAAACCCGAGTACTACATGTACCCTGCCCTCAAAGACCTCCAACAATACATGGACGACAACGGCGAATGCGTCGTACAAGGACTCACAATAGGCCGTAGAGGCTACGGAAACGTGTACTTCCCTGACCCTATAGACATTTCCAACATGAACTTTGACGAGATCGTGCATTTCCGTCATCGCGAAGTGATCATCTACCCAGACGATACCAAAAAGCCGCAGGTGGGCGAAGGGATCAACCGACGTGCTCAGGTCACCCTCGACAAGATCTACCCGAGAGAAAAAGGCACGAATAATTACATAACCGACGTAAACCAAATCCTCCAAACCAACTTCGTCGATAATCTGATGCACGTGACCCAGAAACACAACTGCAAGTTCGTGGATTATCGACCGAAAACGGGATCGTGGGTGTTCAAGGTGAAACATTTCTCCAAGTACGCGTTTACGGACAGCGACGAAGAGGAATGCGAAGTCGGAGGGGAGAAAGCCATCGCGAAGAAAGCAGCGGACCTTTTGAAGAAGATTGAGGTAAGTGATGGTTGTTTTGTGGATTTGGGGCGAATTTGATTTTGGTTGAAGGAAGTTGAGGAGATGCCCTTCGGTCTGGGGGGAGGGCTTCAGGTTATGAAGAATCAGACTTTATTGAAGGACGTGGATAGTTTCGTCACCGATCCGACTATGCTGGATTATTGGCAGGAAGATCACTATATGCTCACTGAGGAGATGTACCATACAGAGTCAGCGATTCAGACTCTTAAATCTTCCCTTTTTACAAATTTAGACAAGATTAAGGAAAAGAAGCAACCTGAAAGTGTAGTTGTGGAAACCAGGCAACTAGTACCGAGTGAGGTAGTCGTTTCACCGACGATGTACAAGTTGCCGGATATATCACGTAAGTAGGATTTATATTGTGGGACATCAACTATAATCACTAATAGTCATAGTACACCCGGAGAAGGTTACTTCGACCCAAAGATGTTACACGGAGCTGGCTATCTTCAAATGTAATAATTACAAAATCGGGTGGGGTAAAGGGTTTAACTTCTATAACTCGGACCCTATTGCCGATAGTGAGGTTATCTATACACTTAATCACTGCAACATGAACGTGGACGCTCCCGGACACTACAATTCAATGATGGTTCGTTTTTACTTTGTTGCGTCTCGTATGATTAACCACTGTTTTACAGCCAAATTTAACCGACATGTTGAAAGTAACTCTCGCCGAAAGCGACTTTACTTTTGACAACGACAAAGTTCCTACTTTACATATCAGGAAAGATCTGTCCTACTTGCAAAAACAAACCAACTTATTTAATGATCACGTGAGACACCAGACCCTGACGGGCCGCGACAAGTACCTATGTAGCGTATGGAATCTATGTTCAGCTCTTTGGGGTCCCGGCGATAACTCCTCTTGTAGTAGACGACAATACGTTAGCGATTGGTAATAACCTGACTTAAGTACGAAACGAGGTCTCACGCTGTTTTTCAGGCTTAAAAAATTCTCGTACGACCTGTCTGACGAATGGAGCATAGACGAACATCTAGAGATGCAAGAATCCGAAACGTTTAAAACCATTTTCAAACTACTTTCGTTTTATAAAATTCCGGAAGCGTGCGAGTTCGCTAGTAAAAATAATCTGCACAGATTGAGTCTCTTGATAAGTCAGATGAGTGCCAACGATAGAGACAAGTACTGGATGGAAAAATTTTTGGATGGTTTCGTCTGGAAAGAGAGGGGCGTGATTGTCGACGATTTTAAAAAACTATATTTGCTTCTAGCTGGTATACCTACTCGCGAAACTATTAATACTTGTGACGACTTAAACTGGATGAGAAGCTTCGGCTTACACTTGTGGTATATAGCTCCGGCGGCTGCACCAATCGATGTTGCGTTTAATTTGTACAAGAAAGCTTTCGTGGAATCGGAATATGCTTGCAAACCTATACCACCATATTGTGAATCTCAGTCGCAAACCAGCCAATTCGATCTGCTTTATCATATTCTGGCTCTGTATGTTGACGGTACTTACCAGCTTTGTAATGTACTTCACCCAGAGACGCACACTGAAAACGCGATGGACTACAGACTCAGGTAAGTTACAATAATAATGATACTAATAGTTGGTAACCCGTTTGATTCAGCTGGTTCATTTTGCAACTATTCTTGTCCCTGGAAGCGGGTTTAATCCGCGACTCTGAGAAAGAGCACCTTCACACTACGTTCTCCACTCAGTTGGAAAATATGGGTCTTTGGAAGTGGGCGATATTCGCTCTTCTCTTCCTCGAGAATAACACCGTTAAGAAATACCTGATCACTAGAATCCTGGACCGAAATCTAGCGACGTTCGCCGAAACCGCACAAGTCGAGAAAGAGCTGGTCCAAACGTTCCACATTCCCCCAGCCTGGATTCACGAAGTGAAAGCCACTAAAAGCAAAGTCGGCGGTCACTACTACGACTACTTCCAACACTACGTCTACATGGAAGACTGGCAAAATGCGAGCAGCGCGTTCGTTTCTCACATTTTACCCGAATTGTTTGTCAACGAGCAGTACGACTACCTAACGTTTTTCCTCAACAAACTGGAACCCATTTCCAATGTTCTTATCAACTGGCAAACCCAAGGTGGACTCATTAAGGAATTTCTTGATTTGCAGGATAACCTCTCTCAAGGCAGCGACGATGGAATCAGCTACATCGCCGGGAAGTTGAGCTCGTTATTCCGAAGAATTAGTTCTTTCCCACTAAAGAATGACCAACAGAAACTATGCGTTGCTGAGCTGTCGAGAAAATGTGCCTTGCTTTTTAAATTGATTCACAAAACTTTGGACAGTCAAGAGTTCCAAGCTAAATTTATAGACGTCCTGAGCAATTTGGTCATGCCTCCGGACATCAAGCACTATGAAATATTCTATCTCATTTCTAAATATATACAAGAATCGGACGCATAAGCCCGATCGACGTACTTTCTAAATTACTATCGTGTTATACAATCTTTGTAATCTTGTTTTGGCAATATTTTTAAAATCAGTTTTGTATGTGAAGTTGTCAATAAAATTTTAGTGGTAATACGAAAAGCGCATTTGATTATCCCCGAAACACCCATGTTGTGTGTGCTGAGTCGGCGTAACTTGTTTCGCAAGGCACACTATTGTCTATTGTGTTTGGTTTAGTCATTTAAAAAAGAGTGGGGTATTTATTAAATTTATTAAAGAAGTACAATAGCTTTAAAAAAATAGTAATCATCTTCACCAAAATATCAATTATTGGAAGTCGCTCTCGATGTGTGTTTCGTTATACATATGATTTTCTTCTAAGTAGACGGTTGTTTTAAGGCTGTGGTGCACTTCAATCATCTCAAATAAAGACTGGAAAAATTGTATAGTGCACGCTAGTGTTCCATCGCGCAGTTTTTTAAACCCTTTGTCTGAAAAATTAAGAAAGTCAAACTATAATACAGAAAAAAGCGTTTACCTAACGGTTTCAATTTGCCTTGAATTAACAGTGTTTGATGTGCGCATGCCCCAATCATCCTTTTTACTAAATCATCTTGGCTATCTTTACTAATTGGGGTTATTTTGCTAATAAACCTTAGCAAGTATTCGATGACATAAGCTTCTTCCTATAACGTGAGAGGAAAGGGCAAGGTAAGTACGTCGTCCCGTCGCTACTTACTGCTGGAAACTTCTGGAAGCATATTTCTGGTTGTTTGTAGTGGATGACGATATTCTCAAACATATCCCGTTTGATAACGGGTTGTTTTAACCCTTCGATCCACTCAAAAAGAAGCATAGATAAAACAGTTAAGTCAGTTTCGATCGCCAGTTTCGCCCACCCGACTTGAGACGTGTTAATTTCAATCTGATACTGCCTAATTTTTTTCCTAGTGTCGTTAGTTAGACTCGAATAGTCCTTCAAAAGACTGTCAACTGCCACATTAATATCTTGTATAACTATCGATTCCTCATTCTCTTGACTGAAACACTTTTGTGTTTCTAACTCTTGAAAACATCGATTTTCTATCAAAAGCTCCTCACTTATTTCATCACCATCTAATGTGCTTAGTTCGGAAAAAGAATCGCTTGGATCACCATTTTCGGAAGGATTTGGACTCGTGGCTAAAGAGGTTTCTTCAGACGGTGACTTCACGTCACTGTTAGAATACAAGGCTGAAAGTACAAGTCAAAATGGACGCGTTTGGCGCAGCTGCGACTTACAGTCAGAGTTATTGCTGCACAAACTATAAGTGCTTTCGTATCGCGGAATGCGATTTCCATTTAGTTTCGTAAAAAGAAAATCTAAAGTAAAGGGAGTGTTGGATGGAGGGAACTCATCGATCCAACAACCACACAGTTTTAGAATGCGTTCGCACACACAATGAATAATCTAAAATTTGAACTGTTGGTTGGAAAAATGTCACTGTGACGGTATTTATTTGGCTACCTTTGGTAGAAATTTGAAGTTCCGCTCGTCGTAACCGTGTAGAATTACTTTTTGCCTCCTTAGAAACCTCGGTAGAGTAAATTCAGTCATATATTTATCTTTGTTGATGTTCTCTCTGAAACAAAGTCGTTACGAGTGCACATGCGCAAATCGTGAACGTACTTAAGACAGTAGGTTATAGTCCGGGGAAGTACAAACTGTGCGAAGTGTCTCACACACAAAATCTGACCTCTGGTTTGTACAGACCCTGGTCGTCTTAACCTGACGTATCTGATTGCGTCGTTGGCTGTGACACGTAAGGAATAAACTAAATAACAGGCTATTAGAACCCCGGTTCTCCCCAAACCTAAAAATATAAAAATTATGGACTAACTATTTATAAGAAAAGTTTTAATTATAGAAAAAAATGTCCTCAATAAAATATGGTCGTCGAATTGATGATTGACAGAATGTTTACGGAATGGTTAATAAAATCGATAATACTAAAATAGACTGTTTCTAATGGTAGACAAACTAGTTGATAACTGAACGCTATTTTCCTAATAACCGAAAATTATGGAGGTTGCATGCTTGGGAATTACTCACCGGCATGACAATGAATAGCGACCCGCCCTTCAGTTATGGCAAAAGCTAGCACTTTCACCATATTTAATAAACCTACTAATGTGGCGTCCCCGTAGTCTTTCCATGCGAAATTGTAGTAGTAGACTAAAAACACATTCAACTTAAAAACTCAAGTTTCAAAGTGTATCATTTGTAATCGACTACTTTTGAAGCGTTTTTAGCCAGAGTTAAGAAAAGCGAGCGAAGAGCAGTGTTTGTAAAGTGCACCGTGAGTTTTTCAGAAGATATAATAGTGATTAGTTTGAAGATGACACAAAACAGTATCGAAACTTCGTGCTAACAACTTGGTGTTTGTGAATTCAGATATTTACATGGGACATTCACCCAAGGGATTTGCGTCGGTTTCTGCGACCTAAATTCCCATCGGCAATATTTACAGTTGTTAATTAGTCAAAAAAAATGATCAATTATGGAAGGAACATACTCTGATGTCACGCAAAATGTGTCAGAAAAACCTCCCCCAGGAGTTTTTGTTGCAATCGTACTGAAACCGTAATTGTAGCGTTGCGTTATATTTTGTCTTCTAATAATACAATTCTTCAATAGTTTGATAATAGTTTAAGGTTATGAGGTTGTCGATTTTCCTCCAATCAGTTTATTGTTAGATTTTCTAATAAATAATGTAACGAAATCGTAACAAAGCTCACGTACTATTCAACAAGTCCGACACAGTAGGTACGCATAGAACGTTTCCTCGTTTGAATTTTTCACGAGAAAATCAATTTTAAACGATTGTCTAGCACTTGAATTCATTAAATTAATGATTAATTGTATTTCGACACGGGGGGGGTGTTCACGCAACTGTATACACCAGTGTTGCTTAAACTGACCCATTTAAGAAAAAGTTGAACGTTCTAGGAGCGTTATCCCCCAATCTACGTTTCCGTGCACGACAAACCTATTTTCTTATCAAACAAAAAAAAGGGAAAATTTAGAAAAAATTTTGTAGTAACACAGTTGCCATTCGCTGCCTTAAGCTAGTCTATCGATTCGTAATGTGATCGCATTTTTCGCATGACTTGAACAAAAATCCGATTTATTTATATTGGGTTGTAATAGTAGTTGAATATGAATGAGGGTTATTCAGTCACGACTGGTTTATTACTAGTTTGTCAACATTTCGTGCCCATTATTGTTAAATTGTTTTTCTGGCATATTTTGACTTATGATTAACATATTCACATGTTTTGGGTAATTTTATTGTGTAATTGGGGCTTTCAACCCACTATTGCCAACCGCATTACTAACGAGTGCGTTTATTTAAAAAAAATCTGTGTTGTGATGTCGAAACATTTATATAATTTAACGATGAACATCTAAAGTTGTAATTTATTATGTGCGTGTTTTATTTTGGGCTTACATGTTTAGCTGCAATGATACCGCTCTAGGCACTTTCGAGCAAGAATAACTCGTTTATTATCGCAGTAAACTGCCAAAGTACAACGCAATTTTCGCCATTGCAGCTCATTACAATTTTTACTTGTCTATTTGTGTGTCTAGCGCGTGCATTCGACAGGTTGTCGAACCGCAACCATAAAAAATATAAGGGTATCGATAAGTGTGTTACTATATCAACCCAATATACAACCGCAATGGGTCATTACTGTTTGTAGACTTTGTATGAAAAAGTAGTTCAAGTGTGAATACAGTATTGATTTTCGACCGAATTAGCTGATAAACATGCAGTGAAAGTTTAACTGATCTGGATGCAGTCGTTAAGATCTTCTGATAAGCCGGTAGGAAAATAAAATGCAAATAATGTGCCACTTACTATTATGTTCCATGAAAATATTAGGGTCGTAAGAAAATCCGGAATCTTCTAAAGGTTGGCCACAACTTGCATGCTCTCTTGGAGATTGTAAATTAATTATTGATTTTATTCCTAAACTACAAGAAATTACCAAACCTATTGAAACCGACTTGTTAAATTACAGCAATATACCTTTCGAACTGTTGGATGATATTCTTTTGGACTATAATCATAGTGCTGGGGCGCGCCATCGCTAGAATATCATCAGTTATCCTGCAAAAGCCGACTCTGGACAGTTATTGCATGCAATATAAATTCGTCAATAGCGATTTTTACAACACTCAAAAATACATACAATAACTCACTTTGTAACATGTGGGATACATAACACTCACGTATCTCCGGTTACATGTAAGTGACATCACAAATCTACTAACTTACCAATGTGAATATATTCCCTGTAGGGCCAAACTATCCGCTTTCCAATTTTCCGGATTTTCATATTTACAGTTCGTTCCTCCACAAAAAACGCTACACTGTATCCCCTGAGGTGTGAGCCGCCTGATATGATCAGATAACTTACTATAATTCGCTTGAACCGTTTCGCTAGTAGTTGGGCTCTTGAGTTCACGTAATTCCATGTTGGAGCGCGTCAAACGCTGTCACCGGTTTGTTTCGAAGTGATACATTCAAGAAAGCACATTTTTAAACAAGCTTTTAGCGCATGCTTCAGTTTATTATTCGATATTATCTGCATAAAAGCTGAAGAACGGTCGCTAAGGTAAATATCTGACACGTCAGATATACTGATAGATAAAAATTATTTGCGCATTGCGTCAATTAACGAGAATTGTTTTTGTGAACGAGAAGAAAAGAAATGAAAATTTTAATAACGTTCACAGGAAGTGTAAAATGAAAGTTTCATGAGAAATTTTTCGAGAGATAAAATGGAGGCAGAATGTACAACGTGAATGCTAGTGGCGCATCCACCATTATTGTTGCGCTCCGTATTTAGAACTTTTCAAGCTTTATTTATTTTATTCGTGCTTTAAGACGATATAATGAGGAGTCCGACACACGCATAAGTTGGTTTCGCGATATTATAAAGATAAGGTTTTTTATGAAACCGTCATAAAACTCGCATAAAACCAATACGCGTATGTATTTATGACAAGGTATAAAATAAATGAAAAATGTACCATCCACCATTTTGTTCCGATTTTTTTGTATACAGGTTGCTTCAGTTTTTATTTATCACACCTTCAAAACCTGTGAAATTTCAAAATGTTGCCGATTTGCCACTTCGTAGTAATGGTAGCCATTGTTAGGGTTTTAATTAATACGGCTAATATGTAATCTGTCGTAGCCTAAAAGGGGTGGAACAAATCAGTGCCCACTTGGATACTAGAATCATTTATAAAATCCGGTCACATAAATTTAAAATTCGGTTATATAAAGCAACAATTCATTTTTAGCTACAAAGATACAACGATAAGCTTATAAATATTCAAAAAAAATATTTTCGAACGTCGTAACAATGGTGCAATATGTAAAGTGTGTGTTTAAAAAATGAATTTATTTCGAGCAAGAAACGTATATTCATAAAGGGTTTAGTAGTTCTCTGGACTAACTAAAGAGTACAATTTATATATGCGCATATATTCATGTAATTAAGTCTTCAGCATGCAAAATTAATGGTTACTTTAGCTTAATAAATGAGAAACTTTTTCATAATTTGAAACAGATTCGAGCGATTTGGGGAAATTTTAAGCTTTGACTGCGCGCGCATACCGTTTCCTGATTGGCAGAGACATAAGCCTGAATAAATTTTTTTGAAATTGGAATCATTGAAGAGAATGAGATCCGTATCTAGACCCCTTACACAAAACCGTCGCCTTATGTTATGATAATGAATGATTGCACGTATTGGTATTACGTGCCTGATGTATTAATACTTTTTCAAATATGTGTACCTACTTATAAAGTTATGTTACATCATATGCAATATCCTAATATCGTTCGTCCAAGGTCAAAATTTTATATCTTCATTTGTTTGGTATAGATTTTAATTTGAACATAAAAAAGACGATCTTTATTAAACTTATTTAACACTATTGATGGCGTTTTCATTGTTTACATTCAAACAAGTTACTTTTAAAAAATTGTTGTAACCCAGATAAACTTTTAACGACGTAGTGGTTCTTTTTTGGAAAGATGCCACTAATATTGCGCTTGTTTTCCAAATTATTATACGTTTGCGTTTGAAATTTAAAGTTGACGGAATGACCGGACAAAAGCAAGCAAATCCCAAAACACCAAGCCGGTCAGTGCCAACCGAATAAAATGAAAATCTCAAGACGGTAAATATTGGAAGGTGAATTTTGAAAATTGTGAGAAAAAAACACAAATGTAACATGCTAGTGAAACATTTTTTATTTAAAAGTTTTGCAACATTGTCGCAGATGTCAAAAATTTGAACTGATGGTGCAATACAAGGTTTTTGATATTATTATAAACAAAAAAGAATTTTACTTATCTTTACACAGAACTATTTATTTGCTTAAAGGGGGAGCTTAACTGCAAAATCCTTATTTTTCTACGAGAAATTAAAAACATGTTTTTGAGTATCGTGTTAATCAAAGAATACTATGTAGATTAAGAAAAAATTAAAGCCACCCATACCTGTCCTAATCTAAATAGTAATGAAGTGTTCATTCGTTGACAGACCTAGAGGCCAATTGCAAAACCCATATTTCCTTACAACAATTGACCATTTTAAACATGTTTTAAGTTTGTAAGAATAAAAAAATCATCATAATGAAGATGGGGTGGGTGGGTGGGGTTTACATTTTGCCTTTTTGTTTTAATATGGGTAGACGTCGTTAATTTTTGGGGGGAATATACAGATATATTTTAAATAACAATTTACCTTGCTTACAATAACTTTAAAACGTCTGCAAAATTTCAAGGTATTCAGTTTCACAATTCTTGATTTATTCAATCAAATAAATTGACTGATTCATTAATTTTTTTGAACCACCTTGTATAAACAAATCTAAAAAAATATGAATAAAATGATAAATTACAAGTCCAGACCGATCATATTTTGTACATTTTAGATAGGATTTATTCAGCAAAATTTTGTGGTGACGTCATAAATTTTTTAGAGGGGATGAGCAAATACATTTTGATCAAAAACTTACCATGCTTATGATAACTTTAACACATATTCAAGATTTCAAAGCATTCGGTTTTGTAATTCCTGAGTAAATCAATAAAATAAATTTACGCATTCATTAATTTTTTTGAGTCATCACAAATTTTTGAGTATACACAAATCCAAAAATTATGAATGGAGTGATAAATCACAAGTACAGACTCATCATATTTTGTACAGTTTAGATAGGATTTATTTGGCAAACTTTCGAGCTGACGTCATCAATTTTTTGGAGGGGATAAGCAAATATATTTTGACTAAACATTTATTATGCTCTTTATAACCTTAAAACATCTACAAGATTTCAAAGCATTCGGTTTTGTAGTTCCTGATTAACTCAATAAAATAAATTCACGCATTCATTAATTTTTTTGAGTCACCCTGTATATGGAAATCGAAAAACTTTTAATGGAATGATAAATCACAAGAAGAGACTCACCATATTTTGTACATTTTAGATACAATTTATTCAGCAAAATTTTGTGGTGACGTCATAATTTTTTTTAGGGGGGACGACTAAGTACATTTTGATCAAAAATTTACCATGCTTATGAGAATTTTAAAACATTTTTAATATTTCAAAGCATTCGGTTTTGTAGTTGCTGAGTACATCAGTAAAATACATTTACGCAATCATTAATTTTTTTGAGTCACCCTGTATATGCAAATCCAAAAAATATGAATGTACTGATATATCACAAGTACAGACTCATCATATTTTGTATATTTTAGATAGGATTTATTCGGCAAACTTTTGAGCTGACGTCATCAAGTTCTGGAGGGGATAACCAAACATATTTTGACTAAAGATTTATGATGCTCTTTATAGCCTTAAAACATCTACAACATTTCAAAACATTCGGGTTAGCAGATTCAAAATTAAATTGCAAAATGTTGTTTCATAATTTTGATTTTTTTTCCAAAAATCTCGACATTTCGGGTAAAAAATCAATTCGGAGTCGTAAACTACATGTGTAGGACTATGTTATTTTATACAATTTAAAACCCATTTACTATGTACAATTTTGAAATTACATCATCACATTATTGATGGGGATGATTACACAAATTTTGATTAGCGTTTTACCATCTACATGATATTCCTAATACAAGTACAAAATTTGACAACAATCGGCCCAGTACTTTCGAAGATTATCTGTCTAATAAAAATCCGGGACGGCAGACAGACGGACAGACGGACAGACAGACGGAAATGGCAGACCTATTTCTTCGTTTTCTAGGGGTCCTGAAAGATCGAGAAAACGTAAAAGTAGAGAGTCAACCGACGGACTCGATTACAATACTTCCTTTGCTTACGCTCGGGAAGTAATAAATTACAAAATGTTGTTTTATAGTTTTGATTTTTTTTTACAAAAATCTGTACGTTTCGGGTAAAAACTCAAAACGAATTCATAAACTACATGTGTAGGACTATGTTCTTTTATACAATTTAAAACCCATTTATTGTGTATAATTTTGAAATTACGTCATCACATTATTGATGGGGATGATTACACAAATTTTGGTTAGCGTTTTACCATCTACATGATATTCCTAATATAAATACAAAATTTGACAACAATCGGCCCAGTACTTTCGAAGATTATCTGTCTAATAAAAGTCCGGGACGCCAGACAGACAGACAAACGGACAGACAGACGGACAGGCAGACGGAAACGGGAGACCTATTTCTTCGTACTGTAGGGGTCATAAAAGGTCGAGAAAACATAAAAACAGAGAGTCGGCCGACGGACTCGATTACAATACTTCCTTCGCTTATGCTCGGGAAATGAAAAGGCAAAATATAAGCCCCACCCAACCGCCCTATCTCAATTGTAATGAATTTTTCATTCGTTGTCAGACCGAGGGGTGGAGCCTAATTGCTAAATCGATACTTTCCCACAAAAACAAAAATTTACCATTTTAGACGTGTTTTACCTTTCTTGTTGTGAAAAGAAGACTACACTACACATATTAAGGGAAAAGGGCAAAATGTAAGCCCTTGTGGTTATAATACCTAACATGTTTTGAAGACGAATAGCAATAAATCTTGTTGATTTAAATGTCGAGAAATATCTTTAACAATGCATAAGTACTGACACAAAGCTAGAGTGTAGAAAATGATGGCAGTATGAGGGTTTCGGTGAACAAGTGATTAAATGGTTTAAACATTAGTGGACCTCATTATCTCCATCAAAATTTGATTTTCGTGGAATTAGTGCTGTCAATCAAAAAAATGTCCCCCCTAATTCAGGGGATTTTCCTTCAAGTTGGCAGCGCTGCTCATTAACGCAATGTGATTGGTTGAAAACCCTATGTCAACGGCAACATAACGGCAAAAGTTAAAAGTTGGTCATTTCGAACGTCACCCCAACGGCCTGTCAACTTTCAACGGCAACGTCAACGGATGGTATAAACGACGCATACCTTCGCGGCGTATTTATCTTACAACGGCAACGTCAACGGCGAAGAGCAACGTCAGCGACAAGTTTATAAATCATCCTTAATACTTTACTATTTAACAAAATCTGTAGTCCGAATTTTTAAATTCCCGCCTTTTTCAGTAACCACCAATTTTTAAAACATTTTCACTCCCATGTGTTAAAATATTCACACAATTAAAATGGGACAGTTATTCCAAAGAAAAGTTTTATAAGAAAAAAATGTAGAACTCAAAAAATGATTTTGTGCATTTTTCATATAAGAATAACCTGTTTTTTTGTAAATTGATTTAAACGCTAAAGTCGTGTCGCACTAGCACGACGCGACGCCCAGCGCGCATTGCTCATGTGTAAACACCTTTAGGCAAATACCAACCCAGAAATACCAAGGCCGAGGTGTCAAAGTTGAACGTGATGCATGTCTGTGACTTCAACTCTAAATAAAAGTATTACTCAGTACAAATAGTGAAAATGAGCAAGACATCAGACTTCGAAATCGCTCCGTTGCGGTCCCTGGACGACTTCCTCCTCGAATCAGCACGTTTTCAAATCCCCAACGTAAATGACTTGGAAAAATGGGGCAAACGCGTTTCCAGCAACCTACTGTATTACCAGAGCAACTATTTCTTAATGTCGCTCATAATCTTTGTCATAGTCGGGTAAGCACACATATTTTTAACACAAGACTTGTATAAAAACGCCTATTTTAGTGTCATCCACCCGACAAAGATGGCCTGTGGCTTCCTCGTAACAGCAATCATATTCATGGTATTTTCTTACATCACCAACGAACGCTTCGCGGCTGCTCAATTTAAGAAAAAACACCCCATTATATCGCTATTGCTCATCCTGTCCGGGTGCTACTTCGTGGCGTACATGCTGAAGTCGCTCCTGGTATTCATGTTCGGGATTTTGCTCCCGATCTCGGCGACGTTCATCCACGCGTCGCTCAGGCTCAGAAACATCAAGAACAAAATTGTCAACCGGGTCGAAAATTTGGGGCTGAAGAGAACCCCAATGGGGATTTTTCTTGAAGAACTGGGGCTGGACCAAGAAGGATTCTAACTACCGCTGTAAAGGTTCTGATTTTTTGCATAAGCTTTTGCGCAAACTGAAATTATTCGTGAATAAAATTACCAAGAAAACTGAGAAGGCACCAAAGTGATTATCTTCGCTCCTTGCCCTAGTCTATTTTTTTAATCATATATGCATGCTTTATATTAACCATAGATACATATAGCATTGTTATTCAAAGTTTTGCTAGAATTGGTGCGATTTTGTGCTACAGCGTATATATATATGCTGCTCCCCGTCCCCATGTACACCCACAGGTTACCGTGATAAAACTGAATTATTGTTACATGGTTTGCTTTTTTTGTTCGTGAGCTATACAATTTGAAAATTTTGATGTCTCCCTCTCACTCTATGCATGCGTGCGCACACCCCTGGTCTCTAAAAAAATCGCATGAAGATAATTCTACCAAAATTTTAAATCTCTTCAACGAGAAACTTTAAGTAACAACTGTTCAAACCGCACTTGAAAATCGTTGCTCTTGAAGTTTCCACAAGCACAGAAGAGTGCATTATAAAGTATAACCTAAATACGAAGTATTAAACCTCGACTATTATTTTGTATGTGTTTTATACAAGTGTATACTTGTTCATATAATTTTGTGATATTTTCCCGTTTTGTGTAAAATTGTTTTTATTGCAAATAAAATGTATATACTTAGTAGACGTTGTTTTACAAAAATAGAAATAATTTATTTGTCAACTGGATACAATACGCTGGTACAAAATAAGTCAACTAACTAACTCTTAACATTTGGTAACTGAACAACTTTTCTCTTGACTAGAAGCCCTTCATATAAAAATAGGTATATGTATGTGCACTACAAATTGTCCGGTTTGATACCGCTCTTCTCTAATTCCGCAACATGGTCATCGTATTTTTGAATATATTTCTTCACTACATTGTAATAATGGTGAGTATTATAATTCCTGATAAAAGACTTAATGTGTTCGACGAGATTTATTTCACAAACTGGATGGTTTTTGACTAGCACGTCATCGTTCGTCCCTTCTTCGGTATCCTGGTATTTCTGATCTCCCTAAAACACAATGTGTAGACCGTTTACCCGTACATGCTCGAAACTGGGCTTACGTCAACTTCACTTAGAAATATTTTGATTAGGCACAAGTACAGTTTCTCCAGTCCGGTACACTCTCCATAGTATGGTCCTTCCAAGGTAATTTGGCAGTCATTAATCCTGTCGTCTTTTTGCGACAGCGAATACTCAATCATCTTACAAATCGCCAACGTTCTAACAACAAAAACCCAACACTCATGACACATCAGTGGTAAATAATACTTACATAATGCTTTTTTCGAATTTTTCGCATAATAACATACTGACTTTCCACTTGTTCAAAAAATACGATAACGCGCTCCGTCCATCAGGTCCGGGAATCCCCGACAGGAAATTTATGATGCTTTCAGTCTGCCAAGTGAACATGTACGCGAAAATGAAACAGTAACTCTTCACGAGCTCTCTCCGTTCGGTACGTTGTAAGGCACTTAAGAGTGCCTTAAGTATAGCTTCGATACAAGGCTGTATATGTTCAGGTAAAGTCAAAATACTAATCACACATAACCGTCCGAATTTTGACGGACAAACAGCTTCTTGCGGATGAGGTTCCAACAGCTTAAACAGCACATCAGGTACGTATTCGGCCAAAACTTTGCCCTTCATATCCCGAAGTGTTTTTATTTGGTACGAAGCTTTCATCAAAATATTGCTAATGAATATTGTAGCCACTTCCATTAAACTACTATCAATGAAATCTAAAATGCAACTACACGCTGCTAGAAATCCTTGAAGGACTACATTATTGTCGATAGTTTCCGGGTAAAATTTCACAACAGTATTTAGTAAGTCAAAGCCTCGCTCAGGAACATCTACTTTTAGATTTAGGGGGCTGGGGCAATTCTTGTAGATCAGTTTTATAGTGAACGGGATGAAATTGTTTTGTACTATGTCTTTACAAGACGAAATTACCACGATCTTACTCAGAAGGAATTTCACTTGTTTCATCACGTTAGCGTTGGAAATGTGAGCCAAAAGAGAATCAAGCACCACTTGCATGATGCGTTGGGAATTGCGGCCAGCACTTTCTGGTGAAAACTGCAACCAATTTCATTACACATACACACGTTACGAAAATTATTAACCAACCTCAAAAAAATACGCCATCGCTTCCAAACATAACACAGACATAGAAGGCGAAAATACTGATATACTAAATAAACACTCACTTATTTCTGTTACTACATTAGAAAATACTATTCTGTTGGGGTTTACTTTTATATTAGACAGATGAGTCCGCATTGCACTGAATGTAAAAGAATGTCATGAGACTTACAATGAATCGTAGGAACTTACTCAAGGCATGCTATCCGTAGTGAATTATTTTGAGAATTGTAGTTAGCCAGAATAGAATTAAGGTGATTGCTTAAAGTAACTGGCGCTAAGGAAGTACTGAATTTGCTGCCCAGCCACAACAGTCGCCCTAAAACTAGCCAGTGCGGCTGCTGATCTACTAACATGGAAGACCAATGTTCAATATAATATAGAAAATTTGATTGTGGTTCTTCAAAAACGAAACTCAAAAGACCTACTCCAAACATTAGAGCTTCTAAAATTCGATAATAGTAAGTTTCAGAGTTAGCGCGTGCAAGGTTGGCTTCAGATATGTGTTTTTGCAAGACATGGTGAAATGAGGCGCAGAACTTGCCATAATTACACCTGTCCATGAACACCTAAAAATATACATGTGTATTAAAAAATCAGTGGTAGTATAGTTTTGCGTTACCAATAGAGTGTGACTGCAGCGCCCTCTCAAACTATAATCTATCTCTGGACTTACGTCCATGCTATCTTCTGTAAAAAGCGTGTCTTCTAGATTATTATAAGCACACATTAATATAAACAGAAGATACATGAAATCGTTCAAACCGTCCGTCAAAAGCGACGAATAGTTCGGCAAAACAAAAATATTATTGATTAAGATAAGTATATTCATGATCAGCTGATTGAAGTTTTCGGGTTCGTTTTCGTTCGCATCTCTCGGTGTTTGCTTATGCCCCATTATAATCTCCTTAAATTCTATACAACAATTGAACATAATCTGTCCAATCGCCGGTAAACAACTAGTAACAAGTTCCAAAACCTGATCGGCTAACGACATCGCTGCATGCGATATTTCAATAATAATTTCGCCTCTTAATCTAAAATCATTTGAGCAACTATATGGCTCACTGAGCAACTTTTGAAAAACTTCGCTCAATCGGGCACTTGTGGGTGTGAAAAGTGGTGTTTTTCTACACGTTATGAGAATTTGGATCATACAGGAGACAGTATCCGAGCGGACATCTACCGGAATGTTCTGGAAAACGAAATAGAACACCTGGCGCCATCTACAAATTCTACAATTACTCACCTCATTATGAAGAACGTTCAGCAAAGGTTCTATGTACTCAGGGGAAAAGTACATATTTTCGGAACAGAACTGTCTGTGGTTGTCCCCTAAGCCTTTCATGAACTGAACAGCGCCTGTGACTTGAAGCAAAACGTCGCTTAATAAACACGCCATAATTTTATTATTAATCACTCCGAATAAGTTTGGGTATTCATAAACTACTGCCAGTTCGAGCGATGACACAATCATCTGCCTGATAACATCGTTGTCGTGCGACAATAACTCTACTAAAGACAAGCTTAGTTTTTGCTTCAAGTTGGGGCTCAAACCTAGGAAGGCTTTAGCTCCGTAGCTATCAGCTATATAGTTTTTTAGAAAGGTAGCTGCCATGAGCTTTTCTGCATAGGCCTCTTCTTTACTTTTAATAATCTCCAGGAGGATGAAGGGGTAATCTGGAATAATGCTATTAAAGGCCACAATATCTACTTCGTGCGCTGCGCAATTTTATTATTTGGTGCGGAACACCTGTTTTGCGAAATTGGGTCTTAGATTCGACCGAAACTTAAAACAGTGCATTTGTGGTGGTTTTTACTTTGAAAACAATTGATTTTGATGAACCCGCAAACTAGTAGGCGGCTGGTGTTACGTTATGAGGTTATGTACCTTCGGTCATCTCGAGGGCTTTTTTCCGTTCTTCTGTTAACCGTTGGATGTCGGAATGTGGTTGTAAAGCACAGCTGAGGATTTGTGTGATTGCATTTTTTAAAGCCGGTTTTTGACTCGACATCTACGACCAAAAGAAAATGAGTTATGGTTTAACCTATAAACTGAGTTAAATAGCGTGATCTACTTACCTCTCATAACACTAGTTCTTAAGTACGGTTGGTCAATTCCTATTGTTTCTTCTTTTATGTTTTAACTTGTTCTGAAGTGATTTGTTACACTTCACGAAAGATGAATTTTCAAAACAAACAATAACAAATACAGTGCTGCCACCATGCTGCCGCAGACATGTGAGACAGACAGAGGGAGATTAGGTTAAATTAACTTGGCGGGAAATTTAAAACGGCGCACAATTTTCAGGAACACAAAAATTAATTCCGATCGTTATTCCCATTAACTATGGTTAAAGTGTATTAAATCATTTGTTTGTACTATTCATAGGGAAAGTATATAAATATTCACTGTCATTTTTGCAACAATGTCAATTGTAATTATTTTTTATAAGTATTAAACGTACATAACTTTGACGCAGAACGGTGTTATCGCTATAAGTGGTCGTGCAGGTTCTATTTCTGTAATAAAAGTATTTACAGTGAGAAATCGTAAGTAAATTTAATATAAAGGACACTTATTTTGTGCACGTAAGGTGAAATTTTTAACGTAAACTTTTTATGTACTTACGTTAAAATAGTGACAGATATAGTACTATTATTTAATAATGCGCATAACGCTTATCTTAAGTTTACACTATTCGGCTGCTTTAGAAAGCTAAAAATATTCCACTGATTTCGTGATAATTTGAATTTTAAATTATTTAAGAGAAATATTTGCAATTAAAATCGGCATCGTTGACAAATCATGCTGTTCGTTAAACATGCCATAAATAATAAGAAAATTACTTTGAAAGTTTCCTAATTTGGTTAACCCCCCAATATATAAAAAACATTGTACACCGGCCTCTGATACATGTGTTTGGTATTTGCGTCATCCATGAACTCTTATCCATAATTACTATAAAAACAGCATTGTATTACCATTTAAAGTGATATCGACATTTTTATGAATAGCCGGAGATTTTTTTCAATTAATTCTCAGGCACTGACATTTATTCCAAAGCCACACTCATGTCAGTTTTATTTTAAATCATATTACAAATTTAATTATATGATCCAAGAGTTTTATTTAAACTTACATTGGTAAAAATTTGGACACACCAACTACGTTATACAGCGGTAAAGTTTTATATTTAAAACATGATCTACCTATCTCTCTCTTTCGCATACTAATAAACGATCGTTACAAAGTATAGTCATTTCTCTTTCGACTTAAATATGTTATTTCTTTATAACGGATGACCTACATAATGCTTAAATACATAAAAGTAAGTTAGCTTAAACGTTCATACAGATTTCTGGGAAACAAATTTTTTTGTTATCATTTCCTGCTCTAAAATCGTTGTTCTAGATTTTTTTTATTAATTTAAGTTTAAAAGTCAAACCGAAAAAGTAGACGTTATTCCGTGATAGTGTAGACAGCCACAACATTCTGAGTTACGTCGTCTGGAAATTCTGGAATGCTTGAATCAGATATCCAGTTGCTGTATATAAGGTTGCCTATACATAAATTTGTCCCATTCAATTTGTATAGTTGCAATTCTCATTTTAGCAAACCTCGACAATGTCGACCGATGCCCAGCTGAACTTTGACGAGATCGAGACTTACTTGCAACAATTTGACGGGGGCGACATCGTCCTTTCCAAAAAACACTTCAATAAAGGCCTTGCTATAATCTACTTTAACAACCCCGGCAAGAAAAATGCAATTAGCGGTAACTACCATTTTTCTCGCTACCATTTTTCACACTTTCCCGTAGGAAAAATGATGGTGCAACTCCGCCAGTGCATTCTCCAGCTCGAGCAATGGAAGGAAGGCAAAGCGGTCCTTCTATGCGGACTCGGCGGAAATTTCTGTTCCGGGGGAGACCTCCAGTTCGCGAAGGCTTCTGGTACCCAAACTGAAGCTCTACATATGAGCAGCTGGATGCAAGACACTCTAAACCGCTTACACAACCTACCAATGTTCAGCGTGTGTTTAATCCAAGGCCCTACGTTGGGAGGTGGGGCGGAAATCACCACGTTTTGCGATTTTATAGTAGCCTCTGACGATGTCAAATACGGCTTCGTGCAAGGAAAAATGGGAATTATTACCGCGTGGGGAGGATCTACGCGGTGAGTGGTCGTTGCGGCTCACGTGACTCCCGCCTACTTGAATTTTTGTAAATAAAGAGGTGTGCTTTCAGGCTTGTTCAAAAAATTGGACCAAAGAAGGCTCTGAATCTGTTACTGACGTCCCAGATTCTGACAGCTCAAGGCTGCGTCGAAAATGGCGTCGCGGATCATGTTGTTCCTGCTCAGGACGCCTTGACTAAGACGTTGGAGTGGATAGAGGTGCGACTACAACACCATCATCGGATTGTTCGTTCGTTTAAGAATGTTGTGAACACCGCGACGACAGACACGCTAGAGAATTCCTTGAATTACGAAAAAGCCTTATTTTCTCTAACTTGGGGTGGCGACCTTAACCGAGAGGCTTTAGCGAAGAATATTAAGCACGTGAATCCGAATAACTCAAAAATGTAGACACGTTGTAGTAGATTTGTTTTAGTAGTTTTCTTACCTCGGTGACTCGTGAAGTTATGTACGATGTGATAGATGTTTCCTGTAGAATAAAACACACAAGTCTTTAGATGTTTTATTAGCAGTATCAAAATCATTAGGATAATATACATTAAACGCTTATACTAGAATAGTCTTTGGAATACATTTTATTTTTGAAAAAATCGCTTAAGCAACTCTTTCACGTGGTTTTTTGGCGACGCGACGTCCTATATGCAGTAAGACTTGGCCTTGACGGATTTGCTTGAATACGTTAATAGCTTCTTGATGGGAAGCTCCATGAAGGGGTTTACTATTGACAGCCAGAATTTCATCACCTGAAAAACGATAAACTGCATTAAAACTCAAGGTCGTAACTTTCGAGTCTACGCCGGTGTATTGTCACCTTAACGAAGCTTCAAAGTGAATATTTAACCCGCTGATGCGCTTTTAATAAGGTAATTAGAAGCTACTTTAAATAATAAAACGGAGGTTCTGTGGGTGCTTATAATGCACATAAAAATTCCAAATCGTTACGTGCGGATCTCTACAATTATCATCAAGACACTGCATCAGTATTCGATTTAAACAAGCGATTGAATTTGCATAAATGTAAGATAAGTTATGCAAAATATGGGCACGAAAGGGAAAATTAACTTGTATTATTTTGGACGTTTTTCGCTTCTTGCTCAAAGGAAGGCGACGTGAAATCGAGGCCGCACGACTCGGGACGTTAATCGTAAATTTCAACCACACACCGCGTTCTGGTACTACTATTCCGAAATTAGGACATTCATAGGTACACTCATCATCGGCGATCCGATGAACAAAAACAATGGTCGTTACACTCATGTTAGTGTGTTAATTCGCGATCCGCTAGGCCAACACCGATTGTCACTTATTCTATTCATTTACAAATGGGGGCAAACGACGAAAAAACTATCAACATGCGAAAACTGTAAAAAATGTAGTACCAACCTTCTTTCAAAGTTCCGCTGTCTGCTGCCTGACCGTTAGGGAAAATAGTTTTCACGTAAATGCCCATGCTGCCCTTTGGAGAATCTCTTCCTCCTACGATACTGAAACCCAAAGCTTTATAGCCTTGCCCTTTTTGGAAAACGACCTGTCGAATGGTGAAAGTACTACCACCCCCGCGTGGTAAAGTGCAGAATTTGCTTTCTTCTTCTTCCTCGATTTCTTCTAGTTCTTCAATCCAGTCCTGATAGGAAATCGGTGATAATTACAAAAAGTTAAGTGCGAAAAGTAGTACTTTGGTTAATCATGTGGCTGTTTACTATTTACTCAAAGTATATATTTTTTTGCATGGGATTTGAATAGTGAGATTGTGTTTGTTTTGAGTGCGGACCTGAACGAAATTTTTTACTAAAGAAACTAGAAATCGGGCTTCGAACCCGACCCGCAAAGCGGGGTGTTTTAGGTCACGTGCGAGACGCCGACGTTCCTTTCGTGTCTTTACGTCTAGTTGCGTCTGTTGTGTAATGGAGCTATTAGATACGTACCTGTTTATGTTCGCTACTCATCCGTTCACATTCACCATTCTGGCTAACTTCCGGCCTTTGTTTAGTACTCATAAGTTCATAATGGCTTTTAGAGGTAACTACTTTGGAATTAAAATTTTTGTTGTCTGTTTCGCTTTTAACAGGTTTCGTTTGGTATTTATTCTTATTAGGCGAGTGCGATCTCGCTCTCTCGAAGTGCTTGTGGTTGAGTTTCGTCTTCGGAATTTTAATATTTACATTTTCTAGCTTAATTAAATTCTTCGCCTTGCTGTTATCTTGGTTATTTTTGTGTAAAATGCTCCCGACCACCGACCACCTCCGCGTTGTGGCGGTGTCGTCGAGGTCGTAGTCCGGGGGCGGCTCGTAGGGCAGCGAGTCGTACCCTTGCTCGCTGTCGTAGCCGTAGTCACGCGCGCTCACCACCGAGTTCACGCTGTTCCTCTGACGCGACCTCGCCCTCCTGCGGCTCTCCCCATCGATCAGGGGCAGCGAGGTGGAGCCGGCATCCGGAGAAACTGGCGAGGGCACGTAGAACGTGGGCTGCGGCTGCGGCGGCGGCGGCTGCTGCTCGTGAGTGGGACTGTGGAAGAACTCCTGCACCGACAAGGCCCTGCGCTTCCTCAGCCCCACGTGGATGCGACTCAGCTTCGCGCGCAGAACATCCTGCACGCTGCTTTTCTTCGCGCCGGGCAGCCGCAGCGACGAGGTGGCGTGTGGGGTGCTGACTAGAATTCGAGGACTAGGAGTATTCAGGAGGGAGTCCCGGGACGCCTCGGGGCTGCTCTGAGTGCTGATGCCCCGCAGGGAGGCGCAGCAGTTACGTAACCGCCTCCATTTCTGCGAGATGCTGCCGTTCAGATCTGCAACAACAAAAACAATACACAATAACAATAATAAAAATAACAATGTATTGACTGAGAGTACAGACGTACAAATACACAGGCAACAAAATAGGAGAAGTGACGAAAAAAGTGAGTATGAGCGGGGCAAGAGCGGGCCCTTGTGGGGCGTAATTGAGAAAACACACATAGGCGCACCTTTTTCTGCCTTGTTGGGAGCTGTGAATTGGTTGCACATTTTGACGTGGGTCACACTAGCTCGGCGACGACGGTAGTACTGATAGGTTTCATTAAGTCCGCAGAAGATGGTAGTCAACAACTACGTCATCTTTTGCGGTTAATTGCTTAATATCACCACCGCCTTATTAGACTGACGTTTCATAGTTTATAGCAGGGGAAATGGTGGTTTTTGCATGTGTACGCTGAGTATTGTACAGACATCAACGATGCGGATGTAATTAAAAAACAACGATAAAGCGGAATAATGCATTCATCATATAATAAACAAGAAAATAGTTCAACAACCGCAATTGAGATATGAATCGCTACCAAACATAGGAGTATGATTAGCTCGTAAATGAATAAAAAGCTCCGTAGGGTTAAGCCGTCTCGTGCTTTTAATTCAAACATAAAACAGATGTCACTCGGTCTGACATTTTCCTCTAATCTAATAAGATTAGATATATTTTACGGCGGCATTATTTCATTGTAGAAAGTGTCGTCGCGTCAGAAATAAAACTGTATTTTCCGTTCACAGACTTTTTAATAATTTTAATATAATAGTGCCTATTTTAGTTCACCATTCCAACACGAGTTTATCTCGTGCAAAACAATCACATCATCTTCTCAGGTGCATAAAATTATAGACAATTAAGTTTGCGAGGCTGTGACTCCTTCAACGATCTAATGATATGTAACAGAAACCTGATCTCGGGAGAGTTACACTTTTCGACTTGACTCGGGAGGCTGATTTAGAAATATCGTTCGTGAAATGTCACGTTCTGGGAAGACGCCCCTGCGAATACTAGGTTTCCAATCATTTTTTACGTCGACTTGCCACAAAAGTGCAGATTTAACTATGTCGAGGATAAAGTTAATATTTTGGACGGCTAGAAATTATGCAGATAACCACACATAATTGCCAAATTTGAAGCCCATGCTTTCGTTCTTCAATGCTTTCTTTATCTTTTACCTTGGGTAAAGTCGAACGCGGCCAATTATACATACAGAAGTTGATTTCTATTATTCTGTTGCAGTACTAATACTAATTTATCGACACGGCTGTCAATAATTATTACATTTCGATGGAAACGTGACGTCGATTGTACAGTTATTGGCGATTAATTGGTAGCACGTTGGTCGCGAAAAAATGCCTATACTCGACACAATACATGTAGGTATGGCTTTGTTAGATGCTGACAAAATATGTAAATGAGTTATTTATAATTTATACAGTTACAGAAACGTATACAGCGCTGCAAAACAATATAAACCCACTCCTACAATTTTACCAGAAAGGATAAGGTCAGTCTGTGTCAATGCAATGTTGTTATTATGTTTATGATTTTTTTATTATTGCATTTTAACACGGTACAGTATAATAAATAACTTTTGTTATCTTTATACACACGAGTGTACTTACGATGTCCGTAAATCAAGTCGGCGTTGCAAAATTTTGAAAGCGCACGTCGGTTGTCAAATCAGACTAAAAAACTTGTCAATCACTCACCAAAATCGGGGAAATCATTGAAAATCGCTTTGGAGCACATAAATAACACCACATTCGCGTTGCTGACTATTTGTCGAAATACGCAGGAAGACTCACGGATACGCCTGTTGAGCGTGAACAGTAACTCAGGACCGTACTAAGACAATTGTAGTCGCATACGACCGACACTCAATTAAAATACTTATCAGCTTTGAAAAAAAAAACACACTAAAATGTTGAGTTTTAAATGACACTAATAGAAGTCCATTAGTGTGCCGACGTGCTAAAAAACATTTTTGCAACTGTTATAGGAGTTACGGAACTTGAAAAACCTTGAAGAAAGGAAATGGATCTGTCACTGACCCTACACATTACAGTGGCGCAAATAGAGAAATAAACACGATCAAACTGGTTTGGATGATCCTTAACTGATCATTGATCACGGGCCAAAGTTGATTTTCGAACAGTGTTAAATCTACAAAGACAAGTAGAGACTTCCCGTATAATTAGGAATCCAGTTTAGGAATTCATTACTCATCATCGTGTAAATAAAAATTAGAGTTCTTACGTAAGTACACAAAAACTGGTCACAAATTGGTCAAAATTTTGTAAACAGACATCTGTTTACAATTTAGACATCGGATAGCATCTGAAAGTTGATACGTCGTGACACCGAATATGATTAATTAACTTATGAATGGTGCAACGACAAGTTCATTAGATTTTTTTGCGATTTTTGAGGCACTCATGGTCACTCGACCCCCCACATAAACACTTATGGGCATACACAGGAAGCAAGGTGAGCGGTCAGACGCTCGGATAAATTATTATTCGATTCGAAAAAATGATTAAGGCGGAACATGCGGGCGGAGGAATCAATTATCAAACAGAAGAAACTGATTAGGGACTTTTATGACAGTTGGCACTACCGCACGCTATTTAAATTCCACACACATTTTATAACAAATAACAGCAGAAGAAGAAATAAAGTTATCAAGCAGAATTTACGACATTACCAAATTTGGAATGACATGTTTTGATTCTTCTGCTGATATGGCGACGATGTTGAGGACATTACAACATAAATATGACGACGGCGAGGTGTTATTTTTAATGAATATGTAATAATTTTCGCTTATCATCGACATTAAAATCCCAGATCCGAATCAAAGTTTTAATCTTGTTGACACGGAAAATACTGAATGTATCGAAGTTCCGGCGCCATATTTTTTAACCCAGTAATACATTATGGTGACGTCATAACCGGCTGCTTAATTAACTCACAAAGAATTTCCCATATAGTCACCGACTGAAAAGGTAGAAGAATGCCAAAGATTTATTTCAATGTTAACAAATTGGTGTAATATATAACCGTGTAACAAGTGCGAATAAGATTACGCGGACAAAACAATAGCAGCCCACAACAATGAAGACCGGTTCACACAATAACGCAGGATCTATTAATGACATTAATTGTCTACGCCATTGTAGGGTTCGACGGGAAAAACAAAACTGAAGAACATTGTTTAAAATGACCACGGTGTAACTTCCGCGTCGTACTTCCGGAGAGGTAAAAACGATGGCTTCCGAAAACTGCAGCCAATACTGATAAGCTCCCAGATAACGGCGGCATTGACTGCACATTCGTGACAAAAGGGGAATACTGAGGATTCCCTCAAACCGGAACGACAAGTGCGCAGTTTACCTCGCCGACACAAAACAATATCGCATCCGTCCGAGTCTTGAATTTCTCGCATTCGAAAGCACGTATGAAGAAAATCATTTGGTCCCAGGAGGACCGATTTCCGCCGCATAAAGTAAATTGGTTCTAAAATGTGTGTCGAAATTAGTCCGGTGCGATGAAGTTATCGCTACGTGATCCCCCCGAGTCCGAATTTGAAACGCATTAGGGATGGGCAGATTCGGTCATCACTACGAACGGATCGTTCATCGTTCGGTCCCTACGAAGACCCGGTCGTCAAATGTCGTTCATTTCGTTCATTTCGTTCATTTCGTTCATTTCGTTCACTTCGTTCACCGTTCACTTCGTTCTTAATCATTCAAGGCTCAGGGATCTATTGATGAATCATTCGGTCTTTCGGCTCTTCGGTCAATGGTCTTAGTTTCCCTTTTGCTTGAATCCGATCACTTTATAGGGAAGGTCATGCTCAGAATTATCGCATAGGCATTCGAAAAAAAAACCCCGGCCCATTGCTGTCTTTTTTTTTCGAATACTGCATTGTGTGATACGTCAAATTAAATCGTTTGAAATATACTATGATCTGATTCGAAAAATTAATGATTTAACGTCTATTTGGTTTTGTCTACATTTAATTTTTTTTAATACCTCTCATTTTTTTAGAGATTCATGTAACGATTTTTTTCTGAATTCTGTGATGTAAAAATAATAATTTAATATTTAAAAAAAGTAACTTGAATTTGTGGACGCAAATATTTGTGTTAATAAATACATCAATAGCACTTTTCACACAAAAATTAAATTCGTTGTTATCACAGCTTCCAAGCAACTTTTGGGTAAAAAAAATAATTTATTGGATCTTTCGAATCATTCGGTCGTCGCCCTTACGATGAACAATGTAGGAGCAGATTTGTTTTTTTTGTTTTATACCTTTTCCTTACGTTCTAATGTGATGAAGCCGTGAATAGTCACGTTCATTGACTATATTATACATTGTACCTTTTTACGTGGCCATAGGGATTTTTTTTATTAATGATCATTACAATAGTAATAATAATTCTTTATTTACATTTATTTTTTTAGTTTCTAATGTTCAGACGTTTATGAACATTGTATATTAGTTATCGTCATAAATTGTCATTTTCGTTCCCGGTTTCTAATTTAAATTCATACTACTGGAATTAATCTGTCGGGAAAATTTATGTTCTTAGTTAATTCCATAAATAGCATAGCATGTGCTCCTAGTATTGGATACAGAACATAGAACTGTGCTGGAGCCATGATTCAAAGATCCAACGGAACCAAGATCCAGTCGAGACAATGTGAACGGTGAACGAGTGAACGAGTGAACGAAATGAACGAAAGAACGACTAGTTTGCGTTGGGAACGATTTCGGTCACTCGTTCATTCGAACGACCCGTTCAATTTGATTCGTTCGTTCGCGAACGACACATCTCTAAAACGCATGTAGGTTTCGTCTTGGTGGAGCAGCCCTGACCCCAAGACGAGAAACTTCCCGTTTGGGTCTGAGTGATCGATTTTTGCAAAAAAATGTGTGGGAAGTTCCATTAGCGATTAAAGGTTGGTTCGTTTTTAAAGTAATAATTTGCGAAATTGGCAACCCTGAAAGTGACGGAGACGCACCAGACCTTGAAAATAGAAGCGGTGTTGTGTGGCAGAAATGTAGGAAAGTTGCTGATTTGCCCATTTGCCGCCTCTTCTTCGAATGACATTAAGAGAAACCAGTGCGTAATTACGAAGCTAATTTATATATTACACCTTAATATTTTAATTAACCATTTTCAATGGGTAGTGAGTCATAAATTGTAATATTAGTCACTCAACTATTTAAGCTTTTATTGATACATTGCAGCTATAATGAATTCAACTTCGTTACAAATTATGTAATAAAAGGTTTATAGAGGTGATGTTCACATCGTTTTGAGCGGCCATATTTTAAGAAATAAACCTCGAAAATTAGATCCTTAATAACGCTTAGCTGCCTCGTCATCCAGCGCCGGTAGGTGACAGTTTTATCGGATGATAGAGCTGCCTCCGGCCAATTGGCTTTTAGGAAATGGAGAGCTATTTTTACAAACACGACCCACAAACTCAACCGAACTTAACAAAAAATTCGGGAAATGGAAAATCGCACACAGCGCTTGTGGGCTAACGAACGCAAGACCATAATTCCACAAAAAGTGATTTCCGCAATTAAATGAACACCACTCACACGCGTGCTTACAACCTATCACACAAAATTTACTCACGGGGAAGGGTGTTGGCACATTTTTACATCCGCCCGAGTCCAGAGAAACCAGTACTGTTTATGGTTTCGTTTCTTTGAAAACTTCGATGATTAATTGGCGATGCTCAAAAACGGCGCCATTTCGAATGAGTAAGTGAATAAAAGTCGCGAATACTTGAAATTGTGATCACCATCTGATACGGATGCCTGACCAGTGTCGTTAATAATATGGAGAACATTCCTGCGGTTAATCACAAGTGCTGATTACCTGGAAACATCAACCCGAAGGAGAATTTACGATTTGGAGTAATAAAAGTTAATTTGCGCACCGGAAAAAAGACAAGTTAATTAAAAATTTGGCAGTTTCTTTCTAGGAAGCGGATGCTCGCACAGAAGTAGGAAAATTGCTGAGAGTGCGGATCTTCCAAATTAAAAGTTCGTAAGTAAGTGGATCCATAAAGCATGATTTGATTGGTATTGAATTGGGTTCAGAGACAGTAACGATCTTTTAATTGGCAGTTTTAAATTTTATGATGACAGTAGCGCTGGCGAACGAGCTTATTCAGCTAGACGTCGAACGGTTCCAAAAATTCATAAAATTGCTAAATTATGTCACGACGTGCGGGAACTGATGCGGAACGTGTGATAATCGAGATTGGGTAATAAATACTACGGGGTTCCTGAGGCGAAGTGCACCTGAGATATATTCCGGACGAATATTGGACAAATCTAAGTACAAAATCCTGTTGACGCAGCCTTGGCGATCAATGGTTTCATGACAAGAGACATTTATAATAATTTCAGTTGTTGGCGATAGCATTTCTCATCAGGGATGTTTCTGTGACGTCAAGCCGAACATGTGGCAGCAATTCCAACGGACGCATTTGTTTGCAGAAAAAGAAATGATGATAAATACCGACAAAAAATATTACACCTAATAAAAAAACTTCGGGCTCTAGAAACGTGACTAGATGCCAAATGTAACAAAGCTGTTAAGGATTTTCGTCCTAGACGGCACATTTATCTCGTTTATTGATCAAAGACAAAAGTAATTTTAGAAGACATTTTGGAAATCGAATTGTCTTCGTCTAATTGAGTTGTTCAAGTGATGACTGTGGCTAGTTTTGGAATAAAGGCTCGATTGCACGGTCAACGCGAACTGCAAGTACGTGTAACCTGCTCTTTACATTTACCCAACAATTAATAATTGACAGAATCGCCAGATAACACAGCTCTTATTTGACATTTAGGCGTCTGTTGAGTAATAACAGCGCCACTTCACCAATATTAAGTGCAAATATTACGTAGCGCATTGCAAATCGTGTTATTAATCGAAATTAGATTGAATGTTTATCGCGAGCATCGCCTCACTGACATTTAAGCAACATCAATTAAAACTAATTGCAAATTAATTATGGATGGTAAAAAAGGCACCTGGGAGGAGTGCAAATAGGCATGGCATAATTAGACTTGATTAGCATAGCATAATTCACACTTATTTACCTCGCAATAATTTACACAATCGTGGAATATTTAGAAACCAGTTACATCATGTGCGGCCGTATATAAGCGATTTTTGCTGAGGGTGTACTTTTTAAGAATAGCGAATGATGACACAACGTATACCGGAAACTCGGTCTCCTTGATTCACTTACTTCCCATTTAAGCCACCGGTTTATTTAACTTATTGCGAAGAGCCGCCCACTTTGAGAAATATTTCAATAAATAAACAGTTTTGTTTATGGCAGGCAGTACCGACCTCTTTAGCTCCCGTAACTCTCTGCGTTGCGAAAGCCCATTTCTTTCAACTAAAGCGGCTCGTAGGACCATAAAAAGCGCATAAATAGCTTCACCGTCAAAAGAGCCCTCATCGCCATTTTATTATGACAGTAGAATGACAGATTGTGTTATTTAGGCTTCGACAATAGGCTGTTTTTGAAACGGCCTTGGAGAAGATATCACTTTTCGTTACAGCAGCAATTAACTCACGAACAAGAGGATTTCTCGAAATAACTTGTTTACACGCTCTTGTCATCTTCAGCTTCAATCATTTTATTGACACAGTCATTTCCATACTTCGACTTGATAAATATTAAATTTGGGTAATAGAGGGTGACGGGAATGCGCTGAGATGATGTAAATAGCCAACAAAGAAATCCATAAATAGATTCACTGATGCATCTGCATTTTAAGACTATCAAGTAATGTAGACCAGGGGTGGACTTGACTAATTTTAAACTGCAAACGGTGCCAGAGATATTATCATCATATCTTCCGCGAAAACGACAAAAAAATTGCCATATTGGAAGCTCCAACAACTTGTGCTTTTGCCAGTGATGAGATTAGTCAATATCCAAGTTTGGTTTCACTGTTTACATAAATCATTTTATTCTACTAAGCTAAATGGGGTATACACTATACACTGTGAAACGGTTGATTCGACTATTTTGAATTTCTCGCGTTAATTAAAGCTTTTGTACTTTGACACAAAGCACACAACGTTCTTTTGTGGGGTTGTGTGACTTAAGTTCACTGAATTATCTTTATGGTGATCTCAAGACAAAGATAATAAAAAAAATAAAGAGAGCGTGAGGGGCTTCATGCAGAATTTGATTTAATCAAAAACGAAACAAGAGTGATTCTTCGGGTTCCTATATGTGTTTTTAACAAAAATTGAGTAACAATTAGACTTGAGCACAAAGTTGAAGATCTAGAAGCCGAAGACCATACAACAAAAAAAGGGACTGAGAGAGGCTACATGAAGAACTTAGTTTAAATCAAAACCCCACGAAAAGTGTTCAAAAGAGCAAGCAACTTTCTTCGGATTTCTGTACAAACGTTTTTTGAAAATCTTACCTAGGTCTTTAGATTTGGACCAACAAACTTTGGATTTGAAGACACAACTGCACGTCATTGAACAGGAACTAAACATCTTAAGGAACAAAATCCAGACTCTTGAGACCGATGATAAGCGAAAAGAAGAAACTCCAGCTCCTTCGCGATACCAAGAATCTAAAGTCTGACAAATCTATGGACAAATACATCGACCAGATTGCTTCGTTAGAGGTGGAAATCGGAGAAAAAAATAACGAAATTAAAAAACTTGAGGAAAAATTAGAAAACGCGGCCAAAAATGAGGGGCTACAGAGTTTGAAAGTAAGAATGGTCTATTGTATTTTGATAAATTTTTAACGAAATTTACTAGGATGGCAAATATAAACGGTTTGTTGACAGAACACCTAAAAACATATCGCACTTAACCTCCAAAGACCAACTAAAAACGATGGTGAACGATTTCGAAAGTGAACTAGGTAAAAATTGTAGTATAGGTTTCGTTTAATAGAAAATCAAAATTTCGGGAAAAATGATTGTAACTATAAAAACTCGCGAGATCGAGCAAATTAAATTGGAGGAAGAAATGAAGACCTTATTTCGCCAGAGTAAAATTAACAACGCCATGAAAGAACTAGATGAGATGAATAAGAAATTCCAAGAAATGAAGACTGAACTAACGGGAGAAAGAGAGAAGCTTAATCAAGAAAAGGTGAAATACGACGAACTAAGTAAATCCTACACGAAAACTAAAGAAACTTTAACAAAATCAACCCAACAGAAAAAGAAACTCAAAGACCAAATCGAAAAATCGTGAGAAGAGCAAAAGAAGATTAAAGAAGAAAAAGATCACTTAGATGAAGAAATCACTAAGTTGAAAACTCAACTAAGTAGATAAGTGTATGGCAAAAATTGACTTAATAATGTTCTATTTTTAGAAACTGCAACCTATAAACAGGACGAATTATCCTTGCAGAGTCAAAAAACAGAAGCATTAAAACTGGATCTAGAGAATAAAAAGAAAGAATTTAAAACCTTAAAGAAAGAACCGGATAGTAAAACCAAGTTCATAGATGAGGTCCGTCTGCTTATAAGTAAAAAACAAATAATTCACACTGAATTCTTTTAGTTAAATGAAAAATCAAACAAAGTTGCTGCGTTAGAAAAGACGATCAACGACATCGAAGAAAAGTTGAAGAAAGCAGAAAAACAAGGAAAGGATAAAATTAAAGAACTTGAAGCTAAAGTAACCACCAAAACATGTTTTTAACCTGTAACATAACACAATATTTCAGATTGTAGAAGAAAAAAGTCGAAGCAAATCCAAAGAAGGAAAACAATCAACATTAACAACTAAGGAAACGAAGAAAAGAAAAAATATAATACACAAACTGATGAACTCAACAATAAAACCCAACTACAATCGAAAGCAAGAAAAAACTTATAGAGCGCTTAGTAATCTCAAATTCGAATTCATAATCTCACGTAAAAATATATTTGCAGGAAGAAAATTTGAAACAAGAAAGAGAGTCTAAGTTTCTAAAGCTAATCCAAAAGTGGTAGAACTAGAAGTAAAGAAATCAGTAAACTGAAAGACGAACTTAGCAAAAGCAAAGCTAATTTGGCTGACATTGAATCTAAACTAGAATCGTCACAGCAAAATCAGAAAACCTTACAAAATGCAGCAAAATTTATTCTTTATCCCCTCTCAAAAAACTATTGACATCATCTCAAAATTTTGCCGAACAAATCCTATCCACAATGTGCCAAAATAAGTTTTACCTTAGCAACTACTAGCTCCGCGCATCCGCTCTTTATTTTCTCAGAGGGCATGGCATTTGCCAAAATCAGTCTTATCTGAGCAAGTACTAGCCCCGCCCACCCACCCGCTATATTCTCTGAGGATATGGCATTTGCCAAAATCAGTCTTATCTGAGCAAGTACTAGCTCCGCCCACCCGCCCCTGTTTTCTCAGGGGATATGTCATTTGCCAAAATAAGACTTACCTTATGAATGCAATGATAAATCACAAGTAAAAACCCATCATGTTTTACACATTTCCGGTAGATTTAGGAATTTAACTCGTTACAATGGAAATTTGCAATTAAAGACCTTTAAATTTCACAAGTTTTTACAAGATTAATAGGGGCAAAATCAGTTTTATCTTAGCAAGTACTAACCCCACCCACCCACCCACCTCCTAGTTTCTCCGAGGATATGTCATTTGCCAAAATCAGTCTTATCCGAGCAAGTACTAGCCCTGCCCACCCGCCTTTCATTTCCTCAGAGGGTAGTACATGCTAGTACTTGCTAAGGTAAGTCTCATTTTGGCAAATGACATTCTCTGAAAAAACAGAGGGCGGGTGGGTGGGGCTAGTACTTGCTCAGATAAGACTGATTTTGGCAAATGACATATCCTGTGAGAAAACAGGAGGCGGGTGGGTGGGACTAGTACTAGGTAAGATAAGACTGGTTTTGGCAAATGGCATATCCTCTAATAAAGTAAAGGGTGGGTGAGCAGGGCTTGTACTTCGTAAAATACCACTGATTTTGGCAAATGACATATCCCCTGAGAAAATAAGGGGCGGGTGGGCGGTCCTAGTACTTGTTAAGATAAAACTGATTTTGCCCCTATTAATCTTGTAAAAACTTGTGAAATTTAAAGATGTTAAATCGCAAATTTCCATCGTAACGAGTTAAATTCCTAAATCCACTCGAAATGTGCAAAACACGATGAGTTTTTACTTATGATTTATCATTGCATTCATATTTTTTAGACTTGCTTAAACAAATTGGGGGAATACAACACTATTATTTTTGGTATTATAGTATACCAATCCAAGGTGTCCTTGCAAAAATCCAGTTAGGCGGACATAAACTAGAAGACAAATTGAAGAAAGCACAAACGGACTCAAGTTAAATCTTGAGAAGAAAGCAGGGGAACTACAAATTAAGCTACAGGCACGGCCATATATAACAGGTCTGCGAACTCCGAGTTTAAAATGGTCTTTTTTCAAAGAGATCCCAGAAGGCCACGGGAGCTTAAAGTTCCTAGCGCCGTCTACTGGATACTATGATGAAACTGTCCACAATTATGAATGAAATTTGCGTAAAAATGTCCTTGAATGCAAGTTGTCACAAATGTCAGTTTTATAGGTTAGGTTTTGTGACATCTTTTTGAAAGATGAAGGGAAATATACGTCAAATGTCATGTCAAACGTCAGTCGATAGTGCAAATAGTACAATTAACTACCACATGGTGGCGGTCATCTTAAGCTCCCACAACCTACTACGATACCAGTTTTTAAGCGCCCGTTTTATGAAAATTTATGAATGGAGTTGAAACACCTTACTTATACCACCGTGGCTACAGGTACTAACACCTTTAGCACGTAAACACTTCAAACGAAAAATTTCAAAGCGACAAGAAAAAATCGAAGTAAAAAACTGGAACTGAATGTTGAAGTTGCAACAAAACGACTAGTCGAAATAAAGCAATTCCAAGAAACCGTCGTCAGTAATAAGTCGAACGTTTTAATCATACTTTTACTAATTACAGTTTCTGGAATTCGAACATAACCTCAAAACGAAGTAATAAAAATGTAAAGATTTAACCGCAAAACACGAAATACTGGAAGATGAACCGTAGTTACGAAACTAGAATACCAAAGAAAAAAGATCAATAAAGTGGCAGACAAAAAAACGCAAAGATGACGATAAGAAACCGAAATTATCAAATATTAATTTAAATAATAATATTAATCTTGAAAATAAAACGTCGACCGCAACAATAATCGTACAACAGTCTTGACCGGGGCGGATGTACGTTCATTTTTATGAAAGAGCATACTTTCGATATCAACGGGTTCAGTGCTACTGCTTATCCAAGTGTCTTTTCTCTCCGAGAACATTGTAATTATATTTGTAACGACCTTGACTCGGGCGGATGTATTTTAATTTCATTGCGGAGCAGTATTTTCGATATCGGCGGCCTGTCCCCTGTCCCCGACTGTTTACTCAAATAATTTTATTTCTCCCCTCTGCGTTCCGCTATCACCGTTATCATGTTTACACCGATTTGTTCGTCACCGAGAGCATGCAGAGGCATTTATTTATCTTCTCTGCATGCAAGTCGATTAGCACTCACGGCATGAATCATTACTCTTGTATCGGCTTTTGAAAAAAAGGTCTTTTACCCGAACCAAACGTAGACAAATGGTAAATTTAGCCGAGTTAGCGAGTTATTTATTGATAGTAATAAAGCAGGGTAGAACTGTGACGAGGGTTCGCAGGTATACGGCGAAGGGAAGGGAAAATTACGACGCAAAAGTACCTTGTTGCAATGGAATTTTCGTGAATCAGAAATGAAGTATTACATCAAAGAAGGAGGAAACGCGAATTCTAGTTTATTGGCTGTTTGTTTCAAACACTTCAAAGAGTCCGCTCAAAGGAAATTTTTTCAATCAAAAACAGGAAAGTGGAAGCGGAGAAAGATGGGATTGCTTTTCATTTACCATAAAATATACAATGTTCGAGGTTTTGTGGGTCGGGAACTAGAATGGATCACGTATCAAAGTTACGGCGATTATCCGATTAGCGCTAATAAACTGACTTAATTAATAGTGCAAAATCCAATTAAAAAAGACCGAAATTTTATTATGTTGACATAATTTCCAGCATAAATTAAGTTCCAGAAGCGAAACAAGTTCTAATTTACTAAATGAATTTTAATTTGGCGCGGTTTAACACGATCTAATTATTGTTACACAAGTGCACAAATTTGACGAAAATGTCTTCTTGCCTAAAACATCGTTTAAAAACTGCACAAAACGCTTACATTTAAATTCTATTTTGGTTAATTAACCTCACGTAGGCGCCTCATTATACAGATCGTATCACTTAACCAAAATCGTGAACCGTGGAACTTCACAAAATTTCTCAAATTTTTAAAATCGTGTCTATTCTTGAACACGAAAAGTCAATCACACACACGGAATCCAAAATTTATAGCGAACTGCTTGCTCTGTAAACACGCCATAAACACAAAATTAGATCAGAAAATATTGTCCAACTTTATACTCTCTCAACACATGTAAATATTTCACTACCAACTTTCCATAATTATCAACCATTAATAGACTTTAATGACTCTTAAGTAACCCATCGCTTTTAAAATCCATTGTTTTCCTACACAAACAACCCTCCTCTCTCGATCACCCTCGAGCCTTCTCAGCCCGAACTGAACCAAATAAAACCAATCAATTTAATGGATTTACAAAACAGAATTGCCGAACCTTACAAAATTGGCTCCACTGTTTTAGCGATGCGCTTTTCGGAGCTTTTCATTCTGACAAAAACAACACACTGGGGGCGATTTAATAAAAAGCCGCATGTGGGCCCTTGCGCAAATTTAATTAAAAGTATGTTGTATTTACGCTCCTCTACCTACGCCGCAGACACACAATTCTTCCCGGTTTTCATTCGAAACCACGTAAAAAACAGCACAAAAATCACGGCCTTAAAATTACTAAGCAGCCACGTCGAAAATACCCTAAATTCTAATACAAAAAACTATCTCAGTAAAGGCACATCAGACACCATATCACCGTAGATGTTAAATTTACGTTAAAACCACGTACCTGATGATATTTATCACATCGTTTCCACGTTGATTTTACATCACTGGGAGAATTTTTTCAAAAACGACAAATCTGCGTCCTGCAGCAACGTCAAATTGGCACGCATCACACAATAAAGAAAACACAACACATCTTTGAGTAATCTTTAAAACTGTTTTTACATGCTAGTGGTGCTTTATTATGTTTCTATGTACTTTTTCTTGTTTCAATAGACTAAAACGTCAAGGACGGTGATTTTAAAGTGTATACGCTGTTATTTCCAGTCTAACATTTGCCAAATAAATATGGTTCCGCTGAATGACTCCGATTATGTGAGCCAACGAAATATTTGCCGCATTGTGTAAATAACTACGTAATTGTTCTATATTATCATCCACATATTAAAAAACGCGCATTAGTGGAAATATTTGTACCATGGTCAACTTTAATACGATATGAGCAAGTATGTCTTGCATAATATGTTAATATCTGCGTCTAGCGACTCAAATTACTCTTTCCATTATTTCAGACTGAAAAAAAAGCGAAATGGGGACTTTATCGATCAAATGTTGGTAGCCCTCCTCCAACTTTCATAAAACTCCAACTTATTTTCCTACATGAATACAAATGTCTGTTATAATAAACAAAAAAGACAAGAGGAAGAGATTGGGTTGTAAAGTGGAGCCCCGAAAAAGTCTCAATAAAAAAAAGTTCAGAGAACATTCAGCAGAGCGATTTTAGAACGAAATGCTAATGTAACAGTAATTGCCAACATGTTTGGAACTTTGACCTTACAATCAATCAAATCCGTTTCTCTCACAAACTGGTAATTAATAGCCGAAAATTGAAAGAGCCGTTTCCTCGAAAAAAAATTGTATCGACAACGGCGTACTCTACACTAAAAACTAAGTACGATGCGTAGCCATCAAATGTCAACTACTTCCCATACGCTACCATACCCCATTTCGCAATTCAACCACAAACCATTTCCAATCTCAACTCTGACCTTTTTATCCGTTTTAATTGTTCCACAATGAGTAATTTTCTTTGTTACATGCATCGAAATGTCTAGTACAGATTTCGTTCAATTCCACTGAAACGATCAAAGGATCTTTATACAAACGGGTAAAACCCAACAGCATCGATCCCCTCACCGCCACAAAAAAACAATTGTTCGTTTTTGATAAATTATTTTGTTAATTTGGCACGAGCGAAAAAACTTGGACCTTGTTTAGTGCCCTGAGGGGCTGCGACATAAAGCACGCGCTAGTTTTTACTGCGTCTATTTTAAACAAAATGTGAAGTTAAATTTTATCGTGATTATTACATACAACGACATTAATTTGTTTTGCACTCTTGCGCTACATTCTTATCAGTTTTATGTTCGTGACAATTATTGTGATGTGATTTAATGATGTACTGCTACATGGACGACGGGTCATAAATAACAAATAACAAATAGCGAGATTTCAGATATCTGATCATTGGAATAGAGAATGTTGTACGTGTTTTGGTTAAAAATGGCGCGCACTGTGACCCCTCTAAGAAGTGGCGCGGAATTTGAACTTAGCACTCCTGTTGGTTAAACTTGAATCAGATCGCCACGTGATTCTATACACGCAAATACGTCGCACCACCATTACTGCGTCCTTTCAATATCACTTTAATAAAGTAATAAACAGCAATTTGATTTACTATTTCTAATTTGCAGTAAACCCGATTTAATTAAAAACTTGTAGCTGTTTTTTATGAGCTACCGCGATGGAACGGTTTCGCTGGACACATCCTGTATAAACAGTTACCTCGCGGATATTTATTAATATGTGTATATTTTTTAATCTGCTACCTACGAGGTGCAGTTGCTGATGGATATCAGGATAAGGCATATATATTACACCTACTCATCAACATTCGCAATAAAATGAGATTTATCAAAGGCAACAGAGACAGAGGCGTGCAATTTCAGAACTCAGACAAACAAAAATAAATAAAAAATTGAGAAACAAACACATTAACACACTGGACTTAATTCGTTTGTTGTGTCGTTTAACGGAATTAATACTGAAATGAGAACTGTTCGAAAAATGGAGTTTTTGTGTGGGCTGTTAAAGTTCTCGTAAATTTGAGAGTACTAATTTTAATTGCAACCATTAAATCACAAGTTGAACTGTTGAAATTGAATCTTCAATTAAACGAATTAGAGCTTTAAAGACATAAACTGGATAAATTATTATTGTTTACTGGAAAGGGGTGAAATGTTTATGTCAAGACACGAAACAACAAACGGCTCACACACGGCGTGATTGTCCTCGAACGTCAATAGCTGTCATAAACCAGTGTTTCCAAACTTTTCTCTCTCGGGACATTTTCCTGACGTTGGATAAAATATAGCCGAAACGTGGATTAATCTACAACGTGCATAACTGTCACCGTTGTCACTCAAATTACTCCCAGGTTATGTGCACTTACTTAAATAGATCATAAATAATACCTGTTATTTTGTTATGGACGTATTGGTAACATAAATGTCGCGAACGTAATTTATGCAACTTGAGTGGCATTAACGTTTATAATTTATTATAACAGAATCAATATCCTCATAATTCGATCAGTGTCGTCCTTACTGGCGACCTTGAGTGGCACAAAATGGCGGCTGTTTTATCAGTTTGAGAATCACTGGTATACTCGTCAACCGAGAATCCATTTGCTTGAGAGAAACGCATTTAGTAAAAGCGTTTTCCACGTATCTTTCAATCAAATTTCTATCTTTTATTAAAAAAATCCTAAATTAGTTACAAAGCAAGCAAATGGAACCATTTTAATGGTAATGTGTGCACAGCATCAAAAGTAAAAGTTAATAGACGAACTTCGGATTTCAAATATGGCGGCACTCCGTTAACCACGATTCTCAAACAGTGGGAACCGAAGTGAGACACGACTGTCCCAAATTGCCGAAATTTCGATTTTGAGAAGAAATTTGCGACGTAACGGTATCCCGGATTTCGTACAATAAGTGTTTAGGTCAGGTCAGGATTCGATAGGATTCGAGAAGAACCAGAAAAATAGCGGTGCGAAATGCTAAATTACAAGCTGAGGTCGCACATCCTACATTAAAAAACACAAAGAGTAAGACACGCAAAGTCGTGGTGAATTTTGTGAACTGGTGTTTATCCTCGTTCTCAGTTTAAATTGCGAAGCAAAAAGAGAGGAATTTGAGCGGTTTTAGCAAATAGAAAAATTTCAGAGGATGCCTGAATGAATGAATCATTCATTGAAGAGAAACTATTGTTTCGTCGTACTCGACTGATTAATTGATTACATTTACATAAGCGGTGTCGAAAATAATGTGCGAAGACGAATGGTGCGTTGTCCATAAATTGTGAATTGATGTTTATTACAGTTTTATTTTTCACGGTGGTAAAGTATAATTAAAAAAACTTATTCTTATTGGTTAAGGTCTGTGAGCCGCCACGGACGTGTCAATACTTGTGATTTATTATCCATTATCCTAAAAGTGGAATTTATACGGTTTTCAACATTCTTTATAGCCTATAAATAATTTCGAAGAGTTTGGCGCTACAGGTCTTATCATTGTTGATTTAGTATCGAGAGTTTTTGAAATGAGCTCGTTTTATTACTTATGAATATTTAAAACCAACAACACATTAAGTCAATAGCACCCCACCTTAAAATTTATGGAAAGAAATTGCCATTTTTCTGAAGAGTGTGCATCAAAAAATTTCAACTAATAATTTCGATTTGCTACGTAAATGATAAAGCGAGGACTATCCCATTCAAATTATTTGCTTAGTCGTGAACTAATATTTTTATCTACAAGCTACTAAAATAGAATCAGGAAAATATCAACTTCCAATTTCAGAGAAACGTGCCGCTTCCATAAAATAAATGTAAATAAACTGAGTAAAATTTGATTAAATCAGTCGAAATACGCAGTTTATTAAAACTGAATCACTTAACTCCTGGGGAATTTTTTTATTATGAGTGAGATTTGTTCTCGCCCCAGTAATTTCTCTGGCGCATTTAACAAAATAATAATGAGAAGATTACAACTGAGCACCAAAAATACATTGACGTTGGAAAAAACAAACATGCAAATATTCACCGATACTATCATCAACAAATGACATTCTGATTAAAAGTCAAGGTATTTTAAAATACAGGCAAGGTTTTGTAACTTTGCTAACAAATGTAGAGTTACAATTAGAAATATCATTAAAGATTTAAGCGTTTGATGTTTGTATGATATTCAAAATATCGCGAAAACTTTCAGTTTATCAAACGACAAATATCATCACATCGTACGTCATTAAATATGATTTATACATTTATGTTTCAACATTCAAGCCAAAAGTTGTTATGATCCGCTACAACGTTGCTTTTATCGTTTTTTTTTTTTTTTTAAGTGCAGTCGATAGACCTTTTTCGGCCAATTAGATGCAGTTGCAACATATCATCACTTTTTTACGAAAACGCCGATCGCTAATTTATTTTCCTTGAACTTTAGTTTTTTTGATGCATTAGGATCATTTTGAATTTCAGACATACCACTAATTGGTGTAAAAATATCGCTGATTTGGTATGATATTTGTTTTTGTCCACATGTTGACAAACAAAATTTCTACTTTTGTTTAGTAATATTAACGCATTGGTCACATACCATACCATAACACGAGTTTAATTACAACATTTCGGTGAAATAACGTTTGTTATGAAATGAACATATTATAATATCAACCAAACAGTTTGTAGAATTTATATGCAAACAATATCGTTTGATATATTCTTGTAATAGGCGACAAATCTTGGAATTTATAAATAATGATATTATTGTCGTTTATATTTTAATGTTAAATATTTAGTTTGAATAAAACAATACAAATAATATAATAATGATAACAGTATGACAAAAAAGAACTGAAAGTGTTAAAACGCTTACCTTTGTTGAATGACTTTTCGGCTGCATCGTGCTCCTGTTTGAGTAAGCAACTATCGTCCAAATTCTGACTTGGGGATGTGCCGGTGATCATCGACGAAACGTTATCGGAGTCGGTCACACCCTCGGCACTGAGCATCGTGTGTGCAGATTCTGAATGTCGGAAAAGTACCATCATAAAGAGAAGAACTCGGATTCAGGTGTAACGAATTAGCGCACTTGGAGGACCCGACACAACGAGCATCCGCATCGTGACTTAACTCGCCGGCACGACGGCTCGTCGGCCAATGCGCACATGCTCCCACAATTGCAGATGAATGATGCTGCACATCGCACTGGCGAAGGAGGGATGGAATAAAAGACTCCCGAAATAAGCGACGGGGAGAGTTTCGGGTTAGGGGGCGCAAACATTTTTATTTCCGACTCTGTCTTGTTTTAACGCACGAGTGGGACGTACGTCGCTGCTCCCTCTCGCTCGGATCCAAAGGGGAGCGGATATTGGGGTGTGGATAAAGGACGTCTACCCTCATATGCAGACAATGATATCCCGTACGGAATCCCGGAATCGAATTGCCAAAACGCGATTTGGTGCAATGGGAGCTCACTCGCTCATTTGGGTTTTCTTTGATTCACTTAGTTTCCACAATACGTTTCTTGTTTTATACCACTTTTTTTTCTCGAAATTTGTCTGCCAGTCTTGTGTGCTTTTTTACGTTTTTGTTATGTTGCGTCACACATTACAACTTTAATTATAACAAGCAGTCTTTCTCCACCCGAGATCACACACAACACTATAGACATCTTCATTCCCCTTAATTTTGATCGTTCCCGTCGGAAACAATACAACCACAAAATGCTTTGAGGATATCCTCTTACCCTTATTTCCAAAGCTTCGTAACCATATATTCGTAAATGAGCAACCTTCTGGATCCCTTTTCCTTCGTATTTTTTCCCGTTTTCGTACGTCCTCTATTTGCCTTACTTTTGTCGTGCGGATGCTTCTATTTCGAAACTTTGACGAATGCGTCTTCTCGTGTTCTTTTGTAATTCTAAACCTTAGGTTTATCCGTCCGTGACTTCCTCTTGAAAATTGCCAGTCGCCTGTTCTTTATCTCCTATTTTTTTTGTAGCTCTCTTCGCTTTCTTTTCCACGTCTTGTATCTCCATTTTTCTTAAATTCTCGTCCACATGTTCCTTCCATCTTTGTTTTGATCTTTTCTTTGCTTTTGTCCCGCTGGTATCTAATCTTTTGCTGCTTTTATAGGGTTTTCCTTCTTCTTTTCGTGGATTTTCATTCGGTCCTACTACCTTGTCTTATATTCCTTTTGAATATAAGTGTTCTTCCTGTGTAGTTGAGGTACTTGTTTTTGTACCTGCGAAGATAAGACTGATTTTGGCAAATAACATACCCTCTAAGAAAAGAGAGGGTGGGTGGGTGGGGCTAGTACCTGCTAAGATAACATTGATTTTGGCAAATCAGATCCCTTTAAGAAAATAGAAGGCGGGTGGGTGGGATCAGTACCTGCTAAGATAAGACTGATTTTAGCAAATGACGTATCCTCTAAGAAATTTAATTAAGTTATTATAAGAAAAGACACTAGAGGCTCCAAAGCAGTTTCAAATTCTTTCCAAACAGAAATACCTAGAACCTCAAGATTGTTTTCAGTTTTTCAAAAAAAAAGAAAAAATTGGTCTAAAGAGTTTAGACAGTATTTCCCTCGCTGTCGGAAACTTGACGACTGCATGCCTATTGTGTTTTTTTTTCTCATTACATTTTTGTAGTGGGAATTTAAAAAAAAAATTGTGATGACGTCATCAACATTTTTGCAAGAACACGTATATCAGTTGGGATAGATGTAGTGTAATACTAAGAATAAAATTATTGTATTCCCAAATTTTCGGGAAAATGAATTGGGTCGTTTTGAATATTGATTTCTTATAATCAATAAAATAACGAAACAATTTACTCACGTATACGGCGTCGGTGTGTAATATCTAGAGAGCGGATTTCTGTCGGGCTAGGCAAGGCCAAACTCGGTACGGCTCGTACGGGATGCGAATTCATTGCGGTTGCGTACTGCACTTCGTTTATTTGAGATTAGAATAACGCTGTTTCGTTGCACTCTGCTGTTAATTCCCGTTCTCATTTACTTAGCCGTTTGATTAATAAATCGTTAATTATATTTATGGAATTAGTACCGATTAAACGTGACGTAGCCCGACAAAAATCCGCTGTCTAGTAATATGAAAGGCAACTGAAAATCGTTTATGTATAAGCATTCTTAATTTAAGATGACAAGCATAACATCATACGTGAGAGTCAAACAGAGAAACTGTAAACAAAACGACCATCGGTTTTATTGCTTCGACTTCCGCTTATTATATAAAACATTGGGTTTTATTTTAATTTTTGACGGTGGAATTCACAATTGGTTGATTACAAACATGTCTATTCCACATTTGCGGAACCTAGAGAGCGCACAAAACAAATGCACGTCTGTAATGTTAAAGTCGATGTAAATAAGCGTGCTACCCTTATGTTTCAACCGAGTTTTTACTTTAAAAAATTTTGTGTCTACCGAATTGGGTTGGTCCAATGTAATACTAATAATAAGTGTTGCCTTTAATTTAATCAATAAAATAAATTGACTTCATTAATTTTTTTGAGCCACTTCTTAAGAAAATCTAAAAAATATGAATGGAATGATAGATAAATCACAAGTACAAACTCATCATATTTTTTGCATTTTAGATAGGATTTATTCAGCCAAATTTAAGGGTGACGTCATCAATTTTTTTAGGAGGGATGAACAAATACATTTTGAACAAAAGTTTACCATGCTTATAATAACTTTAAAATATCTCCAAGATTTCAAAGCATTCGGTTTTGTAATTCCTGATTAAATCGATAAAATAAATTCACGCATTCATTAATTTTTTTGAGTTACCTGTATATGCAAATCCAAAAATATGAATGGAATGATAAATCACAAGTACAGACTCATCATATTTTGTACATTTTAGATAGGATTTATTCAGCAAAATTTTGGGGTGACGTCATCAATTTTTTTAGGGGGGGACGAGCAAACAAATTTTGATAAAAAATTTACCATGCTTATGATAACTTTAAAACTTCTCCAAGATTTTAAAGCGTTCAGTTCTGTAATTTCTGATTAAATCAATAAAATAAATTGACGCATTCATTAATTTTTTTCAGTCACCCTGTATATGCAAATCGAAAAAATATGAATGGAATGATAAATCACAAGTACAGACTCATCATATTTTTCACATTTTAGATAGGATTTATTTACCAAATTTTAGGGTGACGTCATCAATTTTTTTAGGGGGGGACGAGCAAATAAATTTTGATAAAAAATTTACCATGCTTATGATAACTTTAAAATATCTCCAAGATTTCACAGCATTCGGTTCTGTAATTCCTGATTAAATCAATAAAATAAATTGACGCATTCATTAATTTTTTTGAGTCACCCTGTATATGCAAATCAAAAAAATATGATTGGAATGATAAATCACAAGTACAGACTCATCATATTTTGTACATTTTAGATAGGATTTATTCAGCAAAATTTTGGAGTGACGTAATCAATTTTTTAGGGGGGAAGAGCAAATACATTTTAATAAAAAAGTTACCATTCTTATGATAATAAAACATATCCAAGATTTCAAAGCATTCGGTTCTGTAATTCCTGATTAAACCAATAAAATAAATTGACGCATTCATTAATTTTTTTCAGTCACCCTGTATATGCAAATCCAAAAAATATGATTGGAATGATAAATCACAAGTACAGACTCACCATATTTTGTACATTTTAGATAGGATTTATTCAGCAAAATTTTCTGGTGACGTCTTAAATTTTTAGGGGGGGGACGACCAAATACATTTTGATCAAAAATTTACCATGCTTATGATAATTTTAAAACATCTTCAAGATTTCAAAGCATTCGGTTTTGTAGTTCCTGAGTAAATCAGTAAAATATATTTTGCGCATTCATTAATTTTTTTGAGTCACCCTGTATATGCAAATCCAAAAAATATGAATGGAGTGATATATCACAAGTGCAGACGCATCATATTTTGTACATTTTAGATAGGATTTATTCGGCAAACTTTTGAGCTGACGTCATCAAGTTTTTGGAGGAGATAACCAAATATATTTTGACTAAAGATTTATGATGCTCTTTATAGCCTTAAAACATCTGCAACATTTCAAAACATTCAGGTTAGCAGATTCAAAATTAAATTGCAAAATGTTGTTTTATAATTTTGATTTTTTTTCCAAAAATCTGGACGTTTCGGGTAAAAACTGAATTCGGAGTCGTAAACTACATGTGTAGGACTATGTTATTTTATACAATTTAAGACCCATTTACTATGTACAATTTTGAAGTGACGTCATCGCATTAGTGGTGGAGATGATTAGACAAATTTTGGTTAGCGTTTTACCATCTACATGATATTCCTAATATAAGTACAAAATTTCACAACAATCGGTCCAGTACTTTCGGAGATTATCTGTCTAATAAAAATTCGGGACGGCAGACAGACGGACAGACGGGCAGACGGACAGACGGACAGACGGACAGACCGACAGACGGACAGACGGACAGACGGACAGACAGACAGACGGACAGACGGACAGACGGACATACGGACAGACGGACAGATGGACAGACAGACGGAAATGGGAAACCTATTTTTCGTCTTCTAGGGGTCATGAAAGATCGAGAAAACCTAAAAGTAGAGAGTCGGCCGACGGACTCGATTACAATACTTCCTTTGCTTACGCTCGGGAAGTAAAAAAAAAACGGGTAACAATAAAGACAGGCTAAATCGGAAAAGTAAGGAAGGGAAAAAATAATAAAAAAAAAATCGGGAAGAAGACTAGGATGAACATGGATAAGGAAGAAGCAAAATGACGACCAACCACCCCCCTGAAGTAATGCTAATGCGGTTCCAGGGGGGTAGGAGCACAGCTGGTCGAGGAAGGAGTTTTAGCCGGTAAAAGTTCTGGCACTACCAGAGACGGTCGAATCTAAGTCCCTGGTGCCCACGAAGTTTCCCCTTTCATAGAAAAAGGGTCAGGTCAGGTTGGTTCTAGCTGATTTCCAACTTACTGACTGACTGTTTGACTGGTCAGATTATGCCAAGGCAGGTTAGAGCTGATCAAATCAAAGTAGAATAAGCCAGACCAAGCTAGGTTAGGTCCAGCCATGCCATGCTTAAATTTAAATTGTGCAATTGAAATACACTTTTACAGAAAATTTGTCAAAAATTAGCCAGCATCTGGTAATTTTAAATTTATTATTAGTATATCACGATATTTTATCTATGTCCTTCCAAGGAGTTACCACAGCAATAATTTTATTTTTAGTTTTACCTGTGACCGTCGTTTTTGTTTATGTATATGTTTGTGTTTTGTCTGGATTTAGATTTTTATTTTATTGTTGGTCGATTAGGTAGTAGTAGTTAGTAAGTATGGTTTTGAATTGTACAATGATTTTTTTTTTCATTCGAATTTATATTTTTTTGTGAATACAACATTTTCTCGTTTTCTAATGTGTCCTAATTATGTACCTACTAATCGCACTGCTGTAACCTAAAACGTGTTCAGCCCATCTGATTCCGTTCAGGCAAGCAATTGGAGTGGAGGTCAGGGTTGTAAATTATCATTCGTTACCACAACCCTAACCGGTTTATTGGTGGCTTCCAGAAAAAAAAATCACTGTTCACTATTTGGCGGACTCTGCTTTAAAACTGCTACTCGCTTTAAGTACAAATCATTACACACTTGGAAATTTTGCTGGCTCTATCTAATCTAATACCTAAGTCATCGTTTGGAAAATGTTTGTGAGTTTTAATAAAACGGAAAATTTGTTCATAGTTTCCATGTTTGTCGTGTGTTGTTAAGCACGTAGCGTAAATGCTAGGTACTACCAAAGAATTTTTTACCGTTTGATTGTCGCTAACTGTAGCAAGAAGTACTCTTACTAATTAATTTTTCCAATTTTTCTTATCGATTTTTTCATTATAGCTAAAATAGAGTGATTAGTACATTGCTAACTAGTACAGTAATTAATCAGGTGCTCTCCCCGAACTTCATGTGGACATACATACGATTTTATTAACTGTTTCTTTCCGTTGATTAATGCGGAGTCAATCAGTTTCACAAACTCATTAATTTTCTCATTTCTAGGGGGGCCAACACTATTTATAGCACAAAAATCGCATTAATACCATCAATTATAGGGGTACTAACCGTTATTTGGAATGTGGTTATCTAAGTGAAATAATGCGGGTGATTAAAACAAACTTAAAATTAACTGTTGTACTGCAGTTACGTTAACTTAAAAATTACTGTTTAAGAGAATAAGAATCCATTACCATTTGTAAAAAAACAACGCACCTACACACGCACCCACATAAAAAACAAACGAGTAAATCTGTTTAGTTGTGGAAGAAAATAACACACGAGTCACCCTCAGGTCCACCTGTCTCGCCGCATCGTTGAAATTTTCGCTCAGCTTTTACATATTTAAGTAGACAGACACTTTCACCCCGTCAACCTTCATTTTTTATTTACTACCGTAAATCCAGCGTCTCACTAAAAATAAATGCGCTTTAGAGATTTGCCGTCAATTGTCAATTTTTGGTGCACACGGAAAAATGTACAGGTGGGTGGAGTGACGGCTCGATTTAATAACTTCCCCTATATGTAAGAAAAAATACTGAAAACGCAAGAATGCAGTTGAACTTTTCAATTAGGTGAAATTTTCTTGACGTAAGTAAATTATGTGTTTGCAACTTAAAACTGCAATTACATGTGCGTAACAATTTATTCGTGCCTTCCGGCTGGGAACTCTTGTTATTTATTAGATTTATAATAGTTGATTAAATAAAATAAACATAATAAGCAATTACTGGATAAGTCGATAAATCATTTTCTCAGAATTTCACTTTTTGCGTTTGTTTCCTTCGGTTTTTCTCTTAATTGAATTAGCTGCAAGGATCACGAGGAAGTTTTTTTATAAGTTGTAATTAATTCTGTCTTAAAAGAACTTTCAAGCTGATCCACGTGACCAACATGTCCTATTTTGCTTGTTAGAAACTTTTGTAACGCCCGCATTAATTATTGTATCCACCTATTACATTTCCAAGGTTAAAAAATTTTGTCTGACAGGAAATAACGGTGAAACGCCGAAAAGATGGACGAGCTATTTCAAACTTTTAATTAATTAATTAAGAAGTCCGTAACAAATTCATAACTTCTAAGTTGATAAAAGTTTGTGAGTAAACGCAGCCCTCTGTAATTAAATTGTATATTTATTAAATTATCAAAAGTTAAAAGAACTTTGTGTTGTATTCGTCTAATTGAAATCATCAAATATGGAAACGCGGTAGTTATTGTTATTAGTTTCGTGACCTTGTCAAGACTCAAGACATATCGATAATAATTTTCGCATTTGCATTACATAAGTCCAACAGAGTTATAAATGGAAGTCATTAGAGTGCATTTTTAGGAACATTTTTCAAACTAATTATCAACTACCCACTCGCCATTTTGTGTCACCGATTGCCTATTGACATTTTAGTTCAACTTTATATGTATACAATTTATCACGTTATTGGCAAAGTTTCGGCGGAAAATGGATCAATATCGTATCTGTCTCGACTCCATATATCACTTTCACGTACAGATAATGTATAAGTTCTTGTACTTCCTCCGGAATTAAATCACTCAATTCCCACGATGACTCCGTTTTAATAAGAATGCGCCTAGATAACCGGCGGATATCATTTTTCGCGTCTGATTAATTGCTGAACGGTAGTCAGCAATTTTGCACGGCGATGACGTACGGCGGAAGCGGAGCAATGACGACACCATCACGATATGCTTAATTGCTTCCGTTTACAAAAAACATGCATGTTTAAACATTTTTCGCGAGTACGTGGCGACTTCAAATTTTAGATCTTCTTTTGACCTTCCTTATGACGAGTAGGTTGAAAAAATCGCAAGACGAAACGTCGGCTTTGATCTCACGGTCGAATCCACACATATTTAAATAAAATATTGTATCTTAAGTACCCATTGTTGTCAATCGCCTCATTAATTATACCAACTGATATGCGTTTATAAGTAAAAAAATTGGTTTTAAATGGTAAGCTTATGTAATAAAGCAATGAATTTGCTTTTTTGGACACGACAAACAAAACCGAAGCCAGAAATCTCCATGCCGTAAAAATTTTATTACTGACTTATAGGCAACCAGCATCGCGACACTAGAGTTCTAGTGTTTCTTTTTTTCAAATTTCATTATTTTTTAAAGTTTGTTCCAAATGGGCCTGAGCTGATTATCATTAAGCACCGCCCCGAATAGCTTAAAACTCCGCCCCATGTTCATCTACACATAGGTGTCATCTATGCAACCAGTTTATCACATTCCATATTTTTTAGGATAGTGGATCTTAGCGACATCTCTTCGTAGCTGATACAATTAATATCAGGAATTGTATTTACCACCATAACTTGGCGTACTTTTCAAATTGTTTGCCTTAACTTTCGTCCTTCATTTAGCAAAAAATTTAATAAAACTTCGCATTCCAAGATCTTTAAGAAAAAACGCAGCTTTAAAACTTTCAAAATCGTGTATATTTATTACACATATTTACAAACAACAATGTGAATTAACTACACAAACAAAAATGATATAGTTAAGTCGATTCCTTCTATTTCAGGCTGTTTGTCTTTTGAATAACTATCTACATTAATTCAGGCTAAAGTTGACTACAAAACTATTAACTACTCGGCACAGTCACTGCTTGGTTATTTTCGGCCATTTGTTCCGCTTCTTTGATTCTTCTACTCATGATATCATTCTGTCTGTTGACGAAATTCATCATTAATTTATTGTTAAATTTGATAAACTTGGTGGCACATTCTTCAGAACATTCGATTTCGCTTGGAGTTAAATGTCGTGAGTTTGTGTTTTCTATACATCTATAGAAGCATCTTTCAGTCATTTGGTTATACAGCTGAAGAAAATCTTTGAACTGAAAAAAATTAATTAGTAATTATTCAAATTATTGACAGGACTGACATTTCGTAAACCGCTGGCATCCAGGTTCATGATTGAGGTTATGTTCACAGTTACAGGAATCAACAACTTTTCGGCACTTGTAATTCACAACATGAATATTAAAATTAGATGCACTTAGTAGAGTAGTTGTTAAGAAAATGACTAGAAATGGAATTCAAGAAAATTATTATTTTAAGTGGAACGTGGTCGCCATTTTGGAACTAGGATACCGCGGTGTTTAAATTTTTGTCGTAAATCGGTGTTTAATGTTTGTGGTGTTTATCTATTTCCTTTTTCGAGTTTGATAATAGTGATTAAGACCGAATAGACGCGAAATACTTTGGAAAATTGTGATCTGTTTATTTTTGGTTGCTGTTGGCAACGTCCAGGCAACGACCTGGGGATTTAGGGTCCAGATCATTTTCCCCCAAAAATGTCGATGACATTGTAGGGTGCCTAACTTCAATTAAACAATTGTGGATTTTTTGGCTGAATTTGTTGATCACTTGTGAGTATTAAATAAAATTTGTGCTAAAAATTAACAAAAGTGCTGTTGCAGTCCTGTAAATATAAATTTAGACTTTAGAAGTAACCCTTGACATGGCCCAAATAAAAAGTTCAGCTAGTTTGGAAAGAACAAGTATACATGATATGTTAAAAGAGACTCCACCTAATGATAACAGAAGTAATGTTGTACCAGCTGTACAAACAAATACAGTGTGTCCATATTCACGTTCCGTTCCAACTGGTTTGTCGTCCTGCACAAGTTCACCAGCAATTTTAACACCAACAACTCCCACTCAAAATGATGATTCCACTATTCTTAAAACGTCGTCTAGAATCGAGAATCTCAAGAACTGGTCCATATCAACATACAAATGTACCAAGCAACTGATGTTTGAGAAATTAGGAAAATCATCAAGAACAGTTGATGCAGGTGAGGCCTTTTAAATGCAGGCTGTGCTTGAAATGTGTGGAAATATCCTGTGGTAAATGTGGGTGCAAAGAGTTGAAATCTAATCCCCAATTCATTCCTATTGAAGAAAGAACAGAGAAAATCAGATCTAACTTAAGTGTGAACATTGACAAGACAGCTAAGAGTTCTGGCCAACACCCTTTTTCAAAAAATGTAACGTTTTTATAGCACGTCATTCTTAATTCACTACAGATGGTCCAAGTACAAACTAAACCATTAAAAAATTATTTTGTATGTATTTAAAATTTATATTTGTTGTTTCAGAATTGGAATCTCAAATAGAACAGTTGCGGGAAACTCAAAAAAAGTACTGCAATATCCTCCGTCTGGCTAGGGCTTTAACTAGTCATTTTTACCACGTAGTCCAAACACAACACGATTTAGGCGAGGCGTTCTCAGAATTAGCTCAGAAATCTCCAGAATTACAAGAAGAATTTTTATATAATTCAGAAACACAACGAAATCTGACGAAAAATGGCGAAACGTTGTTAGGAGCGTTAAATTTTTTTATATCTTCAGTAAACACGTTGTGTAATAAAACAATTGAGGATACTTTACAAAGTATTAGACAATATGAAGCTGCTAGGATTGAGTATGACGCCTACCGCACTGATCTCGAATCTATGTCTACAAAACCTGATGGTGCCATTGGTTTGGAGGAAGCTCAACAAGGTTATGAACTTCACAGGCAGCAGTTTATGAAACTGAGGGCTGAAGTAACAATCAAAATGAAATTTTTGGACGAAAATAGAGTAATTTCCGCGTGGTTTCGTGATTTGGGTTAATGGTTTATGTTTTAGATAAAAGTCATGCACAAACAGCTGCTTTTGTTCCATAATGCTATTTCAGCGTACTTTTCTGGGAACCAACAGGCTTTAGAAGCCACGTTGAAGCAGTTTAATATTAAAGTGAAGACACCAAATTCCACGTACCCATCATGGTTGGAGCAGTAGTATAGATTGCACTTCAATTTTAATTAATATCTAGTCATTTTTTTACTTAATATGTTACGCTTTGTTCTTTGATTCCTAATTTTCATTCCACTATTTTAACGAGAGTTGTAGTTTATGCAAGCAATGTAATGTTACTCTTAATACATTTCTTTCATAACGAACTAATGGGTTTCCAATTGAAACTACTTATTTTATTTATGTTTTTATTATGAAGATTTGCGTGTAAGATACGGTATTTTATAATATTATTTAACACACTACTGTACTTTAGTTGTGCAAAAATAAAAATACATATATGTACTGGTGTGTTTTGGGAAGTTAGAATCGTGTACTCCAAGTTTAACTCGCCCGAGTTATAAAAAATAAAAAAAAAATCGGGTCAGACCATACAAGATAAATGACTCACACGATATGAGTAAGCAAGCTGCTATGCGCAGAATCCGTACCTAAAGTAAAAGCATATCCATGAAGTTGCAGCTCGAGAAACAGCATAGACCTGTGGGTGTTTTGTGATAAAACGTAGCCAAAAATTAACAACAAATGGTTCAAATTTCACCGATAAATGAATTAATGCCACAAATATTATTAGACATTTCAAACTCCTGTATATTCTAGTATTCTACACGGTAAACATTCAAATTATATTTATTCTTGTTCCATAAAGCTTGTGGAAAATATTTATAAATAAGTCCCTTCATCCAGTTGATTTTTTCTGTTTTTGCCGCCTTATCGAAATCGGGGTTGCAACGAAATTGTCAAACTCAAGTTAAATGCAGTTTTACAATGTCACGACCGGCGGAGTCGCAAGATTACAAATTCCGAACGCTTAAGTTTATAAAATATGTACCAAAAATACCCAAATGGTGCGGTTGTAGCAGGAAATCGTCGAGGTGGGATTTCGGGATTTGAAATATTTGGTGCTTTTGGTCGGTGCGATTGGCAGCGTGTTGACGTCTGGCGATAATCTGTGACGCCATTGTTGCGCCCTTTGCGAGTATTGTTTTTGTTTCGAAGTAAATGCGCTTTTTAAAATTTAAAAAGTAAAAAACGCTGAAACTTATCCGACTCCAAATGGAAGATTTTGTAGTGATGTGACGTACGTAGTGATGGAATTTTCGAAATAGTTCCACAATTGGTAAATTAGCGGGACACCCCGGATTGATTGATAGGAAGTGGTTTGTTGTTCGAGAGATAATAATGAAGTTTTTGGGATTTTGGACGTTGCAACTGAAGCAATTTTCACCCGTGTGCAGTTAGTGGGTTAGACATGTACGGCCACCCAGTTACAACTTTATCAATTGTGGTTAGAAAGTTAGTTATGCAGGAGTTATGTTTTGCGTCGAGGGCATTTGATGGTGGTTACTTGCGATGGGGGACTATGCTTTGTACAAGGCTATTCAGTCATTCACTCCCCCTTCAAGTGATGCGACTTCGTTAGAATTCCAGAAGGATGACGTGTTCGAAATCCCAGTGCAGAGCCCCTTCAGCACAAGCGAATTCCAGAAGCCCGGCTGGCTGTACGCGTATAACAGGCGCACGGGGGCGGAGGGCTACGTACCGGGTAAGAATAAACGTTTTTATATTTTTTGCAAGTAGTGGTTAGGCAACCAACTATACACTACTAATGGCGAAATTTTTCAGTGGAGTGCGTGAAACTTCTTGGTTCAGAAGTTAACAATACAGTTCATCATCCGTCAGCGTTAGGAGTGGCAGTTTCAGACACAGGTGATTATTATTTGTACAAGTAAATTATTCTAAGTAGTGGATAAACACAGCGGGGTTGAAATATGAATATTTAATATAAACTGCAAGTTATTCTTGCTGTAGTACGCCCACAATAAATATCACCAAATATTGACATTTGTATTATCATTTTATATGTAGAATTTCGAGCGACTTGCTGATTAGTGCTAATTAAACTTATATTGGCGCGATCACAAATGGTGCCGTCCATGTTTGAGGAGACGGTTTTATGACACTACCTTGCATAATTTATAAAAAAAAAATGGTCGTAATTACACTCCACTAACAAAGTTATCATTATCACTGCAAAAAATCTAATTACTTTTAATGGTGTTAAAAATTACTTGTGAAAACACACAATATTAAATTATTACTTACATTTAACGTCTCTAAAATGCGGAATTTTCCACGATTTATTTAATAAAGCATATAACACCGGCCAGGTAATAAACTGAGCTGTAAAGATAAGAGTATCTGTGCTTTATATGATTATTATAGCCTGTCCAGTCTGCGTGGTAAAAATTAAACTAATCAAAAAAAAAGTGACGAAATCCATATTTGGATAAGGATTATTTCAGAGTCGTTAGAAATTCAAACATGGGATAATTTAAGTTTTCACCGTTACGGTGGGTGACTATCTTAGAGATCTTTGATTTTTTTTGTTGGGTATACTGTTCCACATAATGAGTTGCACAGTGCAGGCATAAAAATGTATGGCAACACACAGAAGTGTCCCCTCGCATTTATTTGCTTATGAATAAGCCTTTAAATTAACCACATTTCCTGCCCACAACCGCAACTGTAATTATTAATAAGGGAAAATAATAAAGGTACGGTTTTTTACAGTTCGCTTATTTTCAGATACCACGGGGAAGACAGAAACCACCCATAACATCGCGGGCACGTTCTTCATAAAACCGATTTTGTGTATACATTGTAAGTGTTGTTTTTACTATTATTATTATTATTATTGTTTTAAGCAGAGTAAATTCTGTAATGTGTATGTAAGTGTTTCACTTTAAATAACTATCTTTGTGTGTTAGCGTGTATGATTTTTTTGTTTGCGGAAACTCGTCAAGAGTAATCAGTATGAAACGATAATTAGCAGAAAATCCTGATAACGTTGATTGACGGTATGAATTTTTTATTAATTTTCTGGTGTAACAATCAGTTATCTTTAATAGATTTTTTATCTTGTAGTTTGAATAATAATTGTTCCGAATGTTGCTATGCGAAAGGGTAGATTTTGTAATATTTTGGCTGTGGATGTGTAATTGGTTGTGTGTAAGTTTTGAAAATTACACTTGAATTTTCAAGGTAAACTTTTGAATTTCTCATCACTCGTAGTAGCGTCTATTTGCATATTTATGGAGGTCACACCTAATGTAAATTACGGTTGAAGTTTGTTGTATAAACCAGCCGAGTCGTAGGTTTTGTCGAATTTTTCTATGAAATGTAGCAATTGTTTTATTGTTAAAGGTAAAGACTACATTTGGGGACAGGGCCGCGTTGGTGTAAAATGCAACGGTGAGTAGCCCCTTAAAATTTCGCGCAATATGGAACGAGTCGATGCGGAAGAATTCAGTAGCCCCATCGCCACCTCGCGTATCTCTCGCGTCCAAAATTTCGCTAATCGGTATCTCCGTTGGTGTTAGCCCAGTTTGACGGGCGTTGATGAATCGCCGAGATAAATTCGGGGTTATCTCGATTGATACAGAATGGGGTGATGGATCGTAAGTCTGGCACCGCCGCATTCAGATCAACCGCGTGCGTATCAAGGCCACAGCTCCCATCGCGCTCCATCAGCGAGCGGCGTTGCGTCGTTTTCGCGAATTTTGCCCAAAGTTCGGCGATTTCGAGTCGTCGGTCCGTCGATATTTTTGGATTCGGTTGGTCGTCTTCGCCGTGGTTCGCATCCGGAACAGCTGCTCCTGCCGGCTCGGTGTCGGCCGCGCGGGGCAGGGGGCCCGGCGGGCGGCGTGCGCGGGCGCGGGCGCGCGGAGCGTGCGCGTTGCGCACACGACTCGCATCGCGATTGAACCGAGCAGTTTCGTAGAGGCAGTTGTGTGTTGACGTCGTGCAAGCTGCGATAAGGTCGCAAACGGTGGTAACATGACAAGATGAGCGTTTCCGAACGCGATTCCCAGGAGGGCAGCGCAGCCGGCGGCGACTCCGGGGGCAGTAAAATGTACCGACGCCTGAAGGTGCCGGACTGCAAGCACTCCGCTCTTCTGCCGCTGGTCAACATCGACAAAGAGAACTATATGTTGCGAGGGGTCAGCCGTCCCGGCTCCTCCGAAGTCGATCTCGACAGCTTCATGGTGTGCGAGATTAACAGCACGCTGAGCGCGCTGAACGCGATGGCCGGAGCCAAGGAGGCCGCCGCCGCCGACGTGGACGGCACCGGCTTTTGCGCCCGCATCGTCTCGTTCCATCCCCTGATGTGCTCCTGCGAGATGTCCTGCTGCTGCATGTGCGGTTCCTTCTGTTCTTCAGATTGCCTCGCCTGCTTCCACGAGATGTGCGCCCGGTTCGCCGCCAAGCACGTCTGCCTCAAGAACGACGAGCCTCCGACGACCACCACCTCCTCCACCACCCTCGACCACGACAAGGTAAGCAAGCACCAGCTGACGCCGCTGCCGGCCGGAACAAAGGCGAATCGGCCTCCATAAAATCGATAATCGTGCACCGGATCGGGATCGGGCCCAAATCTACGACCTTGAAAATGAAAAACTACCCAAATTTCGAGTCCGAATGGACCACGAAAACTCGCCTAATCAAGTCCAATGTTGCCGTATGTAAATCGCACTCTTTTGCATATATCCTCACGTGGTATTTTGCGTTGTTTCATAAAACGACATGCTGAGTGCGAACTTTTATTTCCTTCCACCACCTATTTCCTACGTTCCTCCACCTGCAACCAACCCGGAGAGAGACGCTGCCGCTAATACATCATACTACATTGTACATACTACTATATACGAGAAATTAATTAACTCCTTTATCTCGTACACAAAAAGCCTGAGTTTGGCAGGTTTCGAATACCCGAACCCTTTCTCCCGATTCCGATTAATTATAACAATACAAGTAATTTAACGCACACACTCGGTAAAAGCCTTCGAGCACGCACAAATTCAAGGATACAAGGAAAATGCGTACGCACAAGAACACTTTATAAGCTCGTCTTTATCTATCTACCTCCGAGTAATTCGGCTCCGACATCAATATCTTTTTTTCGGGACGTAAATATATTATAGAAGGGTGGGTCCTCGACTCAAATTCTATCCATCCTCTCTCTCTCCTGGCGAATAATAATTAAACCGCGGATATTTTTAAAAGCAACGTGCACCGATGACAAGGTCTGTAATTTTATTGCTTCAAACAAAAAATAAAAGAGAGGAAGTCATAACTGCTTGGATATGTCAACGAAAGAACTAAACGTAAAACTTGCCAAGAAAAAATCATTACGGTACACATGTAGGCAGTGACGTATTTTGGTCACTTGCTAATCGTAAATCACCACCGGGGTACGCTTTATTGAATTTTATACGCGACAGCGATTGCATCCTCCCGAGTTTCTGGGTTTTTTTACCTGGAAGTAAGCACGCATTCTTCGTATTCTTCGAGTTCCGAACCCTTCCTAGGTAGTGCAGGGTCACCATTTTGATGAATACGTCAAGTTCAGGCTAGAGGTCAAAAGAAGAATTGAATATTTTTAAATCGAATTAATTAATGTTGTTGCAACATTAGATACAGAATTTATCGTTTGACCCCCAACATTTTTATTCCTTGTGCTCATTAAACCGTTTCAACTCGCAGTCAGACCGTAGGAAGTCGAACCAAACTAATCTTTTAGTTTTCCACGATCAAATCCGACTGACAGGTAGATAGTTTGGTAACATTAATTAAATGTTAATCAACTGATCGAAAATGTACGAATATTTTCTCGCCGGCGCCGTCCGACTTTTCGAGCGAGCGAGTTTCTCTTCATGTTTAAATTATCTTATAATTATGATAATATTAAACTATTTCTCAATTGACGTCGTCGTCGTCGTCGATCCAAAAAAATAACGTCATTATTGAAAATCTTAATCGATGCGAAAACTGTCGCAAGTTTTTTCATTTTCGGATAGTTATAATGTTAAATAATTTCGTCATAAATGACACAGTCAATTTGCATATTAATGACCCTTCACTTCTGGCTCCGTTAAAATGTTTTTCCAAGCCGACCGTTCAATTAACGTTTTCCATCGATTTTTCGACGCAGATTTTCGCTTTCGAAGAAGCGCTCTTACGTAATTCCAACGAGAATATCGAGGGTTTTTCGTTGCAAAGCGATCTTTCAGAGCACTTTGTTATTTAATTAGTGCCGTCTTACGCGTTGACCTGACCTACTGCCAAATTTTTGCAACGAATTTCGTTCACTCGCTTCTAAAATAAAACGCTTGTTAACGTGATTTGTGAGTTCGTTTTGGTGGTGGTGGATTTGTAAGATAGCCGCCACGTTGTCACTTTTTAATGATTTTATCAGCAGATTTATTACGACAGATATAGGGTTCAATCACTCTACCGAGACGACGATTTCGGTACAAAGACATTTTTAGACCACACACACAAAAAAAAAACACAAGTACAAAAGATTGTTGGACGTGATACGTATCACGATAATGTATGTAAGATTAATATTTAAATAAATGTTATCAGTTGAACTAAATATGTTGATGATATCTCATTTTTATCACGTATCGCTGTCAGATCCCATACATCATAATGTGCTTAAGACGTTTCCCGCAGGATTGATATGTGGAAGGATAACACGTAAAGACAGATTTGTGGATGATGTTATGTAATGGAGTTATTTCTAGAACGTATCTTGTTGGGTTATACATTTTCAGAACGCAATTTTGAGATTGTCTTATTAGCGTTTCCTTCCACTTGTCAGTTGTGATTTTTGTTTTTTGGCACATCCGAGAGGAAAAAATGGAACGAACGAAAAACCTGAATATTTTTTTATTTTGTTTAACCAGAAAATTCTATTAATACAATCGGAATCTGATGATCGCCATATTTTTAGAATGCATGCTTCATTTTTGAACGTTCGAAAATCTTGACAGGATTATAACGCGAAAAATCTCGAAACATGTTACGAATGCAACCAGTTACGTGCGGAATATTATACCAACGTAATTAATGTATTAAACATAATGAAAAGGTTATCTTGTTTCTAAAGAACCGATAGTTTTGCTTTTGCTAATAAGAATCGGAAAATTCAATTAGGTACGTACAACGCGTAACGTAAATAATAACATAAACAGACGAAAAAAATTCTTATCAAATGTAGACGTTACGCTGTACGTTTCCCGTAAACTCGATAACTTTTCTACAAATTCGGTTTCTAGTATCTCGATTGGAATCAAAATACACCGCACAATAGACTTGGTGGTGCAAGCGATGTTTAAATGAAGCATATTATCATTCAGATAAGATAAAATAACCGTGATGATCTAATTTGTGGTAGGAAAAAGGTTCTCGCTACTTACATTTATTTGCTTAATCCTTATAGAACACCGTTGGCTTAGGAAAATTACAATTTAGACGGGTCCACTTGAATTTAATTTCATATTCTGTAATACGTAATAGTTGTCATTTTGGTGCACTACAACATTTTGTAAAAAAGTAACAAACGCAAGGGCGGAAATCTCATTTTAATGGAAATTTAGTCTAAAATTTGCCACAAAACTTGCATTAAGTTTTTTCGGTCAGACTTCAGTGTTCTGTGTACACAATATAATCAAATATAGCTTAATCTAGATAAATTCTAACATTTTTAGACCAAACTTTATCGTGCGTGCCTTAACAAAACACTTTTATTAACAACCATTATATTATTGTTTTCTTTTTAAGCGAAATGTCTTACCAAAGCAATAAAAGATTGAAGTAATAGGTAGATAAGTACCAATGGGTCGGTGAAGATTTATTACCCTCTCTGACTAAAATATGGTCACAGGATGGTGAAAATTTGCATTTTGTTACAAATCTCAGTTTACTACTTGGTGACTCGGACCATTTGGTTGTTTGTCCATCTTTTATTTTGGTGGGGCAATAAATCCATTGAACTTTTATAGATGCTCGTTACTTTTAGTCGTTTATTGCTTTAGTTAGATCCGGCGTTGTTCACCTACCTGCCGGTGGAAAGTGGTGATAATATAAAAACTGTAACTTGGATTACTGTTTTGTACACAAATAAAGAATTATTTCTTGGCTTAGTTTTAGTTACGCTTTTACCAAGTGTTTCGATAAAGTCGAAAACAAAATTCAAATGTATGTAAAGATAAAAACACACATTAAATTAAAAAATCCTGTGATATGTTCGCATGAATATGTAAAGCCCTAATCTGGAAAAAATCGAATCTATATGGACCGGGTTGTAGGAGCTTTTATACTAGAGTTTACCGCATATTGTGGGTGGTAAAAGTGTGGAATGAAATTGATAACTTAAAATTGATAATTGCCGAGCAAACAAATTTTCTTATCTAAAATTATGTTTACAAATGTGTATCTTAACGCCGGTGAAACGAAATTTTTCACACTGACATTAAAGCGCCGGTGTGAGGTTGGCATCGTCAGAACAACACCGATAATCATGGGCTGTGTGTGGATCGAATTTTTAATTGCGTAGAAAAAGTAGAAAAACGGGTGTTATGTCATAATTTCATTCAGGCTTTTGAAGCGTCTACACTTCGCCATTGTTTGCTTAGTGCGCCCACGATCGTTTTTCTTTCTGTTATTTCGTTCGCTTCGTGTAAATTATTATTTTTGATGCTAAAGCTCGTGCAGAGTAATAATTATAAAATTCGTTTGACGTAACCGGGTCAGACATGCCTGTAGTATTTTTTGTTCGCGGAACTAAGTACGAATTTATTTTGGGTTTATTTTGGAATAATGAGCAATAAATTGAAAAAGCTTTTTATTTTATTTTTTAATTCGTAGCACGGTTGGGACGTAATCGGTTCATGATCGAGGGAAATTTTTTTCGGGCGAGTTTTGAGTTTTACTCGGCTCGTTTCTCGTGTGTTAATCGCTGTAGATTTTCTTTATGGGGCATGATGGAGCTCAATTTAGTCTTAAATTATAAATAATTCTAATTTTAGCCGCATTGACGATCTAGTTATAAACGTATTAAGATAAAAAAGATTACTATTAATGTTACTGATGAGGCATCGAAAGATAGCTGCATGTAATGGACTTGTGTTTATTTTACAGAGTTGGATACAAGTTCCAGGTTTAGGAATTTTACATGTTGTTATATTGTCGGTAGTTCTGGAGTCGGTATTTGACGCAAAAGGAAATTCAGGAACACAAGTCCGAGCAAAAGTTGTCTTGTCGATTTTAATTTCTATATATTCACATGGTTGAGTAGAATCTCGGAGATAATGTAGAGAATTAATATTTAACCGATTACGTAAATTAGAGAAAGTGGAAAAATGAAAATTCACCTGTAAAGCATAAGATTGTGCGTACATTTATTTTAATTTTAGTACGATTATTCTACTTTTGCAACTAGTCGTGACAGTTATTTGTATATTTAATTTACTTAAATGTTAATTATAGTGTATTTGCAACCTTTCGTTAAATTGTTTAACTCGAGTCATGAAATATCCACTTTTGTCACATTTTTGTTCGGTTGCAGTCTGTTTGGCAAATAGGAAAAACCCCATTTGGGCAGAGTCGACCATCGCGACACGGCGTTATTCGAGAATTTTGTAAACGATAAGAATTTTATTAATGGCGATAAAAAAATCGTCTGAAACTCAATCGGCAATAAGGTAAGAGAAACGTGTTTTACTAATTTGGCAGTCAAAAACCAGCTGTACTGAATTCAAGGTCATTTTTGCACATTGACAAGAATAAAAATTAGTTATCGCTTCTTCGACGATCCATAGTCGAACGCTCACATTTTGAATAATATCCTCGGCTGAAATTGAATAGTTTTTCGAAATCCAAATTAGGATAAAATGATTTATGACGTTCGCAAAATATATGTGTGGAAGAGAGGAAGATAAGCTCGCACAAAAGCCGGGATTCGGTAAAAGCTCTCCCGGAACACCCTAAGGCATCCCTCATCGTAAACATTTTTGTGTAAATTTTTCTATGCATAATCAATTATATTCAATCCCGATTCTGAATGTAATAAATTTTTTATTCAAAATAGTATTGTAATTTTGACATTGACATTTAGATAAAGCGCGACTTCAAAAAATAGGCATTGGTAATTTTTTCGAAGAAAACGCGAGCTTAAAATTTTCTCGTCGCCTAGCACCAACCGATCGCGGGTTTTAGAGGGTTTTGTTTGGTTTCTATTCAAACTGATTAGTTTTTATGCGCAATCGTAAACCGCGATTATTTTGTGTGCGAGTTATGTTCGAATTACGCTTTGTGTTTGTTCCAGAATTTTTGTTGGCGTGTCGTAGACGGTGTACGATGCATTTTCACAAATTTGAATATCATATGAGAATGAAAATGTGATTGACATTGACATTTCGGAGCCAGTTACATATTCATCTATTATGACATCCTCATTCTAATAAATTTTGTTACGAAAATGTGAAAAACTATAACGTTCTGATGTAAGAGCGTTTTAATTGTTGTGCAACTGCATTTTAAATAGTGTAAAATCATTCGTTTGTCTAGAATTTTCCAGATGGTTGGTGTCTTTGACACGAAATACACAACGCAGGCGATTTTTAGAAGTAAATAATAAAAACAAGAAATTTGATTCGACAGCTATCGTTTCTAAGCACTTTTATCGGTTCTCATGTTTATATAGAGAGTTTTTTCGCGATGAAATGTGTCATCCGGAATTCTCACTCTTAATAACGTATCGTCTTAATTGATCCGACGATCTTTAATTAAAATTTTATTTATTTACCGAAATCAATTAGCCGTTCAAGTGTAAATGTCACTGTTAAGATCCAGTTTGAGTCATCTTGTTTTAATAAACGAAACGATTGTCCGTCGATAAGAATAATGCTTTCGACACTTTACGACTTTTTTTTTTTTAATTGCAAATAAATACCATTAATGTTCATGAAATGGTGAAAAATTGTCGTCGGGCGGTTCAAAAAACCCACCTCTAGTGCCGAGTCTGGTCTAAATAAAAAGCGAAAATAGATTTTTCGGTAATTTTTAATGTATCGGTTCTCTGCGTTCGAGCGTAATATGGCGTCCGCCGCTAACGCACTCAAGATCCATCACTTTATTTTCGAGTTTTTGACAGGAGTGGCATAAACGGGTCGAACGGCAGGGGTTGAAGGGAAAATTCTCCATATTGTTCGTGGTGTATCCTATATATTAGTAACCCAAGGCTATAAGGGGCGGCGTACCTGCCTTTTCTAATGGCGTTATTACAGTGACATTGATGGAAAACGTACGATTCGATATTGACACCAGACTGATCAAAGTAATTCGAGATCAGCGCGCGTAAAATTTCTAATTAAAGCAGGGAACGGGAGAAGTAATTTATTATTATTTTCATATAACTCGATATTCGAGAAGAATCGAAGAATTGAAGAATCGGAGAACAGCAGAGCGATCTGTATGCACTTCTGTGACACTAATTTCGTCCGCGCTCTTACAATTTCTAAACCACAGGTCATGCACGTGGATATTATTGAGGACTTTTTTTAATTGAATAAGCAGAGTCGATTTTTTGCGTTTGTTTTCTATGAAAGGCGCGCGCGAGACGACGCGAATCTCGCCCTTATTGCCGGCGGCATACGCGTCGCCGGCGGGCGTCGGGGGGCGGACGCGAATTTGACCCTTATCGTTTCGGCCGGCGCCTTTCGGTACGTACCTATCCGGTGGTGTCGCGAGGTGTTCCGTGCGAGCACCGGCGACTGATTAAACTTGTGTCTTTTCGAAATTACGAATGTGGGGTCAACCAGACCTGCCACGGGCTGGCCGGCCGTTACGCTATACTCCGGCGTGACCTATATGAGTTGACGACGTGCCGTCAAGGTTGCCAGCTCTGTGCGACGTTGCCGGTGCGTTCGGATCGGGCTGGTTGCCACATACAGCACCAGGACACACGTGTTCTCGAGGCTTCCGAGCCGCGGCCCGCCCCTCGCCGTTTCCCAGCATCACACCATCTTTACCGGGGGCATTCGCGATCTGTTATCGTTCGCCTTATCGCGAAGGTAACAACAATGGCAATACAGCACGCTGTCGACGGCTTTTACGCTTGATTCGGCGACCGAGAAACGGACGATCGTCAGCCCCAGGCCTTGAACCGCGAGAAAAGCGAGGCGAAATCGGATTTTGGGAGGCGCAGCGAGAGCGAGTTAATTCCGATAAAACGTCGTTTGCCGGCTTTTTGGGGTTAGGTCGATCGGTGTGGAGCGGGGTTCGTTCGGGTAAAGCAGGCTTTGCGCAGTCCTACCCCAATAGTTACGTGTACGACGATCGAGAGTCGCGAATTAAACGATGATCGAGTCGAAGGACGTAGATGGCGCTGTGTCGATAGGTCACTGAGGTGATCGTAATTTGGTGGAAAGCGGCTGCGGCAATTGTTGAGCTTTGTGTATAGCGTCATTTATATACATAGTCGAGAGGCTGGTCGATTTGTTTTATGAATTTCAACCTTATTATCGCGGGTCACGCGATTACATTATTATACACACGGCGATTTTTAATTGCCGGTCTTATTCTAATCGGCAGGGTGCTGATATGGTCATAGTATAAATAAATAAATGCTACCGGTATTTGTTGACGTTGAGATAAGTTGAGTTTACGTATGTTTAGAAAATGTAGGAAGCGCTCCAGCCTCGCCATCTAGCACTTGCTGCCCGAGCCTAGATCGTTATAAATCTGGTGTAAATTTAAACCAAGGTCGTCGTTGATGTGAACGATTAACCGAATATTACGGACCGTCCAAATCGGACATTCGTTGCTCATAGAATTAACAAGAGTTAGGAGTATCGATCCGATTATTTGGGTTATACGGCGTCCGCGTCGCCGTCCGTTCTCATGTCATCAGAAGGAATGAATAATTGCAAACTCCGCTTCTACTTAGTAGAATCCGAAAAAGGTGAAACTCGATCTGAATATGTATGAAGTGGCAACGTGTCATTGCGATTCTACATTACACGAGTCCACAATGTAACATCCTGGATAGTTGGTATACGGTGTACGGTCTGTATCTACCGTATCTACTTGTACTCACTGCCTTGCTACTCTCGATTGTGTAGTTGATAGTCGAGCCGGATAGGTGCACAATCCACCAATGCGAACGCGGCGCGCGTTGCTATGCGCCCGTCTTACCGCTGCCTTCATCGTCCGTGTTCTCTCTCCATCTCTCTCGCCAACCCCAAACTAATGGGCCACAGGAGGGTGTCGCTCTCTTTACTCTCTTTACCGAACCCCTCCTCCTTCGATCCCCTCCCCGGAAATCTTCATAAAACACTTCCGATTCATTCCAGGAACATACCTAATTATATCCAACATCACTAACGTCTCCCCCCATTTGCATATGTCCCTAATTTTTCTAGAATCCTTGCGTTTCGCCACTCGAAATTGAATTAATCGCGCCCGATAACCTTTCGATGCCTTCGCTCCTATCGATCGATAACAAGATGCTCCTATTTTTATCCAAAATCAAATGCATTTCTACGTGTTCCAGCCCATATCAGAATGGACGTCCGCTCAAGTTTTGGAATGGATGGCGGCGACGAACCTCTACCTCTGCTCGGAAATCTTCCGGTACAAGGACATCAAGGGATCGGACCTTGTTCATCTCGACAAAGAAAAGCTAATTGTAAGCACTACGAACTTATCCAACAAAAGAAAATTAAAAAGACTAAAAAACCTAACCCCGAAACCTCTGACCCGTCCAAAAATACTCATCTATCTCGCCTTATAATGAGATTAGAACAGCAGACGATAACTCGGATTTTTGCCAATTAATAAGCAAAAAATGACACGCGGTTCGATACCGCCGACATCTTTCCGCGGCTGTGCCGCAACGTTCCGACGCAAAAATTTTCGCAAATTTCACGCGTATTCGAGCGCTAAATCAAAACTCAAACACAAATAGCAGTGCCAGTTCTTTATGCAAAACTCTAAAAACCGCCGCCCACGCAAAATTCCGCAAAAATCGCTTCGTTACGGAAACCGTCAGAGAACCCAGTCTTATACTCAGATCCTAACGCCGATTTCGCGACTAAGGAAACGATAAAATAACGCAATTACTAACACAAAGAATTTTATACTCCGCGTAAGTAAACAACGAGGAATTAATTCCACGAATTTACCAAGTTTTCCACCAAAGGTATGCCGTCGGAAATCCGTGATAATTCCCGACTACGGTCGCAGGTACCGTACGTTCTTGACTTAAAAAAACACTCGCCTGTTTGCGGATGGTCTATACACTTCCATTTGGGAGTATCACAAAAGAACGGGCATTTGTTACACGATATTGCTTATCTAAATTCCTTCGGCGTTAACACCAACAAAGCAAACGAACGTTTAGATTTGCACGTTTGCAAAGTCAGACTTTAACCTTCTCGGCCACCTTTCGTACGTATGGCCACATGTGTCCAAGTCGGTGACCACACAGTATTATTTATCTGAATTCCTCCTGCTACTAACATTTTTAACCTTCTTGTGCACCATTCGTACGCATGGTCCATGCGTTCAAATCGGTGACCACCCGTGCCCAAATTTCGTGAACTTTCCGCTTCCAATTGGGAATCTCGCACAGGAACGAGCACGACATCGCTTATCTATCTAATTCCTTAGTCGTTAACACGAACGTTTACGAAGTCCATCTTTAACCTCGTCCACATGCGTCCAAATTGGTGTCCACTAACCTTGAAAATTCCTTCGGGTAGCCGCTTCTTGGCCGAAAAGTCACTTTGAATTTTCCGCAGAATATGGGCATCAAGGACGAATTCCACCAGATGGCCATATTGTCCTGCATCGAGGAGCTCCTGGGCAAGCAAGAGAACAAACTGAGTAGCAGCAACGAGCAAGAGTCGGACAACACGCACACGCATAATTTGACGCAACACAGTTTCAGCAGTTTGGAGCGGTGCGGAAAGTGCAACAAGTACCTGAGGGGGTTGTTGCACCAGGGTTTCGTTTGCCAGGACTGCGGTTTGGTGGCCCATCGTTCGTGCGCCGCCACCGGTTTGCCTCCGTGCACCAGCACGTTCGGCCGGGGCTTGTGTTTGCAGTTTTTTCCCGGGGATATCCAGGAAGCTCCCGCGTTTCTTACGAAGTTCATAGCGGAGTTGGAGTCGAAGGCCGAGAGCGACGAAAGTTTGGAGTTGTACAATTTGTATAGCGCCACACCGCCTCCGGACCAGATGGCGAAGTTGCTCGAGAAAATTAACGAGGGTTGGACTAATTTAGATCTAATCGACTTCAGTGCCGTTTGTATCGCGGGGGTTATTAAAAAATTTCTTCGGGAGTTACCCGACCCACTTGTACCTGTCCAGTGGTATGATGCTTTTCTGTCAGCGGCAAGTAAGGGATTTGTGCCCGCCGGAAAACAGGTTATGCATTGTTTTTTTTTTTATTTCAGAAGCCAAAACTGACGAAGCTTGTGCGACTACTTTGTCTCGTTATGTTGAAGATCTACCTGAAAATCATCGTTCCACTTTAAAATATGTAATGGCTCACTTATGTCGCATGTGCCAGATGGAATACTCCAGGGGTAATCATAGTCCCCCTACTGTTCTAATTCAGGCATTGTGCCACATATTTCTCAGACCACCTTGGGAACGTATTATGTAAGGTCCTATTCAAATTAAATATCACTCATCTACGTTCTACTTTTTTTTCAGTCAAGTGATCTACAATACTCAATCTCACAATAGAATTTTAGAAGTACTTCTTCTCAAGTGTAGCTGGGGCGTGAAGCTTCCCGAGTTTGCTTCCGCTCCGGCTATACCACCGCGAAGGGTAATGGGCCGCATGGGCGGTAGTACCATTTCGAACAGTGCAGTAGACAAGGAGAAATCGAACGCTTTGTCCCTACAAGATGCCGAGTGGTACTGGGGCGACATCAAACGCGAAGAAGTCAACGAAAAATTGAAAGACACCCCCGATGGGACGTTTTTAGTTCGAGATGCTTCCACTAAGAGTGGCGAATACACGCTAACCCTGCGCAAGGGCGGTACAAACAAACTGATTAAAATCTGCCATAAAAACGGAATGTATGGGTTTACGGAACCTTACACGTTCAGTTCGGTCGTCGAATTGGTCAATCACTTTCGGCACGATTCGTTGTCGCAGTACAACGCTTCTTTAGACATCAAACTCCTGTACCCGGTATCCAAATTCAATTACGAGGAGGAAGCAGCGAAAGCGGAAGACGTAGAGAAGCTTTGGGATCATTTACGTGACATTAAAAACAGACTGTTAGATAAGAACAAAGTTTTGGATAGTTTAACCGAAGATTTGAATAAGACAAGTCAGGAGGTGTCTAGTAAAAGGCAGGCGTTGGAAGCTCTCAAGGAATTGGTTAAAGTTTTCGAAGACCAAATTGCCACTCATAGTTTAGTTAGGAAAGAAGCGCAGCCGCACGAAATTGCGGGCTTGACTGTCAACGAGCAATTATTAAAGCAACGACTGAGTATGATGCAGGAGAGTTCGGAGCATTTAGATAAGACTTTAGAAGAAAAAGAGGCCTATAACAGAACGCTAGAGCGTGAACTGACTGTGTTAAAACCGGTTGTGCAAAGCTTGCGCAAGGAAAGGGACAAATACATAAGGTGAGTACCGAGCTGGCCGTTCACACTTAATGAACTTGAAACAGACAGCACTCTCATGTAACTTCTCCTTGATGATTATTAAATTATTAATAAAAGTCGCGTTCGCGTTGGTGTTGCGATTTCTCAGCCTGAAGAGGTTCGTGGTACTTATTCTTACCTGGGCGTGCTGGAAAAACGGCACAAAAGAATTAGTACGACCGCGAAGGTGCAGTCTTGCGTTTTTTTTTTTAGTCATCTTTTCATATTATCTCTTCAAGGGAAGTTGCGGGTTTGGTTTTGCTTTAATGTTACGTTATTGTTTTCTCGACAGATGGCTACAAAAGCGTGGGGTCAGTCCAACGAAGATAAATCAGGTTCTGAATCGTAACAGCGAAGATGAAGAGTATAATGCAGAATCTGGGGAGGAGTTCGACGTGGATACGTTGATACACAACGACGAACGTACTTGGTTGATGCTGAATTGTACACGTAACGACGCCGAGAAATGTTTGGCCGGTAAACCGGATGGGACTTTCCTGATACGAACGTCTAGAACTTCCAAATACGCTTTGTCCATTGCTTGTAACAAGATGACCAATCACTGTATTATCCACGAAACGAAAAGAGGGTTTGGTTTTGCCGAGCCGTACAATATTTATCCCACGTTGAAGGATTTAGTTCTGCACTATGCTACGAACTCATTGGAAATACACAACGATTCTTTGAATACCGTGTTGGCCCATCCTATACTAGCATGGAAATATAGTAACGAGAATCGTTACAGTAACGAAAATCGTTACATTGGATCAAGCACCACGTACAACTGTTAATTTGAGAGTGATGTGATAATTCAAAGTTGCTGTGACTTTTTATATTCCCATAATCTTAAATTTTACGATGGTGATAATTTTCCAAAAACTATAACAAATTTATATTAAATAATGTATCATATAAATATATTTACATATACAAAGTGACAGTTTTACAATTGAAGTACTTTTTGCTTAATCACCAGGTTAAATTGACTGTGATAGTGTACTAAAGAAGAAGTTCTTAGATTTATATAACAACCTAAGCACATAGTGTGTGTGATCGTGCGGTGTATCAATATGGCCTGGTTTATTTTTGAGAGGTTCAACATTTTTCGATCGAAATATCCTAGGCCTCTTCTGTTCTTGACATTTTCAACTGTATATACATTTTCGAAGCAGTAGCGTAGCCACAGGATATTGGAGCCTGCAGCTATATGCGACTCTAGTCAAACTTTTTTTTATACATGTTAATCTGGTTCTTTTCACTTGTCTCAATTATTTTTAGCGTTTTTATTTCGAATGCAGTGGCGTGGCTTAGAGTCGAACTTAAAGCTTTATTATTTTAATTCGTCGGTACTATTTTTGTCTCTGAGGTACGCCACTGTTCTACGCTGCTGCCAAAATAGCTGTTAGCTGATATCCACTTTGCGCCAACGATCGGACGGTAGCCATCGTGCTTAACAAAATGGTGTCCACATTTTTATCTTTGACGCACCAAGGTTACCGTCCAGTCGGTGGAGATATATTGTGTTAATCCGCCTGTTCAATATATCTACTTACTTTATTTGCTAATTGCTGCAGTGTGAGAAGAAAGCATTCTAGATAATATTTTATGTGATCTACATCTAGATGATAAACTTTTACTTTATTAGTTCGTGCAATGTTTATCAAAGTGTTATGTATTTAACTTTTATTTTGTAACACTTTAGTATTTATATTTAGGATATTTTTAATTTGAAGAGTACAAATGTTTTTTTACATTTGTTTTTAATTCTTGAAGAATTTTTATACTGTAGTATAAAACATTTCAATCTCATATATCTAGAATGGTTTTCATTTTATTTCATTTTTATGTTGATACTTTCATTTTGTAATACGAATTCTGAATTGAATCCATTTCATTCATTTTCATTTGTCGCAAGTGATTATTAAAAGAAAAAAGTATTAAAAACTGTTATATCTAGAATCTTTTTTATGATTGTATGTTGATTTTATTTTCTTCAAATTTGGAGAGGTACAAAATATAATTTATGTCAACTAATCTTTTTATTATTTTTCTATTGAGGCTGCAGTTTTGTAGATATTTCTATATATATATTATACATATATATATCGTCTTTTTTATGCAAGTGTTGATTTTTTACAGTTTGTCAATTGACTGCTTTAGAGTTTGAAGAATTTACTACCCCAACTGTGTGCTTTTTTCAAACTGGAATAGTCTGTCAGACTTTAGTCTGCTGCAGTAACGTAGTTTATATACAACATAGTGATGTTTTTCATTTTATAATGTGATTAATGGAGACATAATGGGTATTCAAATTAAAGTGATGTTTCTGTAAACATTTGATGATACATGTCAACAGTTTTCTGTTTTTGTTTTTTTATTTGTACAAAAGTCCAACTAAACGTTTTCATTGCTTTTAAATGTATGTAAAATTTCATGTACAACTAATGAATTATTAATACTAGATTTATAAATATTTGATAATGTTAAAGATTTATTAACGTTTTTGAATATAGTATTTTTTAAATTTGTAAAAAACAAAATGTTTCATTATACTGTTGAATGTCATCTCAAATAAATAATAAAAGGTTCCCAATTACACATTTCTTACAACTAAACCAGAGCATAAGCTGCGTAATTCGCAACACCGCACCTATTTTTGCCTCTTCTTAGCCTCATATAACCCTTCTCGCCCCAATGGCTACCCCACCAATTCTTCAAAATCCAAGCGTTTCTCGTATAACCGACAACCAACATTGCGTGATTCACCACGTTCGAGCTACAACCAACGTCGTCGTACAAACCAGAACTGAAACCACAACTCAAAAAAAAAATCACAAAGTTGCGACGACTCACTGATACAGCTGAAAAGTATGCGGACTTGCGTTGATGGACACCGCAATCGGACCTATCTTAGCCACCGCTATTTCCAAAGCCCTTTCGTCTCTCGCAGGTAAGATAGCCCAGGTTGTCACATTCACCAAAGCACGATTCTTATCAAAACGACACCTCTGTTGCTGAAAAGTGAAAATTTAAGCAAAGTTGCGCGGCCGAATCGTAACACTCACTCTAGCTAAGTACGGGTAGTCGATGTAAGTCATCAGTCCTCCAGATTTGTCCAGATATTTAAGAGTGTTCCTTAAGGATCCACCCCCGCATCCATAATTACCCGTGGAGACGCTACAATCCACTAGTTGCTGCTCACTGAAAGTTCAAAGTGACAAACTCTACATAAAAAAAAGAAATTTGGTTTTCAAGGTAGGTACTATAATGAAGTATTCCCTGATTGGCTACTGGTCAAGTCTGCTTTACACTACTCCAGGAATTCGGAAGCACTTGCAGTGATTAAACCGGGTTTAACCCAAAACATTGACCAAAAAGTAAATAAATGGTAAATTAAAAACCACAAGAGGTGATTCAAATTAATTTCGAACTACTGCAATGTTAAAAAAGCCTATTCATATTTTAAGTGGTGTAAAAACCAACCAACAATCCAGCTAACACTATCTAGACATAAGTGAGACATTATTTAAAATAAAGTCGGAAACATCTTGTATAAAGCGTAATTGAAGCTTACCTCAGTGGCACTAAAACGTCTGTTTGTTTGAAGACTTGAGCTTGAAGGACCCCCGCAATACTAAAAGCGTAACAGGAACCGCAGTCTTTTTGATTGTATGTAGGTGTTTCGAAACCTTTCTCGACCCAATTAACTTCATCAGGGATGTGGTGAAGAATTTCAAAGAAGTCGCCTACAGTTTCCGGGTCTACTTTTCTGTGTCTACTCTTTGTTAATTTTACCATTTTTTGTAAATAGGTTTGTGTGGTCTAGCAAAACGTTTATAAGTAAGTGCAAAAAAACAGACTGCATTATTCTTGTAAAATTTATGGGGAAGTCGAGGACTGCGACGTCACGAGTAAATGTTTTTTATATCTTAGATCTGTAAAATTGGCATAATAAGTGCCAAGGAAAATTTATCGTGTACTATACTTTTATTAGAGTTTTTAATGACTTTTATTTTTAGAACTACTTAAAATTTTGTTGTACGTGATCTGATACTCAAAATACATCATTACGAATAATATTCCTCCACGTGCTAAATCTTTCTTACACTACATTAATACATATGTTACAGTTTTTCACTAAGCAACATCTTAATTTAATTATTTTCTTAATTTTCTTGTAAAGAATTCAGTTCGGGTTTCTCAATCGCAGGAAATGCTTATTAACTTCAAAAATTCAATCCACATTATTAGTATTATTATTCTTACCATGTCACTCAAATGATTATCGTTTATATAAAAGGAGTGTAAACCTTTATTGGCCTCTTCGTTATGTCTTCGAATTTTCTCTAAGTTAGATTCCCAAGCTAATTTCCTTCGTGCGTCGTGCGAGCCATAATACGTCTTGTTATATCGTTGCTGAAGTACAATTTTCATTAAATCACCCTAACACGCACACCTAGTTACTTTAAAATCCTCCCACTTGTGGTCCGTTTCTTGGAAGTGACCTAATTTGAATATAAACACTAAAATAAAAAAGGCGTGAACAGTATTCATGGTGGTTAATGGAAATTTCTAAAATCAGTAGTCAGCATTTCGTCATGGCAAGAAATTTTTGCTGAAGGCGCGTTTTTTGAACGCGAAATGTCAACCCCTCTTAGTGCATGATGCGTGCGCAGCCTCGACTTTGCCCATGACATTGTTAACAAAACTCAGTCGCAAGTTAGATCTTATTAAACTACGGCTGGTCTGGCTGTCGGGCGTTGCGTCGGATAACAGATATGACATCGGCAAATACAACATAATTTTTTCTAAACAGATCTGTGTATTTAATTGTGAAAATGGCCGAATCTGGTATTGATTTAGGTTACGATCTGTCGGCCCTCTTAACCGACGATTTCGATATCGAAAGTGCAATCGATTTCGACGATCTCTTGGGCACTCCGAAAAATCAAGAATTTTACGAACTAACTTCTAAAACAATGCCTGTTAACGAAAGGTGAGCGCTAAAGAATAATTATCCCGAGCCTAACTCACGTGAGCCGCTGATTTAATTGTTATAGTTGATGTCATCGAAGTGGGAATAACAATTGATCTGCTTTTGGGTTATGCACGGGGGGCTGTTACCACAACAAAAATTGCGAAAGGGCGAACACATGTTGGATTTTTTCCGAAGAATTTTTATGCTTGCTATTAATAAACTAAATACTATACTAATATTAAACCGTTTGAAGTACTGCCAAACATCACCTTCGGTGCGCTGCACTAAGGGTTCCCTCCTAGCCTGAAATTAACATTGCTTTTTATGATGTAATATAACTACCGCCTATTACTCATACCTGATGACCCTGCGTTTGACTCACTGGCAACCAGAAAACCTCAAAAGTCGCCACAGTACTCCCTTTGAAGACCCGAAACTAACCGAACGCCAGCCGATTCGAATTTCCCTCCAAAAATTAAGTCATTTTTATTTGCGGGCGGGCAAAAATAGGAGACCTTCGATGCCGCATGTTTAAAAAAACTAGTTTCATGCTCTTTCTTCGCTTAACGTTTAAGAAGTTTCACCGAAATGTTCTCCATTTAGCACACGTGTACTTGCCAAATGAGTAAACTCTTTTTGGCAAGGGGTGTACAAAAATCGCGCCAGTAATTTATCATGGTGGTAATTTATTTCCAAAACAACCCATATATAGACCCTAATAGACAATTTCATCATCCATTCTTAGAGCGCCAATAAGACGACATAATAATTATTGTTAATTATTGTTATCGACTGATAATAACAAACGCACATAAATGTTCTTGTTGTTCGCTTTTGGCGGATCTTTTCTTATTACTTCTAAAAACTGTTCCAATATTTGAAGATGTCTTGTTTTTTTCCTTTCTTTTTTGAAGTGGTGTCAATAGACAAACACTGCAGGGACAATAAGAGGCTTGAAAAATCCGTAACCTTTTCAACTTGCCAACGATAACGAGTATTGATAGCGTTTCGGAGAAGCGAATTCTCTGCATTGATTTTTTCGTGTTTATGTGAACAGCTTTCATTGTTTGTTTTTTTGTCTATATTTAAATTGTCCTGTTACGCAGGTTTACTTAAGAATTCATTTTAGCATTACTGACGAGAGTGTAGTGACGTGAAATAAATAGGGAAGACGAGTGGATTATTTTTCGCGCTGCTGTACAAACCTCGACCGTCATTTAAAGCACTCATTAGCGAACAAATCGCAATGACAGATTATCAAATTCGTGACGAAAACTGACCATGAATGACAATTAAATGAGGTTTAGTGTCACTCAATAGTCATAAATTACATCCCATAACAGATATTGACGTTTACGCTGGTTGCCGTTACTTTAGACGCAGATTTTTAATTACTATTTTCAGAAAAAAAAAGCACTTGTTACAAGTTGAAAGTTCTCAGTGGCCACTTGTCTTAAATTTTAAACACACAATTTTAACACTTTTTTTGCAATGTTAATTAGTCCGGCAAAGCTGTTGCAATGCCTTTTCAAGTAAACAATAAATATTTTGTTAGCGGAGGTGCTACAGGTGTCCATAAATAACTAACGATCTGTAAACTCATATCCATGATCGATTCGTTTTGTATTTGTTCAATTATTGATTTAATTGGTGCAAGGTTGCACACTTGAGTTCGAGCGACGACAACGAGACTCGGGTGGTTGACTTAAACCCGTTTTGTTCGAAATAACTGTGATAAATTTATATACTTTTTAGTTTTTTTGCTTAAAAGAAAAAACGAAGTGACACATTATCAATATTATTGTAGCAGTGGAATTATTTGTTGGCTGGTGCAGTTGACAGCTGCTGGCAAGCGATATATTCAAAGAGTGAAAACAAGCATCGTGCCAATATTTTGACGGGCGTAATTATTCAAAATATAAGGGACATTATTTTTGTTACAATGGTAATGACCGCCCGAGTCATCGGAGGTTGGTGAATTGGACCACCTGTAGGTTTTGTTAATTCTTGAGGTTTACAGTGTCGTGCAACGTTCACTTTATAAGATTTATTGTGGATTTAGGCTCGCTAATTAAATTGTTTGCTTATATATTTTACCATTTGTCAATGCCACTTTTGCCACCATTGTACGTTCGTTTGACTTAAGAACATTGGCTTTAGTCTTAAAAAATGTCATTTTTAAATAGTCATATTAGGACGATAAATTTGTATAAGCGTTCGTTCTTTGTTGTACTTTATAACAAAGAATGGCAACTAGTGGCTGACTCATATTTAGAGCAATTCCCATATGTTATCATGTACATGGTTAATGGGGACGTGCTATTGACGTCATTGAATATGTATAAGTTTTAAATTTGTTTGATCTGGATGATGGCAATGGCACGCACGGGTTAAATTGATTTAGGTGTGAACAAAATTTATGATTTAATCCAGAAAGCAGTATTGACCTTAATGTGTTGTTAATGTCTTTTTATCGGGGCATGATTAAGTTTAATCTATATCACTTCTGGTTGGGTAATTACGTCCAGTTCTGCAACGCTTAACGCGTTAAACGAAAACCACCCGCAACTTAGTTATTTGTTTATTTAATTATGAGACAATTGTGTAAAAGAGTACGTAACTGGTTAATGATATTGTTTCGAGTCGAGTCAATTGAAACTTTTCGACTGAAACAATTGCGCCGCATTAAGTATTATTACGCCGCCATTTTCGTTGTTTTCTAATTAAATCAGCTTAGTGAGTCTCCATTGACTCCAATAACCCAGCGGAACGTTCCAGAATTCATTCCATACTTTGTTCCAGTCCTCCGAATCTCAAAACCGCCACTCCACTCTCCAGAACCCAACTCAAATTGCAACTCATGAGAGACCAGGCGCTTATGGAACAAGAGCGACAAGCGCAGGAGAGGGCGAGACAGGCTCAAGCTCAAGCTCAAGCTCAGGCGATGCAGCCTCGTCCTCCAGCCACAGCCATGAAAGTGCCATTGCACAGTTTAGCGGTAGATGTTCCTCCTCAAGTTTTACAAGTTCAAACAAAACTAGCCAATCCTACTAGGTACCATGTGATACAGAAACAAAAAAGTCAAGTGCGCCAATATCTTAGTGAATCATTCCAAGCGCCAGGCGGTGCCAATTTTTTGACTAATTTGCATCACAATGGCGTACCGCAGACTCATAGTGCTCCAGGAATGGCCACGGTACCACCGGGATCTATGACAGGCGTAATGCCACAGCAACCGGTCGCACATTCTCATCCTTTTCAAGTCTCGTGTCCTAGTCCTGACCCGGTGGCGATGTCACCAGCACTGAGCTCCGGCGCCACAAGCACCTCTGAGGTAAGTGATGAAGTCCTCCGGAAACAACAGACAACACTAGGGATGTCTGCGTTGTCAAAATAACCCTTCAAATGACAGTCTTCACTATAAGAACTCAAAGCTAAATATAAATCAGGTCACACTCAGCAGCCACCACCGAACGATTTTACCTTCTAACACATTTAATTCAATTGGCGACCGAGTTACCACTTGATGAAAGAACCAACATTTTTTAATTAGGGGCAAAATCAACCCGTTGATGCAGCAGATCATTGTCATCCATTTCAGGCCAAGTCAAGTCAGGTCATAAGAATTGACGTTTAACCCCGCAACCGAGGAGTAGTGTCCACGATAACCCTCTTTGGGGACAGTTTATTTCACCTAGTACTGAATGGTACTGACTAATACGTCCTATTTCTCTGACAAGTGACACATTTTAACAGTGCAGTCCCCTTGTGGAATGTGCAAATTTCATTGTCACTCTGTATATAACAAATAAAGAAACTATCCACTTATCTCTTGACGTATGAAATGCAAGTATAGTGTGATTATTTAGGTACGTCAGTTAAGCTGAAGCTTAGGGGTGTATTCATATGTTTGTCTGCAGATTATGCGTTTGACACTTTACTGTAACAAGTGTGATTACGTCAATTGTACATGATTTTGTAATTATTTATCAATGTGATAGTAAAGAAATCATGCATTGTCAAAACTAAACAATGGAGCGTTTGGTAGAACGCAGACTACTAATTTAGATGTGATTTTAATACAATTTGATTTTTTATTTCTGCGTCGAAAGGTATTGAAATGAGATAAAATTAGTCACACCATAATTTCAGAGTACTTGAAAGGCCTATCAAAATATGTAGAAAAAATTACTATCACGCATTGCACTACAGATGTTTCTGTTTATAAAGTGCTAGTGCTATTTTGCAATATAAACAGGCAACTTGCAAATTGATGATTCGAAATAGTTCGAATTCTATTTCTTTTTTAAGACGTGTCATGGCAATGTGGTTCTCGTAATGGTGGCCGAAAAAACTAAAGCAAAACATCGTGAGGTTAGAGCTGAACGATGGACCGTTGAAGGTTTGCGTGCAGGAAACGGAAAATGCGTTGTTTACCAGCATTAGAAGCTTCGAGACCACTTTTGGCGGGAAAGTTTGAATGCTTGCTCATGCGCCGTATACTAGCTACTTTTTCGCGGAATATTTGAATTCTTCTTGTCTTGTAAATGTTGTAATCATTATTGTTCTAGTAAATTTTGTACTTTGTCTTCCATGTTCGTGCAAAATGGTGTCGTCAAGTTTATTTTGTTCGCCTCACGTCACTTCGATTAATATATTCCGAATTTTTTATTTCTTTCACCTTTTTATCACAGCTCGTGATCCATCTAACTCTGTTATTAAGAAGCCCCATGTTTGGCAAAAAGAACTGAATCTCGTTATGTAACTAGAAAGCTCTATGTTCTAGTCACGGTAACATTGAAGCAGAACAAGTTTTAGTGACATTTTACTTAACAGTTGCCGATTAAATTTAAATAAACTGCTGCTCTCGTTGTATTTGACGTTTTCCAGCCTCCATGAAGCGGTGCCAACTATCGAATAAGTTTCCCGGTTGCAGTAGATTTTCTTTGTTGATCATACCTTTGTAGAATCATGAATTTTACAACTATATTGGAAATCAAACTGACTTGTTTTTACCGCGAGTGGTTAGAGTTTGTCAAAATGTATAATGTGTCATAATGTTATTGATGAAAACAATACTGTGTAATAATTTGATTTGATTTTTCTTCATTTCCTACAAATATCGTGTTTTCGTAAATCAGAGTTTTATTACCTGTTTCGTTTTATTACTCAATAAAATTTTGCAACATGTTCGTGGTATATAAAAGTGTAAACATATTTTCACACAGTATCAGATTTTGTGTTCGGATAAATGCTGCTTGACGCTGGCTGTTTTTTAAGAAAAACTTGTTTTTAATCACAGTGTATTAAGCATAATTATAAAAAAATGCGCGCAGACAATTAATTACTTTCAATTAATTGTATCATTGTTTGTTGATTAATTTCCGCTCGATCTATTTTTAAAGGACTGTCATTTTGTGGTTACGGATAACGCCGCTGCTGATACAAATGCGCCAACGTTACAGTTTCCTGGTAAATAATAAATTACGGATGCCTAGGTTTGTTGGTGTTGCCTGTCATCACATCTCACGGTTATTGAATGATTTGTTTGCTCTCATTGTGTATCAACGTTTATAAACATTTGCAACTGATACTAATTTTGGTTACCACTTATTGCGAAAGCTATTTGCGTGTATTAGCGAGTGTTAGTTTGTTTATTAATCAAATAAACAATAGCTGATTATGCGACTTTAGGCAACCAACAATACACCTGTATATAACAAATCATCGACGTCCCGGGTCACTACTCGCAAAAAATGAACCGCGATGAGTTACGACCTTCATATTTCATATTATGTAATTAATTGTGAACTAATATCTATTGGAACGTAGTATTAATTGTACGAATTTATTTTGAACGTTTTTATTGCGTGCGATACATCGTGGGAAATGGTAGGGGATTGTGGTACAAATCAAAACGGTGATATTGGGTACATGGTCAATTACCAACGCTTGTCGTTCTGCTGTTTGATAATAATCAATGAATTGCAACAAACCGTTGATACCACGAAAAGTTAGGAAAATTGTATTTTTTTTAATTGGGTCACGTGACCACAAACATAGTATGCGCACTCATGTTTTATTCAAGCAAGCGACAGCTATATAAAATTGTGTAACGTCTTTTAATGAAATTTTGCGCCGAGCAATTATTGAATGTAAAGCTTGATTGTTACGAAATGATACTTTGGGTGTTACTGGAAGCGTTAAATATTCATGAAGCGATCAGAGAAGTTAAGATTTTTCAAAACGGAGAATTTATTTTTGTGTTTTTCCATTGTTTTTTCAGCGCGTAAAAGCCAATGGTGTTGCGATATTTTAAATTTTGCATGCTTTCGACTGGATGGTGACCTCAAACAGTTGTATATGATTTACAACGGGATTATTTGCAATTTATTACACCGTTGTAAATTACAGAAACGATATCTGTATACTGTACATTATTAAAAGTGCGAGGGAAACTAAAACTACTAAAAGAAAATGTAATTTTATCGATTATTGCGGCATTGTTTTTGATTAAATACCTCATAATTGAAAATCGTATCAATTATGATTTTACTCGTGTGATAAATTTAACTACGTTTTGTTTTCACCTTAAAATCATTCTTAATAAGACGCAGGCATCATTCGCGTGTTACGCTAATTGCAATTTTTAACACTAGTTTTGAGTTCTGAATGGTTAAAAACTAATACTTAAATACTAGTTTATTAGTAAATGTAATGCGTTTATTTACTGTGCATGGGCATTGCAAAAATAGTCATTAAAAAACGGTTAATTTGCTCGCCAGTTTAGTTTTTAAACCGATTCGATCTGGACATTCTGTACAAATCAACATTGTTTGTTAAAGAGAAGAGCGTCTGTGTCCTCTACAGCTAATTAAAGGATATAATTACATTGCGTAACCATATTTCGTAACTGCACAAACAGCAGCCACTGTTAATACTACCACAAAAGAATTAAGAAGATTTTTTTCCATATAAATATGGATATTTCCTTCAAAATTTAATAATCTGATATTGACGTCATCGCCGTTAGCGCCACCTACTTGAGCGACTTAAGCATGGACTTAAGTACCCACACGCGGGAAGTCCGCTATCTAATATCGCGTTTTGATGGTTTGTCTGGCTCACATTCACATTATATTTGCGAACGGTCGACTCTTTCGGCTGCACCTTTAAGCAACCCACAAAAATTCTCGTTCCACAACTTTCTGACGTGTTATTATTATTGTTATTATTATTATGAGTCATTGTGAGAAATGTAAGATTCTTTATCTCGCTAGGTGACAACGGTGCGCATTTGTTAATAATTGATATCGTGTCGTAATTGTAGGTACTTAAGTAAAATACTCAGAAAAGTCTATGTAATAAGTTGAAACCAGGTTAGAGCTCGGAAGAAAAGTAAATATTTGTTTAATTTAATTAGTTACGTTTCTCTAATTGTTAAGAAGAAATGTTTCGTCTGGACTTTGATTTTTGATCCCTGGGTTTCTTCGAATGGGCGAATTCATGACCTTTCGAAAACACAATCACTTTCATTTATTTATTTAGCGCTACACTCTGACAGTTTATTAATTAACTTCACTCGAGAATTATAATTAAGTTATAATAAAGAAATTTATAGGTTTGTTATAAGACAACTATTAATGCACTTTTTATTAAGCCGGATTGTAAAAATCGACCTTTATACGCTCTATGGGAAAATATTAAATTATGTAAATAAATAAATGTTAATGCGAACATTGACCTGATTTTGTAAATAAAGGATAATGCATTTATTTAAAACACTCCACCGTTGTATCCCATTTTTAATCGCAGCCAGATCGGGAGGTGCCCGGGGAAATCCACCAGTCAATAAAATTATTTCGCTATGACGATACGGGGACTTCACAATCACTCTATAGCATTTCTTAGTATTAAAAACAACTTTGCCATAGTTTTTTCACAACAAATATAATAACACGACGTTGCTGAAACGTTAAATCACTATCCCGCAGCTACGTCGATACAACGTTGGTAACAACAAGCGTTTTTCGCAACCACACTGGCGACAATAGACAAATCAACGCGAAAAGTTAGTTCGTAGGACATTTACGTTATCTCAAAGAAACGTCATTACAACGGTCATATTTTCATTGCATGATTTACATTCCTGGTGTCTCCACATTACGTAGATTCCACGTAAAATACATAACGTAACTGCTGCTACTGAATAGGTTTACAAAATAATAAATTAAGGACAAACAAAAAAATACTTATCTCGGAATTATTGGAAAAAAATGCTGGTGTTGACATGTGTGGGTATTAGATTGTGAAAACTTTAAGGCATTTATGTTG